AGGAATAATTGCAAAACAAAAACAAAAAAGATTTTGGTTCCTCCTTCTTTCCTTTTTTAATCTTTACTCTGGAGAACAGTGATCCTTTCCGCTTGTTGATTAGATTCCTTTGATGAGTATTAATTGATTAGTCAATATGAATTGATAAGGCATGCAATTTTTTCCAGCAATAATATATGATAAGAACGCATCGGAACGCATCGAATCCATCGCTTCCTCGAACGATTTTTCGGAATTCCACCGCTTCCACATCCTCTCGCCGCTGCCGTCTATCATTTTCGCGCCACCCAACAAGCATTCGGCGAACGCCACGTTCCCGTTGCCCAGGTCGGAATTTCCCCTCTTTTATATGTCTTCGCATCTATTGTGTTACGAAATAGATTCTCTGCGAGTAATTTAATCTCTCGTCCTTCGGATCCCTCCCAAGTTGCAATCGATGATCTAATGGCGTTCTGGTCTAATTCTCGGATTGAATTAAGTTTTTTAGTTTCCTTTTAGTTTTGGTTGATTGAAGGAAGAGGAAAAGTTCAATTTGATCTTTGCTTTCGTTAAACGTTTTTTCCTGTTTGGTTGGAATCCCGGCCTGCTGAGAAGCTCCTCCGGCGACTGGAAACACTTGCCTCCGGTGACTTTGTTGGTCCGGCGGTCCATGCAATCAATTTTCCTCCGGCGAGAAGTAAATAACCAATTAATGGCCTCATTGGTCCGTTTATTTGGGTTTTAATACATCAGTTATGTTATTTGATGTTATTGGGTCTTTAATGATCCGTTACAAGTGATTAATGAGTCACTAAAGCGGTCCTTTTATGGCGCTTTACAACCTTTATGGTTGGTTTATATATCAAATTATGGGATAGAAAGAATTAATTTCTGACGTTCATAATTAATTTCTGACTTTCAGAATTAATTAATTTATGGTTTTCAAAGTATCAGTGGCACAAGCTCCTCTCCTCGACCAATTATTGGGCTAGTGTAGTAAAACAAATTTAGTGTCTATTTTATGGCTGGGATTTGAAATATGGAGGAATTGGGTGATTAATTAAGGAATTTAGTAACATTTCCTTCTTTGTCCATTTTTCATATTAATTGGGACCAATGGATAATTATGAAATTAATTGGTACCATCTTAATTGTACTCAGATTCTTCATATGGCAATGCCTCAAAGTCATACTTCCCACAGTAGTGGCCCTTCAAACTCGTGGAGTAAACTGCCTTAACCAATGGCCTGTCTGCTGGAGACATCGAGAAAGCATTGAACTTTTATTATTCAGATGCCCCCTAGCCATCAGATTGTGGACTTTAGTGGGATTGAGCAACTTTATTGAGACCGCCCAGACTGTTAACTTTAGTCTATGGTGGCGACATGTCATGGTCTCCGAGACCTCCCCATTCCACATTCTCCAATGCGTCTGTTTACTTTGGAGAATTTGGAAGTCTAAAAATAAAGTGACCTTTGAATTTATCCAACCTCATGTCCGTACCCTAGCCAGACAGTTCTACAACCAGGTCCTCGAAATCTCCAATCTTCTTCTTCCCCCTCCTCCCCGCAGCTCTCTACTCTGAATCCTTCCTGCCACCACTTGGGTCCCTCCACCAGAAGGCTTTTTGAAGATCAACGTCGACGCAACTGTTTGTGCCTCCGGGTGTTCGTCTGGGCTTATTATCCGTGGGTCAGACGGGCATGTGATGTTGGCGTTCGGGTTGCAACATCAAGGGATATTGCTTGGCCCACGAGATAGTCGAAGGTGACTCCGAAGTGGTCGTCAACCAAGTTCGTCAAGGCGTCTTAGAAGACTCGATTGGTGGTCCGGTGTTACGAGAGTGTCTTCAGATCCTTAGCTCTTTGTCTGTTTGTATAGAGTTTAGGGCGGTACCTAGATCCGCCATCAGTGCTGCCCATAGAGTGGCGCATAAAGCACTGCTTTTGTCTCGTGTAGAGCTAGAGTCTTTTGATTTTTTGGGGTGGTTTCTTTAGAGTCTTTTAGGGGTCCTGGGTAGAATTGTAAGTTTAACTATTATTTTCCATTGATATCACTCAGAAATAAAAAAATAACATTCTATGAGCTCAAGCTCGCTTTAATTGCATTATTAGAGGTGTATTTATAAAGAACACCAGAAACTTCATAATACATACCATAAATACGGTAAAACAACTCACAAAAAGCAAACCAGAAACCTCCTTATGCATACCACAAATCTCCTAAAATAAACCCCAAACCTCACAAAGCCAACCACAACATTTGCGAAAGCACACCAGAAACCTCCTAATGCAAACCAGAAACCTCCTAATGCATACCACAAATCTCCTAAAACAAACCACAAACCTCACAAAGCAAACCACAACATTTGCGAAAGCACACCAGTAAATCAAACCATAAAAAGCAAACCATAAACGTCCTAATGCAGACCACAAATATATTAAAACAAACCAGAAACCTCACAATGCAAACCACAAAGTTTTTGAAAGCAAACCAGAAACTTCTCAATGCAAACCACAAACACGATAAAGCAAACCACAAAAGGCATAAAAAAATATGAGAAACCAAACCATAAATCTCACTATGCTAACCATAACATCCGGTGATCGTTGACCGTTGACCGAACTCCGGTGACCGTCAGTGAGCAGATTTCGACGCCGATAGGCATATTCCGGCCCCGATGACTAGATTCCGACGCCGGTAAGCATATTCCGACACCGGTAAGCATATTCCAGCGACAACTAGCATATTTCGGTGACCGACGACCAGTTTCCGGCGACCGGTGGCAGAATTCCGGCTACCAAATTTTTGGGCAGAAAATAAAAAAATATTTATTATTATTTTTTTATTATTTAAACAAATTTTTCATAATGACAATTATATCCCTACTTTGATTTTACACTAGGTCAACTCATTTAATAAAAAGTCATCACAATCCTAACTTCCTATTGGTTGGAGACTAGTGTTGTTACAATAACAACACAAGGGGTGTTGTCATAGTAACCGGTCCCTCAAACATGACAATACCCCATTTTAAAATGACTTCAAAGACGATACTATACAAGCATAACAACAAGAAGAAAGGGGTATTCCTAACACTATGTTCATAAAGGACGGAAAAAAAGGGGAAGGAAATGTAGGGAGGAAAGCTCATCTCCCTAGACACTTTCCACTGTTTTTTAAGAGCAAGAACAGTGACCGTGGAAAAGAAAAGGAAGGAAAAGTCACTATTTAAGCCCACCCTCCAAATTGGAGGGAAAATGACCATTCTCCTGTGCTCTTCCATTTTGCCTACGTAATTTCCTTTGCTTTGCTTTATTTTTCTTATTTTCCTTTTTAGGCAAGTTGCCGTCATTTATTCTCTATAATTAACAATTTTTTTAATTTCTTTCTTTTTTGTAGATAAGTTTCCGTCCTTATTTTCTCCTTCTTTCATAGATTTAACTAGTTTAATCATAAATGTAGTCAATACTCTGTTTTTTTATCACCCACGTAATAGTTTATGAGAAGAGTTTTTAGCAAAAAAAGAGACTAGTTAGTTATTACTTTTTTTTACTAGTGATGATTATGCTATGTTATTTTATCGTACTATTAAACATACCATTAGTTTATAAACAAATCGATTTTTTGTATGTATCTTATACGTAATTTACTTGTACTATAGTTTAATATTAGCCATTGTCAACATCAATGAGATTATTTACTCTTACATAATCAATAAAATAACATATCTAACACATTTCCCAATATACTTTTTCCCTTCACTTTCCTCCATAAAAACAACATTTTCCTTCCCTTTCAACTTTTCATTTTCCTCCTTTTCCCTCCCCTCCAAATTTTCCTTTCCCTCCATTTTCCTTCCTCCTTCGGAAACATAGTGTAAAGATACAATCCAGTAAAAGGGTCGTTTGGAGAACATGATTCAGGACGTAGATTCACTGAATCCATAGATTTTGTAGAAAGTTATGTTTTTTTGTTGCTTTTTGTACTGTGTATTTTAGCTTTAGAGATTTCAAATCTCTAAAATCTGCGGATATCAAATCTCTCATAATCAGAGAGATTCTATATCTTGATTCGTGAGATTTTTTTCTACTAGTTTTTCTCTTACTTTTATTTCCTTATTTATTTATCACCTGAAATATATTTATCAACATATTTTTTAATATTTATTGAACCACTATAATTTTTTATTAAGGATAAACAATTTATTTAATATAAAATTTTTATTTTTATTTTAATTGAATGTTAAGAATCATAGTTACCAAACAATAAACATTTTAAAATTTGTTTCAACAATCCAGAGAGTTAGAATTGTTAAATTGTTGACAATCTGTAGATTTAAACTCATATTTTCTAAACGACTCCTAAATTTAATCAGAAAAAGTTATGCAACCCAACTAGGTTACCCACGGATGCATTCTCGATAACGGGCTGCCGTCCACAAATCTAGGAGATTCATGTTTAATTTAACCACCGGCGAAACAGGGTTGAAAGGTTATCCAATATCCAGTAATTCCACTGAAAACAGGGAATCAAAAAGAAAGTTTATCCAGAGTAACGATTAATTGACGGCGGCACATATCGCCTTCCACCACAAGCCCGGCGAGCAGCGCTGATCATTCCTTTCCAGGTTTCCCCAAACTAAAGGCTACCCTTTTCGTATTTGCCTTCTCGTCTCTTTGCTTTGCTTGCAGCTGCCCGCCCCGCTCTTCAATGCATCCGCCCCATCCCCTCTCTTCACTCCTTCACGCTTAGCATCTGATTCTCTCCCTCTCTCCCATCTCAACAACAGAATCGTCCCCTCACCGCCAATGTCCAATTTTTTGCCAAAGCCTTCTGTCGATTCGGTTGCCTGAACTCGGAGGTGGTTTTCTCCGTTTCCCCGCCAACCGACTTTCGGCCTGGATCGTGGGTTTCTAATTTCTAGGGCTGGATTATGCGTTTGTGACTGTCTGTGAGTTATGCCTGCAGTCTGATTGGTGATTGAAAAAAGAGTAGGGTTTCTGAGTCGGGAGGGGAAGATGACGGTTCCATGGGGAGGTATCAGTTGTTGTTTGAGTGCGGCTGCCCTCTATTTGCTCGGCAGAAGCAGCGGCAGGGATGCCGAAGCACTTAGGTCCGTCACGAGAGTCAATCAGCTGAAGGAATTAGGTATCTGTGCTTCACTTACCCTCAAGAGCTTTTACCACATTCGCTCCTACCCTGAATTTTTGGCGGTTTGTAGTTTATTGTTTTGGGTCATTGGATGTGCTTACTGTGTGTCTTGGGGAACATTAAGAACCCTAGGAAATGTCTAAATGCATGTGTTACTCAGTGAAATAGCCGTTGAACTAGGTAGTTCCATTGATCATATTCATACCTACTGATTGCTTAGTTCCAATGAATATTGGCAGTTCAAATGTAAGGATGGATATTAAATAGTTCATGATGAATTCATGAATCAGTTAACTTTCCCAACTTGCAGCAAAACTATTCGATGTCGAGAACAAAGTCCTGCCTCTGGTTGTTGCGATATCAGGAAGAGTTGGAGCTGAGACACCAATAAATTGCGAGCACAGTGGCCTGAGAGGTGTTATAGTGGAGGAGACGGTAAACCTTAATTAACTGATATTCACATGAATACGACTGATGGTTTTCATGTTCTGGAGATGCTGGCTAATTTTCTTGCATCTGTAACATTATACGTCTTCAGGCTGAACAACATTTTCTTAAGCATAATGATTCTGGTTCTTGGATTCAAGATTCGGCCTTGATGCTATCAATGAGTAAAGAGGTGCCATGGTACCTGGTGAGTGATCCCTTTTCCCATTCAATGCATCAAATTTGTTTCTACTTTTTTCCCCTGAAAAATCAATCTTCGACTGGGGGAATTCCGAAATTAGCATTGATCAGTACCCTTGCGCAGTTACACTCTGTCAATCAATTAACCATAGATTCTGAAATTATCTTTGACATAGAATCAATCAATCATAAAATCATGTCATTCTTTGAAGTTCCCATATTAGGTTTGACCCTAATCCAGAGGTCCTTCCTCCTCAATACCCTGGCAGTTCGATCAGTCCCTTCCATCTCTAGGTGTTCATCCTGCATATGGGGATACTCTCCTTGTAATACAAATGCAAAATACATCACTGGTCGTTCATAGAAGAGTATAGAAATAAGACAAGAGTTGTACTTTCAACTTCAGTTGAGTTTTTCATCTTTCGATGGAAACAAATATTGTCCTTTCCACTTGGACCAAAGGAGACTAGAATGGGTAGGTCTGATGTGGAAACTTAATCTTGCACAGGATGATGGAACCGATCGTGTATTTGTTCTCGGGGCCCGTGGTGCCTCTGGTTTTGTGTTGACTGTGGCAAGTGAAGTCTTTGAAGAGTCAGGACGGTCGCTTGTACGTGGAACACTAGATTATCTTCAAGGCCTGAAGGTTTGTCTTTTTGGCGTTTCATCAGTATATACGGCACTTGGGTGGTTGGGATATTTTCATTAAGTTTGTTGAGGAATTGATGGTTTCAGATGCTTGGAGTGAAGCGAATTGAGCGAGTACTTCCAACTGGTACCTCATTGACTGTAGTTGGCGAGGTACTGTATTGATTCGAGTTCAAATACTAATATGGCTGAATTCTGTTCTTATCTTTAAAAATTTCAAAACTTATATTTCCAAATCCAGCATTCGATGCATTTCATCATTTTATTTGCTGAATCAGCCTGTATCAATAGTTTCGAAGTCAACATGAGTTGGGGTCTTGTGAAACTGCTTGTGCATACTTATTAGATGGTGAACTTGTAGGGTCTTTATCATTTTGTGTATGCCATCTTTCTGATTTCTGACGATCATTTTACTTGTTGGTTAGTTTTCATGTCCCTGTTACATTTATCCATTTGGTGATTCAAGTTCATAGTTAGGTGACACCTTTCATTTGGTATTCTTCTAGTTTATCCATCCCGTCTTCTCATTTGTAGTCTTAATTTCTTTATGCTAATCCTTTGAATTTTTTTGGAATCATGTCGTCTTCTGAGATTCTGTAAATGTGGGACGAATAATGGTTATAACACAACAAGTTTAATTTATTCTACTTACAAGTTAATCTTGAACTATCTGGAGGACAAGGTTTATGCTTTGCCATCAGTAGCATGAATTAAGACTTATTGTTAGTCGTCAGAGCCCAGAGGTTTGGTTCCTATCATTTTACCGGTGAATCCAGTGAAAAGCTTCTTCTAAGACTTTTTTTTTTTTTGCTGATGGTACCAATTGGATGGCTTAAACTAAAAAACGAACCTCATGATTATACACTTCTGTGTAAACTAAAGAATAGATAGCTGGACCTTAACCTTTAGCCAACTCTGAAGTCCTCTAAATCTGTAGGTCTTTGACTTTTAATTTCCTGCATTTGCTTAAGCTTCTGTTGTTTCTTTGGAACACCTTTTTATTTGTTTATTTATTATGTATGTTGAAACATGTTTGCGGTCATGTGCATTTCATATACTATTATTTCTTCCACTGTGTTCCTTATCTCCGTTCTCCATTTTATATGATTAGGCTGTCAAAGATGATATCGGGAAAGTTCGGGTTCAGCGTCCGCATAAAGGTCCTTTTTATGTATCTCCAAAGACCATTGATGAACTCATTGGCAATCTGGGGAAGTGGGCAAGGTTGTTTTTCATGAACTCCATACACAATCTGTGCACACACCATCTTCATATAGAGTTGGAAAAATAGAAATGCACAGCCTTTCCTTTTGGTTTCATCTTAATTGTTAACCCTGATTGAAGAAAAGTTGTTTTTTTTTTAATGAAAAGTTGTTGATCCGGAATTATTTTGGCAGGTGGTATAAGTATGCCTCAATGGGGTTGACAGTGTTTGGTGCTTTTCTGATTGCTAAGCAAGCCATAGATTATATCATGGAGAGAAAGCAACGTTTGGAGATGCAGAATAGGTATCAATTTTGTCATTTACTTGTATTGTTGTAGGTGGAAGAGGAGTCTAAACTGCTCTCCTTGGAGCAAGTTTGTCTTTTAACATCTGAGCTGCTCTTTTCCTTCAAAATCTTTGACCTGCAAACATTGTGAATTTCGAGTGGTATGAATCATGCTTTGGTGCACAAATAGCTCCTTGATTCCAAAATCGTGAAAGATGTTGACTTTGTTCTTGCAGAGTACTTGCTGCTGCTGCAAAAAGATCAGGCAATCAAGATGGTGAAGGTAATAAGTTTCTGACTCATACATTGTTTAAAAATAATGAAGTTAGCAGATAGTATTACAATATCCGGACTCGTTTTCTCAGGTGCAAATGGAGTGGCTGAGAATGGAGCAGATGGTTCTAAGAGAGAACGTCCCATTCCAGATATATGCGTAATATGTCTCGAGCACGAGTACAATGCTGTGTTTCTCCCGTAAGTACACTGCATTTTATCCCCCACATGCTTCTCAGCATTCGAAACATGCAAACAAATGACCTGTGGCGCTAGTTTTAAGACGAACTGCTTGATAGAATTAACTGTTACAATATCCGTGTCTTATGAATGTGCAGGTGTGGGCATATGTGCTGTTGTACAACTTGCTCTTCACATCTCACCAACTGCCCACTTTGCCGGAGACGGATAGAACAGGTGGTTAAGACCTTCCGCCACTGACAAAACTTCGAGAAAGATGGTATACATGTATCCGGTCGCTTTTCAAGGACAGACATCAGGGAGTTGTTGAAATTACCAGAGCCTTATTCAGGAAGAGCTTTCGTTCGTTGTGCAAAGCTGGCCATTGCGGATCTTAAGTTCTATCTTGTTTCATCCAGATACAGGGGTTGTATAATTTGTCTTGATGGAGAGAGTTCGTCAGTAGAACTGTCTGTGGCCACTTAATATCCCCTAGAAAACAGTTGCCCGGGGACTGTATGTAAATGATCTGTAAGGAAATTAGCTGTAAGGTCACAATTTGTGCATTGATTTTTGACGATGATTGTGTGGGTTCGAGTGGGATTGATTGCAAGACAAGTAAGAACTGGACCTGTAAGATGGCGAAGTTGCCGTGGCTACTGGCTAGGGAAGGCGTAAAGGATTCCACATTGAATACGCTACCTTTTATATCGTCGTTGCAGCTCGTTTGTACAATTTGCTCACTCTTTGCTCTTGGAAAATGTCTCGTCATCTTAGCGGACAGAACACCAAAAATCAATTTATTTAACATTTACCCATGAACACCTAAAATCAATTTATTTAACATTTACCCATTTTATGCTCATTCACGTATAATACTATGGCAATTATGTAAGAGTGCACATTTTTCATGTAAATGGAAATTCTTACTTTTTCCTATTAATAATTGGGTTAGTATATTTGTATGGCCTGAACTTTGCACATAATAAACATCCTCATCAATCTTTTCGATCTATAATATCCTGGCCCAAACTATACATCAAAGTTACTGAATAAATAAGGGTCAATGAGCCACGTCATTGTCAAGTCAGCACCTTTCACTTAAAAAATTATATATTTTCCACCTATAAAATGGATATTTTATTTAAAAATACAACAATTTAAATAAAATTTTAAAACCAAATGGGTATTATGTTGAAAAATGAAAATTAATTAGAAATTACTGAAAATAAATGGTGACATTTTTAAAATTTTCATTTTTGTTAAACTTTTTTTTCATTTTTAATTCTTTGTTCATATTTGTGGAAAATTTAAAGATAAATATTATGTGGAAAATTAATTCGGAATGAGTGAAAATAAATGGTGGAAATTTTTTAAATTTTGATTTTATTTGTTTATATTTGTGAAAAATCGAAAATGGGTATTATGTAGAAGATTAATTTGAAATCAGTGAAAATAAATGATGGAATTTAAAAAAAATTATTTAAAAAAATATGGGAGATATAAGGGGACACGAAATAACTTTTTCCTTTATTATTTTTTTGTTCAAAATGAAAAATAAAAATGGTAATTGGTGGAAAATATATAAATTTTTAAGTGAAAGGTGTTGACGTGGCGCGTTGACTAACGCCGTCAAAGATAACGGTCAAACATCGAGTTTGGCCAATTTAGTAACTTTGATGTATAGTTTGGACCAAGATGTTATAGATCGAAAAGATTGGCCAGGATGTTTATTATGTGCATAGTTCAGGCCATACAAATATATTAACCCTTAATAATTTGTATTGGCTATAATTTATGAAATTAAATTTGAATTATCATTTAATCTGTAAAAATATGTTGCATTGATCATAATCTATACAATGACATCAATTTTGATATATTTCAAAGTTAAAATTTTATTTTACAAAGACGTGAATAATTAATAATATACATGAATAAACATCAGGTGACGTGATCTAACAATATTGGTTACGTGAATAATCAACACTCTTACGTGAATAATGTAAATATGACGTGAATGCCACAAATATGGCGTGAATAACCCAAAATTAGGTGTTTTGTCACCTAACGTGACAAGATACTTCACTCTTTGCTCTTTTTCACAACTCACGAACTACCTCCTCTGTCGTTGGATAAAACGAAAGGGAACGGCGAACGACCTTCCGCAATTTACAGCAAGTGTCACCAATTATATAGGTTTGTGAACCCTAGAGGTTCCTTAGACGATGTAACATTTGATTCTTGCTTTATATATAACTTGTTTGTTTAAATCCTCATTATTTTTTAATTGTATTTGGTTGTCTGTAATCTATATCTAGTTGGATGGTGACTTGAATGAATCCCTTATATACTCTTGCATCGAATGCAATACACGCCACAAGTCACAACAACAACCCCCTTTCGCTATGTAACATATGGAACCGTGAGATAGATTGAGGTGCCCCCGTGTCTCCCTAGCAAGCATCCCGAGCTACATGTTGGCCGGAAGCATAGTGAGTGGAGTAATTCTTTGTGAATTCACTCAACCATGTATGTGTGTAACTAGGGGTGACTATACGGTCTGGTTCGGTGAAATTGGTCCAAATTGATTTGGTTCAGTCCGGTCTTTTTGAAAATATAAGGACCAAAGATTGGATTGGATACAATCCGGTTTTGATTCGGTCCGGTCTTGACCCGGTCCGGTCCTAATTTGATCTTGATTTTATATTGAGTTTGTGGGGATTTGAGTGGTCTAAGGCCTGAAAGGGTGAGAAGTTGGTTAAGTTTTGTACTAAGTGCAAAGGTTTGTGACCGTTTATGCAAATTACCCTTAAGTTTTGGGTGTTGAGCTCTCTTATCCGGTCTATATCCGGTTTTCGATCCGGTCCCAAATGGTTTTTTTTACCTCAAATCTAAGCCCAAAGATTGGATTGGATTGTTTACTATCCGGTCCTGGTCCGGTCTCGGTCCGTGTTATACGGTCCGGTTTCGGATAAAACCAAAAAACCCGGACCAAATAGACAGCCCTATGCGTAACCAATATCATAATGAAGCAAGTTGAAGGAACCTCGATCTTTTCTTTCTTCTTTTCCTCCTCAAAAATCAAAATAGTGTAGGTTTGCTTTTATTTTCCTCCTCAAAATCAATCATCCCCATCCATCATCACGTGTTGGGTTTGGTTCCTGTATTTTCAATCACCGTTTGGTTTCACAAGGGACTTATTAAATGAACCAACAGGAACCGCGATTTGATATATCGGAGCTAATAGCCCAGTAGGCAGATCTCAAATAATAGAGAAAGAGAACTAATGTGAGTGGATGACAGCAGCAACCCAGAAACAATGAGATCAATTAAAGATAGATTGGAATATTCGTTTGGAAAAATGTTGGCTTGGCAATGGCAGCAGTTCATCTCATCTGTGAATTATCCATCCATCCATTCATTCTTTTTTTTTTTTTGATAAGGGTGAGAATTGCATTAAAATAGAACCAAAACGGAACCAGTCCGAGATACAGAAAGAAAAAAGCGGCACCAGAGGTGCAGCACCCACGGAAAAGAAAAGAAAACGAAAAAAAAAAAAAAAAAAAAAAAAAAAAAAAAAAAAAAGAAACACCCGACAGCCTGAAAAGGACAGCCACGCACAGAGAGCAAAGTCCCTCACGAAACAAGGACCAAGACCAAGACCAAACTGTCAAACTAACGGGAATCAAAGCCCCATCCGACCACAACCATCACTGAGAAGAGCAGAGGAAAACAGACAGAGAGAAGAAGAAGACAGGGGCGAGGCGCGGTCAACAACCCGGCCGCCACCAGCAACCCGAACCCGAACAAGGATACCAGAGGATTCCAACTAGCCCAGCACCTGAAAGGCAGCCGACAAACACGACAACAGCCAGCGAACGAACCCACGGCAACAACCCCACCGAAAAATGCCCCTGTGTCAGTTCAGCCTCAAGGGGCGGAGCCACTCCATCACCTGAATCCTGCTGATCTTGCCTTTCGCGACTAGCCAATCCGCCGTGGATCTGATAGCAATCCAAAAGACCTCCTTGGCGCTTCTGCTAGCATCCTGGAAAACACGCCTATTCCTCTCGAGCCAAATTTGCCAGCACACGGCGTGGAGAATGCAGAAGCCGATCCAGTCCGTCGTAGTGTCCGGAACGTCACTCTTCCAACACTTGATGGTGTCTAGGATCTGCTCTTGTGGGGCGAAGGAATCACCACACATTCTTCTTACTTCAGTCCAGATCTCCAACCCGAACTCGCACCGAGTAAACAAATGATCAACCGATTCTTCATCCCTACAACACATACAACATCTGTTAGCAATGGAGCAGCCCCTCTGTTGAATTTTGTCCATCGTCAATATCCTCTTGTGCGCGACCATCCACATGAACGCATTGATTTTCGAAGGAATGCTCTTTCTCCACACGGATTCACTAGGGAAGTTGGGCACCCCATGGAATCGCCCATCCGTCAATAACCTGTACATGGAGCGCACTGAAAAGCTCGAATCGGGATTAGAACACCACGCCAATCTGCTGGGGCCGCAAACGATCCTGTGCTTATCAATAGAATTCAAAAGAGTGAAGAAACTCTCTCTCTCCCTCTCAGCCCCTCCCCTCAAGACTAAAGAAAAATCGATATTCCACTCAATATTCCAATTAGGACCCTCACCTGATCGGCTTATGACATCAGGCAGCAAAGCCTCGGGATTCGCAGCGGCAGCGGCAACTCTCGGGAAGGAATGCGCAAGAGTCGTCTGAGGTAACCAGCAGTCGTTCCAAAAGGAAACACCCGCCCCGCCACCCGGGTCAATAACTGCCACTTTCCAGAATTCACCGTATTCCTTAGAGATGTTGGCCCACACCGAACTTCCAAACCCATTCCTGCACTGTTTGCTCTGCCACTGGGAATTGCTAGCCTTGTATTTGAACTCTATGAGTTGTCTCCACCAGCTCTCTCTCTCCGTAGCGTACTTCCAAAGCCATTTAGACAGCATAGCTTTGTTAAAGCAGGCCATATCTCTAATACCCAAGCCCCCATTCTCAATACTTGCTTTGCAAATCTCCCACTTAATGAGCGGGGTCTTGTGATTATCCCCGGCACCGCTCCACAAAAATCTTCTTTGGATTGCCTCAAACCTGTTCAGCACACCGATAGGAGCCCGAAGTAAGGAGAAGAAATAAATCGGCTGCCCGGAAAGAGTACTTTTGTTCAACACCAAACGGCCACCGAAAGACAGAAATCTACTCTTCCATCCGTCAAGCCTCTGCTCAAACTTATTGATAATAGGATCCCAAGTGGAGATAGCATTGACCTTGGCGCCGAGAGGGAAGCCAAGGTATTTCGAGGGCTCGTTGCTCCAATTACACCCAAAAGTAGCAGCAAAGAATTCCGGAATCGCTACATCCCCAACAGTAATCATGACCGACTTCTCAAGGTTAATCCTCAGTCCCGTAACACTTTGGAAACACACCAAAGTAGCGAGAATATTCAGAACTTGATCATAAGCAGCGTCGCAGAAGATCAAAGTGTCATCGATTCATTCTTGATATTATATATTACGTATCTTTCCTTTTTTCTTGTTAACTTTAGGCATGAATGGGATGTGAGCTAACTAGGGCCCTGGGGGTATCGAATCTGCCTGCGGGGGACTTTCTTGTTCTTGCGTGTCTCACATGGAAATAAAATGCACACCCAACTGCTTACACCCTAATTAAAGTCACATTTCATATGGTTCATCTTTTTTCATGGTCATCCGTGGAATCCAAGCTAACAGTTCGTCAAACAACGAGGGGTGGCTATACGGTTCAGTCCGATTAGATTGGCCCGAATTGATCTGGCACCGATCCGGTCTTTTCAGGAATATAAGGGCCAAAAAATTGGATTGGATACAGTCTGGTCCGGTCCCAATTCGGTCTTGATTTTAGATTGAGCTTATGGAGAGTGGAGTGGCCCGAGACCTCAAAAGGTGATGAGTTGGTTAAGTTTTGGGTGTTGCGCTCTCTTATCCAGTTTTCGATCCGTTCCCAAAAGGTTTTTTTTACCTCAAATCTAAGCCCGAAAACGGGATTAGATTGTTTGCTATCCTATTCCGGTCTGGTTTCAAGTAAACCCAAAAAGCTCGGACCAAATAGACAGCCCTACTAACAACTAGCTAGGTTCTAGTGGATTGACATTCCGGGCTTCTCTAGAGTTTCTTTGAGATTTTTTCTAGTTAAAGGTATATAAATGGATGTCATTTCTTGTGTCGTATTCGTGTAATCTGTAAACAAATTTCGCACCTAAACGAAGACAAAAAAAGGTAAATACAATTTAATATCCAAACCTTTCTTTTTAAACAATATGATAGCCAAACCTTTTCGAAAACAATCTAATATCCAAATCGTCAACTTTCCGTTCGTTTGAACCATTAGTTGACACTTCAAAAAAGCTTTATTTAGGAGAAATTGTCACAATACAACTTTGTTTTCTTGTTTTGGCATTGCAGATGACAGAATATTTAGATATTCTATACCATCATGGTGGAGTCATGGACTTCTCGGGTTTGGAACTACGATATGTTGGTGGTTTTTCAGAGAAGATATCAATGGATATTGATGAAGTGTCGTACTTCAAACTTTTTTGAAATGTCAACTAACGGTCAAACAAACAGAAAATTGACGATTTGGTTTATAGATTGCTTTCGAAAAAATTTGACTATTATATTATTTAAAATGAAAAGTTTGGATATTAAATTGTATTTAAAAAAAAAAGGAAGTGCAACTCAGTCTGGCTCTCTATTTTGGGTTTGCACTTTGCAGTGGAGCCACCCACACAGTAGTTGTACGTTAATTATTTCATCAAGGAAAACAAGCAAAAGTTGTAAGTAAAAAGTTCGCCAAGATGTGAAAACGAAAAAGGAGAAGGCATTGGGATCATTCAAAATTAGGTTCTTCTTCTCTCATTAGTCTGATGAATCCGATACCATGCTGACTGCTGAGGATGCCTTGCTTTGCTTCCCCTTCGGCTCCCCTCTCTTGCAATTGGTGTCTGTTGAAATCCTCAGAAAAAGGTTAAACATATATAATGCGATCCCGACCAATTCTATCCCTTTTTCCGAAAATGTAAAATGGTAAGTTAGATATGTGTTCATATATTTTCATTTTCTTCAAACAAGCCCTTCTACGGAACGGAAGAATTTGTTTTTTAAGTGTTAATTCACTAGACGATTTGAGTTTTTTCAAAACCACTCCTTCCGTCTCATTTTCCCTTCCATCTATTTGCTTTATGTGGGTCCCATACTCCACAGACGCACTCCAAATCTCTCGTTCGCAAAATCCTTTTTCATCTTGGGAGGAGGACAACCAAAAACCCTAGCTTGCTCACCAAAACCACGACGAAATTCTTCTCTCTCGGAAGAAAATGCTCAAGGACCTCATTCAGAAGGTCTCGTAGTTGAGGTATTCACCAAAAAAAAAAAAATAACAAAAAGATTTACATTGTCATCGTTCATGGGCCCACAACATTACATTGATCACCGGTGACGTTTTCACAAATCCTAGTTTTTGCTCTTTGAGGGTTTCTTTCTTCTCACATGAACTAGAACGACTGACTGCTGACTGTACGTCGTGAATAAGGCGTGACACACACATATATATATATATAAAAGAATTTCTGCTCCCAAAAATGGAATGTCATCGAGCCGCAAACAACAACGACGGGTGGACCTCCTACTATGGAACCGAGTCGTTTGGTTGCCCCCCTTCAAAGAACAAAAAAAAAAAAATCAAAATTTTCCATTCGGACGAATCAGGAGATCGAGTGTATGATTCGTAGAAAACATGCGTATAAAAAACTAGACGAAGTAGTTTCAAAAAATCACACGGTTAAAGGACTTAAAACGTATATTTTAATAAATTTGGGACTTACTTTAAAAAGTTGTATAGTACATGGCCCAAAATGTCACTTCACCAATACAATTAAAAAAAATACAAAACGATAATAATGTGTTGCTTGGAAGTTTTGCAGTGATTACAAGGAATCTGATGATAAGACCACCCAAAAAGCAAACACTATAAAAATGGCAGCAAGCAATCCATCTTCCAACACTCTCCTCACCCAACCTCTAATCTCATCCCACAATCTCCATGGAAAACAAGGGCTGTGGCCACAAAGGTTGCCCACTGAACCAAATGTGCAGAAAGATCCACCAAGCCGCATTCGGCGGCGAAAATCACCGTCGCATCACCTCCTCCACCACCACCACCACCCACCACCGCCGCAGTACTGCCACCGCCGCGGCGGAATCCCCAGCCGCCGCCACCACAAGGGTGATCGACATCCAATCCAAACCACCCCAGCCGCCGCCGCCACAACCACATCACAATCGAGCTGCGGCGGTGTCATTCAAGCCGCCGCCGCAGGATGGCGGCGGCGGCGGCGAGCAGCAACACAACAGCCACCAGAGGATTCACGTCGAGGACAGGTTCACCGATTACATCGGTCGGGTCAGGAGGAAGCTCAGGACGCTGTCCACCGTCGGCGGCGGCGGCGGAGGCGACAATAATCGGTATAATTATGATAAGCGCAGTTCAGGGGTTGGGAAGGACAGCAAGTTCTCTGACTATATTAGCCACGTGAAGAACAAGTTCGTCCGTACTTCAACTACTTCGCCTGCTGCTGCCAAGTCCAAGTCATGGATTAAGTGATCGATTTGGGTACTTACTGCTTTAATTAAGCATGCTTAATTAATTGGCGTTCATTTCACGACCAGGAATAAGTCATTTTCTCGATTGATATCTATATATATTTGATTCCCTTTGTCTCTCGTATGTGCATTTGCTTGTGTATGATCTTCATTTGTAATGATGGTTGGAGTGAGGTTCCAGAAGTGGTAGATGTTCTTATCCTACATTACCACAACAATGTTTGGCTTGCTTTTTATGCATCGATATTGTATATTATGATTGTTTTTAAACGTTATGGTTTGATGATCAATGTACAAATGTGCAAGTCTACGAGTATGCAAGACCGACTTCATTTATTGGTTTGACTTTGTTTACATAATCTGATTTAATAATCTTAATTTAGGAATGATTAGATCTCATGGTCCACGTCGTAAGGGACAACCTGCATATGTTAAGGGTTTGATGTGAATTTTCAGGCAGCAGTTAAAGTGTTTTTTCAATCTGTTGTAAATCTTCAAGGAATAGTATGTAATCCATTCATTTGAGGTCAGTTAGCACACTAGTTTTAGGTGGTAAGATGAGATCCTATTACGGTGGTAAGATGGTAATACAATGTCCTGCCATGGTGATAAGATGTTGATACAATGACTTACCTTGGTGGTAAAATGGCGATGAGATGTTTTACCATGGTGATATGTTCTTACCATGACGATTAGGGATGGCAAAAATATCCGTAACCGTGGATATCCACCCGAACCCGGTCTAATCGGGTAGGGTAAAACCCGAACCCGAAGGACATTTAGTGGGTACGGGTAAAACCCGAACCCGAATATTGCAGGTAATGGGTGGGCATGGGTTTCTCAGTATCCAACCCGAACCCGCCCGATTATACACATACATATGTATTTTGTCTAGAAATAGTCATTATTTTTCTCTAACATATTTTATGTTTAGCATATAAATATAATATTTTCATGAAATTGTGTTGTTTTAATTAATTTTCTTCATTCTAGTGAATTATTGTCATACTTTTCCTCTTGCGTAATGTGAGAATACGTGTGAATGTTAACATATTGGTTGGAGTTATGAAGAGAAATCATTACCCATGGATAACCGTGGATACCCGAAACCCGAATGAGTATGGGCATGGTTTTAACTTTCTACCCGTGTTATATGTGGGTATGGGTATGGGTAAAACCCGAACTACTTTGGGTAGGGTAACGGATATGCACTATCCGTCCCCGACCCGACCCATTGCCATCCCTAATGACGATACGAAAGCAGCAAACACGATTTTATGGAACACATATGTTTTCTCCAAATACAGCAAATTGATATCATTATGTAGATTATAATTGTCACACCGGTATTGGAAATTTCCAATGGAAATTAGTGATCATCAATGGCAATTAAATATGGGAAACGTAAAACTAATTAATCCCCTACCAACACACTATCAATAGAGGTATGATAATTAATCTTAGAGTAAGCTAAAACCAAAGCTAATCAACCCCACCCATTAGAACCCTCACGAGAAGACACCAACACTCCCGTGTTCTCACCACCAACTACTCACAATACAGCATCTATGCTCAAGTAAACCAAATACATGAAGAAGAGTAAAGTAGTTTAGGGACTTTTCAAATTATGTAGATGCATAATAGTAAAGATACGTTATTAAACGAGAAGGCATACTTCGAGTATCACCACATATGCTAATGCTTAATCATATAATGCATCAATGACTCATCTAAATCATCACTCTATCCCTTCAACTAAAACCATCCTACTCGAGCTTTCTCCACATGCAATAGGAACTTGACTAGCTAATGCGTGATTTTGTTTCATGCCATCACCTAATCAATGAAGAACAGAGAAGTGAGGATATCAAATAATTAAGTGTGGGCCTCTTGAGCCATAATCAATGGTCTATATACATGGGCGGACCTAGGTTAGGCCTACCCTTGTCAATTGACAAACCTTGTTCAAATTTTGAGACAAAAATTATTTGAATTTTTTTATTTTAATGATGGTAGTATTTGAACTCAAGACTATTTGATAATCCTTGATGATTTTACTACATAATTGAATACCCTTGATGTAATTCCTGGGTCCGCCACTGTCTATATATAACATCAATGATCTAACAATCAAGCATTGATGCTAATCAAGGTATAAATGGTTAACCATTCCCTCTATACTCGCATCAATGGGGGTATACAAGAGGGTAATTTCATTACAACATAGATGATACTAAGCATAATGCATATAGTAGCATATTATAGAGACATAAACAACGCTGATAAAGAAGCATTCATACTAGATTAACATCAATGATCATCCTATAAGCATCGAAACTTAAAGCATCCATACATACATAACAAGCATTGAAATTCAAAAACATCATATGAAATCATAGCATCAATACATACAAAGGTAAACGAGTTCACATTCTCATACAATCAATTTCCAACAAGCTATTAATGATACTTCTTTTGTAGTGTTTGTTACTCCCATTCTTGATATATTTCCCCCTTCTATCAAGCCATCTTTAATAATTTCAATGGTATTTCCTATCTAAATCACACCTATTTGATCAATGAGTTTTTAATAAACCTAAGTTGTGTTTTTGTACTCTTTGACGCCTTCTAGGTATGTTTTTGTTAGTTTAGAAGGTACAAAGCAACCTAAGAAAGATTGGATAAAGCATTTGGAAGACTATGGGGGTACCAAAGGAGCTATAAAGAGAAGAATATGGAGCTTTTGTGAGATGTAGAAGTCAACTAGAAGTCGCTTAATAATATTAAGACAAGCCCATATATAGGAAGAAGATTCGGCCCAAGCTGATGACGAAACTAGCGGTGGTCCAGCATCGGGTCCAACCAATGTTGGAGGAGGCTGGGTAAAGAGGTGTCCAAACTACATGGGAAGATCTTCCAAGGTTCAAGGATCCCAACCCACAAAGAAAAAGAGCAGTCGCCCCATCCACCACCCTACCGCTGCTAAACCCTAGTCTTGTTCAAGAACTTTACTTAGCCCACAAGGAGTAGGAGACCATTTTCTAGTTAGTTTAGGAGATTTTAAGTCGAGTTCTTCCCCTATAAATAGAGGTCATGACTCATTAGCTTAGTAAGGCAGCATAAACATCCAAAAACCTCTATACTCTGCTCGAGTAAGAGCTTAGCTTTCCTAGGAGAGTATGTAGCTAATGATATGTTGTCATCATCGATGGTGGTATCCTCTTTCTCTTCTATTTAGCTAGTTCGAAATTGATTCTATGAATATGTGAACTCGTTTATCTTTATGTGAATGAATGTTATGATTTCATGTCATGCTTGTGTTTATTTATATAATTTGTTGCTCATAAACTATGCATGGGTGCCTATGTTTTGATTACTATGTGACGATCATTGTTGTTTATCTAGTATGATTGCTTCCTTATCATTGACGTTGATGATTTTATAGTATGCTACTATATGCATTATGCTTAGTATTGTCTAGATTGATAATAAATTACCCTCTAGTGATATACCCCATTGATGCCACACAAGTATAGAGAGAATGATCAACCATCTAATCCCAGAATAGCATCAATGCTTGATTATTAGATTATCGATGCTACAAACCATTGATTATGGTTCGTAGAAGCCTGCAATTAACCATGTGTTATCCTAACTTCTTTGTTCTACATTGATTAGGTGATGACATGAAGCAAAAGTACGCATTAGCTAAATTTCTATTGCAAGAGGCGTATGCACGGGTGGAGATGGCTTTAGTGGAAGAGATATAGTGATGCTATAGATGAATCATCGATACATGTTGTGATTGAGCCCTAGTATGCATGATAGTCGTCGAGTTTGCTTTCTTCTACAATAACATATCTTTACTGTTATACATCTATATATTGAAAAACACCTAAACAACTTTACTATTCTTGCTTGCTTGTTTTTCAAGAGAAACAACCTAAATGCTTCAATAATTTCTATTCATTTATAAAAGCATCTGATCATCTTATGTTTAGTTTTGAGTCTCTTTTATTTTGTAGGTTGTCATAAAAATCATACAAAAAGAACTACAAAATACATAAAAGAACACCAAAATCATTTATATGCATTCTAAAACGACTAAAGATGTTCATAAATGGGTGAAAATCTCTATAAAAAAGTGCATGACAGTGCCATGCATCATTCTTAATAGCTCATCATTGTTTCTCACTATGTAAATTGATGATAATATAATTTGTGACATAGATTTTGTGCATATAAATAGAGGGCACACATTGTTTCAAGTTTCCACAATATAAATGAATAAGAAATATATTTTCCCTTTGTTCTCATATTTTGCCTCTGAACTTTGCTCCCATAGTAATTTATCTTCTAAATAACCTATGCAGCCCTCGAAAAGACCATTAATTAATGTTCCTTTTTTTCCATATTTTGTTGTGGAATTTTGTTGATGTGGATTGTATGAGGTCATGGTGTTTGTTGGTAACAATTCAGACGTGGTCATTGCATGCACGCTCTGAATTCTGAATATATAAACAAAATGTCAACAGTTTGCGATTTCTGGTTTATTTGTAGTTATTTCCATTCTCAACTGTCTCTTCAAGAGTTTGGACGAGCATAACCCCCATTTTTAGCTGTAATGGTGCCTGATCCGTTCTTTTGTTTTTTTATTTATCATTGGCGGTACTAATTTTTTTAATGTATGTTTTTTTTGAAGTGTTGTATCATTTCGGAGGACATCGCGGCAGCCATGAGAGAAGATGGTATGGACGCAGGTACGGAAGTTGATGACGACCCGCTGTGCCCTAATATCCCGTTTACAGCTGCTGAAGAGCGTCAATACTGCAGGAAGCTTCGTTCGGCTCTTCTGGTCAAAGTTCTGGGGTGATCATCGTCGTACACAGTGGTCTCACGGAGACTAAATGCCATATGGGTGAAGGCAGGGGCTATCCATATAGTGCGATTCACTAGCGGAATGGACTACGAAAGGGCTGTCACGGGAGGACCGTGGTTGCTGGGTGATCATTATCTCACTGTTCATATGTGGAACAAGCATTTTAACCCATACGAACACGAGATTTCATCGACCCTAGTATGGACAAGGCTGCTGGACATACCGGCTCAATATGCCAACACAGATGCTGTGATGAAAATAGGGAAGCGAATTGGGAGACCCCTGCGGGTTGATCAAGCCACGAGCACAGGTGCCCGCCTAGACTACGCGCGTGTTTGTGTTGAGGTCGATCTCTCCAAACCACTCTTGTCCCAATTTAGAATCCATGGTGTGAAGTACTTCATTCAATACGAGGGGCTGGAGAAGATTTATCTAAGCTGCGAAAAATACTTTGAATGGTCTGGATGCCCTTGCTCCTTTGGCGGGCCGAGCAAGCCGGACGAGGAACCCATCGACGCGAAGACCGACAAGGAGTCAAATCCAGAACCGGAGAAAGTTTATGGGGAGTGGATGATTGCAAAAAGAAAACTACGAGGCCCTTGAGAAGAGATTGCAGCAAAAAAAACCCAGCCCAACAACAACCTAGGGGGCAATGCAGCCAAGTCGGGGTCGCGATTCAATGTTCTCGTAGTGGAAGACTTAATGGAAGAGGAAAATGATCAGACGCGAGGGAATACTCAGGAAAACACACCGAACGCGAGTCACGGTGGGGACAGGGCTGGAGCCAATAGGCCACAAGAGAAGTTGAAACAAGCGCCTACAACGAACAAGGGTACAAAAGAGGCGGGGAACGGGCAGACGAAGAAACCAACAAACACCGTCAAGAACCCGTTGTCCGCAAGGGATGGAGCTGATAAACAAAGGGAAGTGCACCCGGGTAACATGGATCACCTAGAAAATGTGCAGCAGCAGGCTTCCCCAATACACCAGCAGGACGTAAACCACATGGATACGGGGGAAGGAGTACGGGCCACTCAAGCTCCGCACCCACCTTTCCACCTCGATGCGAATAATAAAACTCTCAACTCAGTAGCCTCGGGCAGGCCACCAAATATCGCCATCGATGAGACCATGAACTCGGGAGAAGTACCCAACCCAGCAGTGAACCCTACGTCCTTAAGGAGCAGCGATGGCTTTGCCCATCAGTGATCATTCATGGAGTCTCTCTAACCTTACCTCTTCCATGGATTGTAGTATTTTTTCTTGGAATTGTAGAGGAGCGGGTAGCAGAGTTTTCTTCGTACTTTTTTAGAATACAAACGTAGGTTTTGGCCTAAAATTGTGATTATTGTGGAACCTCGAATCAACGGAGTCACTGCTGAGGAGGTGATCCGTGACATGGGTTATGATAAAAATTTCCTCGTGGATGCCGTGGGGTTTTCGGGGGGTATCGGGGTCCTCTGAAATTCTGCGGAATTCAATCTGACTAGGGTGGATTCTCACGCTCAATTTCTCCATGTGCAGGTTCAACAGGCCAATGGTATGGGAGTTACATGGCTACTTACAACAGTTTACGGCAGCCCGACGCCCATGCAGAGACGTGAGTTATGGACCGCTATCCGTAGGTTGGCTGAAGATGAAGATCGCCCCTGGCTTCTCCTCGGGGATTTTAACTCCATCCTTCTCCCTTCAGAGAAGCTAGGGGGTGCTCCCTTTGACACGGCTAGGGTCAGGGATTTCCAAGACTGTGTCAATGATTCAAGCATTGTTGATCTGGGTTTTTCTAGGCTGGCTTACACTTGGTTTCGGTCGAGAGAATGTGAACGGCTAGACAGAGGTTTGGGTAATAACAGCTGGGTAACGATGTTTCCGGAGACGTCAGTTAAGCATCTCCCTCGGCTAAAATCGGATCACAGACCGATTCTGGTGTCTCTGTTGAACCCAGTCAATCCGGGAGGACCTAAACCTTTTCGGTTCCTCGCTGCATGGCTCACTCACGAGGATTTCAAAAGGATGGCGAGCGCTGCTTGGGCACGTGGAACTAACTTCACAGAATCAGTTGCAGCTTTTGCCCACGATGCACAGTACTGGAACAGATTCACTTTCGGTCACATCCAGAGGCGAAAAGATGCTCTTCTGAATCGCATTGAACGGCTGGAAGCTCGAGACACGGGTGTGGAGATATCAACCACCCTTGAGACGGCCCGGGAGGAACTGGAATCGGTTCTATTTCAGGAGGAGGTTTTGTGGTGCCAGAAGTCCCTCCAGGACTGGCTTAGATGGGGAGATCAGAATACCAAGTTCTTTCACACCCGTACGCTGATAAGAAGGAAGAAGAACCGAATAACTGCTTTGAAGGGGGCTGATGGTACTTGGATAGAGATACCGGAAGAGCTCCATGCTCTTGCCTGCAGCCATTTTGAAAAATTTGTATACGGACGAAGGAGGGATCTTTGTTTCTCCCGGCCATGAATTCCCCTTGGTAGAGGAAGCTACGTGGCTACGAGTGTCGGCATCGCCAAATCAGGATGAGGTTCGGAGTGCTATCAGAAGCATGGGATCGCTGAAGGCCCCTGGAACCGACGGTTTGAGTCCGATCTTTTTCCAGCAATGTTGAGATGTAGTGGGCGAGTCTCTCACCCAGCTAGTTCAATCTTGTTGGGAAGATAGTGAGCAGGTGAGCAGCTTCAACACAACCATTCTTGTCTTGATCCCCAAAGTTCAGGCTCCGGTGCACATTGAACAGTTTAGACCGATAAGCTTGTGTAATGTGGCCTACAAGACCCTGACCAAGTGCATAGCTGAGAGACTTAAGCCGTTAATGTCTTCCCTAGTTCATGAAACTCAAACAAGCTTTGTACCAGGGCGGCGTATAACGGGCAACATTTGCATTCTCCAGGAGGTCGTTCACTCGATGAGAGCCAAACAGGGTCGGAAGGGGTGGATGGTTGTGAAAGTAGATTTGGCGAAAGCATACGACCGCATACAGTGGAGCTTCGTTAAGGACACTCTCCAGGCCATAGGAGCACCCGATGAGTTGGTTAGGCTGATTATGGCGTGTATCTCCACGGCAACGATGCAGGTTCAATGGAATAGTGGTCTCTCGGAACAATTCATCCCTTCTCGGGGACTTCGCCAGGGCTGTCCCTTGTCACCTTACATTTTCACTCTATGCATGGAGCGCTTGGGCCACATCATTACTGACTCGACGAGGCAAGGACAATGGCGGCCCATCAAGATAACTAGCTCGGCTCCAGCGCTTTCCCACATCTTCTTCGCAGACGATCTGATTTTGTTTGGGGAAGCGTCGCTCTACCAGGCGAGGACCATCAATACTTGCTTTGATGCGTTCAGCACATCCTCGGGGCAACAAGTGAGTAAGCCCAAGTCAAGAATCTTCTTTTCTAAGAATGTGTCCACTCAGCAGAGAACTCAGATCTCAAATGAGCTGGCGATTCCGGAGACTCTCAACTTGGGGAGATATTTGGGCGTTCCGGTTATCCACGACAGAGTATCCAAGGCCACCTACATTGATTTGATTAACCGTATCGATTCCAGACTCGCAGGATGGAAAGCAGCAACGATGTCTCTCGCAGCCCGAGTCACCCTGGCACAATCTGTCCTGTCCTCCCTCCAGGCGTACACGATGCAGACGACTCTCCTACCATCTAGTGTCCATGACTACATTGATAAGAAAATAAGGAGTTTTGTTTGGGGCAGTACAGAAGGAGGCAAGAAAATTCATCTCGTCGACTGGGACACTCTTTGCGCGTCCAAAGAGGAGGGCGGATTGGGTTTGAGGGACTCGAGGTGTACGAACGAAGCTTATATGTTGAAGTTGGCTTGGAGGATGCTGACGAACCTGGAGGAGCTTTGGGTGAGGGTGATTAGGGCCAAGTATTTTTGGCTTCGACAGGGTCAGTACATGCCTCGAACACAGGGCAGGCTTCCAATTTATGGCGGGGAATTATGCGAGTATGGCACCTGATTGATGATGGTTCTATGTGGAACGTAAGGAATGGTCGCACGGCGAGGTTCTGGAGTGATAGATGGCTCAACGATGGCGAACCTTTGATGGCCTTCGCCCCGGAGATACCTCAAGAGGCCCTGCAGCTACCTGTGGCGGACTTCATGCTCAATGGTGAGTGGAATGTGGATTATTTACCCGTCTACTTACCCCCATCTGCGCAGGTACTACTTCACCCAGTCCCGGCGGAGCAGGAGGAAGACGTTCGGACTTGGAGATTGACACCCGATGGCAAGTTTTCAGTCCGCACGACGTATCAGCTTCTATCACAGAATCAGGAAGCTCCTTCAGCGCATCCCATTTGGCGATCGATTTGGCGCGCACCTGTCATGCAGCGAGTACGGGCTTTCATGTGGTTAGCAACTCACGATCGTCTGCTGACCAATGCAGAAAGAAGTCACCTCCACCTTACCCAAGATACCATGTGCAAAATCTGCGGAGGCGGACCAGAGACTACCATCCACATCCTGCGCGACTGCTCGTTAGCCAAAGCTACTTGGGCCGACCTGCTGGACACCGAACCCGACACTTTATTCTTTGACCAGCCCCGGAAGCAGTGGTTATTTCACTATCTTGCCGGCCGAAGAAACACCGTGGACAACACTCTCTTCGCTTGCACCTGTTGGCTTCTATGGAAGAACCGGAATAGTCACGTGTTCCAAGACGAGTTACAACTTCCTGCACAAATCCAGTTTCATACCAAACAGCTAAAGCTTCAAATCCTTGCTGCGTTCGAGAAGGAGAAGTCGGTCTTCGGAGGAGGGGGAACTCACGAAAGACGACCTATTAGCTGGCAGCCACCACCGCATGATTGGGTGTGCCTAAACACCGATGGCTCGGTCACCCATTCTCCTTCGAGCATAGCAGCTGGCGGCATCGTTAGGGGTGACGATGGCCGGTTCATTCGAGCTTTCACTGTGAACCTTGGAGGGGGTTCCATTACCCGTGCAGAGCTGGCTGGGATTGTGCAGGGATTGAAACTCGCCTGGGAACTAGGGGCTAGGAAGGTTATTCTACAGACTGACTCTCTCATAGCGAAGACTCTTATCGAGACGGCTTCACATCACCACCCGCATTTCGTTGCCATAGCCGAGATTCGGCGTTGGCTTCAGCTTCCGTGGCAGGTTCGGATTGATCACGTATTCAGGGAGGGTAACTATGTTGCAGACTACTTGGCTTCTATAGGGCATAACTATCCTATTGGTGTTCATGTCTTTGATACCACGTCGAGCGCTTTAGCCTACTGGTTGTACTTTGACAGGATCGGAGTTGAAACTCCACGATTTATTAATGCATAAAGGTTGGGACGCCCTTTAAGCGTCCCGTTTTCCGACCCAAAAAAAGACGCTTAATTCTCAACACCTAAAAATCATTGATGTCACCCATTTTGTGTATTTTGATTGTAAATAGAGAAAGATGTAGTTGAAGTAGAAGCTAGGTTTGATGCCCTCGCAATGTGGCCAAATAGTAAGAGTACCGGATCTGCCAGACACGACAACACTATAACATGATGTCCTATGTTTTTTACACAAAATGTCCTATGTTTATTTAGGAATAAAGGCTTGGTCTAGGAGCGGTTATGGTGACTAACCAATACCATTGCAGATTTAACTAATACCAATACACGAAGATCACTACCAATACAATAACATCAATACCAAAAAAACAATACCTTTACATAATCAATACCAATGCGAAAAATTAATACCAGTACGAAAAAATCAATACTAATATGAAAAATGCATACTAATACGAAAAGTGCAGATATGAAATTCGGTCGAAAGATTGGAGGTAGGCGTTTTGGAGATTCCTTAGGAAAGACATCATCAAATTCTTCTAATACCACTCATGCCCTATGTGGTATGTCTTGAATTAGCTCTTGATTGAGTAGCACTCCCTTGTAGATGATTATGATCATGGATTCACAATCATTCACTACTTGCATCACGTCTTCACTCCGTGATTTCATCAATGACTTGGTCTCCACAGCACTAGATCCTCCTCGGTGACTCTTGCTTGTGATTTGAGACTCCTGCTCCTTCTCTTTCACCCTATTTTGTTGCATTTGAAGTTGATCTTCCTATACTTCTTTGGGAAATAGGGTTTCTAACACGAACCTTTTTCCACCATGTGACAACATTTTATTTGTAGGTGACTCCATCGTGATGTGCACATCGATAAAATTGCAATGGTGCACATCAATCACCATTGAGAGCAACTTTCCATCTACTAGGCACCTCGTATGGAACAATTTCTCTCGTTGTTCAAACTCCTCTTTTGGTTGCACACTTAGAATTCTTCTACCGACGAGAATACTTCCTGGTGGTGCCTCCATCTCTATCGACCCCTCAACTTTAGAAACCGAATTTGTCTTCTCCTCATATTCAGATTCCAAGACATATTTTTCATTTTCTAACATGACTAGAGCTTGCTTGTTGGGGCATTGGTTGGCCATATACCCTCTCCCATGACACTTGAAGCATTGGATGCCTCCACTAGATTTTGTGGGTCTCTCTCTTGGTGCTTCAACCTTTGCTGTCAATTTTGGTGCTTTTGGCTTAGATATGGCTGGCTTAGGGTTTGAAGTAGTAGGCACTCTTGTCCTTGGCGCACTTGAGGGAGGTATGAACCTTCTTCCAAGGTTGCTTCGTTGTTACCTCTCAACTTCGGCTGCCATTGCAACCAAATCGTACAACTCCACAAACGGCTGAATTTCCACCATGTTTCTGATTTCTAGATTGAGTCCATGAAAGAATTGTGAAATGGTGGCTTCATGATCCTCTTCTATATCTGCTATAATATTCAGCATCTCCATCTCTTTATTGTGCCGCCATGGCTCTCATTGTTTCCTCCGTTCTTGTGGCACAAGAAAGTGTTTCTTGCTTCAAGAACTCCTCAAGATTGCTTCGAAAGGCCTCAATAACCTTTCCTTTGTCCAAACCTCTTCAAAAAGATAGCTTCAAGAACTCGACCAAGAAGCTTCACGACATGTAAAGAAATTCAAGAAACTTCTTCTCCACAGCGTTTGAACCGGACACTGATACCACTTGATGTCACCAAAGTACGCAGCTTCAACGTTCTTTTTATGATTTTCTTGATGTCGCGTTTCTTGAACCGAAAATAAAGATATGATAGAATCAATCGGACAATCCCACCCGTTATAAATGGAAATTAGTATATGAAAACAATAGGACAGTACCAAATCATGGAAAGGGTCAATTTATACGGGTAGATGCTCACCACAAATAGACGTGATCTCTAGTTGATATCAGACACGTGAACTCCTGGAATTCCTTCAGCAGAAAGTAGCACATAAAACTCATTCGTATTGAACTCGAAACTTGACTTTGATTGATTGAAAAATTGATGAATTACAATGGGAAATTCGGCCCCTATTTATAGACTGTATAACATCCAAAACATAAAAAGAAAACTAAAACAAATGACTAAATCCTACAAGTAAGAGAAAATAACAAATGACCAAATCCTATAAGTAAAAGGAAATAACTTTGACTTCTTCAACCCTTGAATCATGCCTACTAATCTGCCCCCTTTATTCCTTTCACAACTTCATTCCTTTCACTCCATGAGAAATCCCTTCTAGGCTGAATTATTCCTTTCTTCTTCTAAACCCTCCTTCCCTTTATTTTGGTCCACGAATTGTAAGAAGGTGATGGGCTTCCCTCGATGCAAATCCATGTCCATAACATCAAACTGAAGATCCAAATAGATAGCAAATTCCTCCCTTAGTTTCTTAGCCCGTTGACTAGTGATTGGACCTTCTTGCGATGTAGTGAAATTGGTTTCGATGACCTCATCTATTCCTAGCATGGACCAGAAGCAAAAAAAAAAAAAAAAAGAACAAGCTTAACCTTAAAAGGTTTGCCCACGGTCGTGTCTATCTAAGTACTTCTGATCCTCAATCTAAGTCACCACAATCTAACAAGAGAGCTTCTAAGTTATAGCAGCTCGCTACTCTTTTTCTTAACCCTCTCTTCAGAAGTGGAAAGGAATAAACCCCCTTTTCAACCAAAAACTCACAGAGACATGGTGGAATGAAATCTCAACAAGTATGCAAGGCCTTAAGCTGTGAACATAGCTTCCACCCATGAACATAACCTCATTTGGTTTGTTGGCCGATAGTTTATGCTGATGAAATAGCAAGATCTCTATGAATGGAGATTTCTTAAATAAAAGTTGTCACTCCCATCTTTTTATGAACCCCGATAGGGTTTGATTTAAAAAATACGCTATGTGAGGCTTAAATACACCAAAATAGAGAAGAAGAAGGTTATATCAATTTTTAGGGGGAAGAATTCTGTGTCTGAGAGGGGTCGACTTCTTTGGGTAATGGCGGTAGCTGAACTATGGAGGGAACGATGTAGACGAGTCATGGCTGGAGAGGCTCTAGTGGAAAATCAGCTGTTGAAGAAGTTGCAAGGTCTGCTGCACCTACTCAGGCTTGGCTTCCCTCAAGTGGAAGTGGCTGTCTCTGAAGACTATGTTCATAGTATTGTAGTTCTGTAGTAGTGGTCGAGGGAATCTTTCTGTTTCTTGTTTTAGTTGGTTATTAGTCAAAAGTTTGTTGTAAGACAGTGGTGCGTCATTGGTTCCAGTTGGAGGGTTTTTTCTCTTTGGGGAAGCCCTCCTTCTTGATGAATAAAATTTGCTTATTCATAAAAAAAAAAAAAATAGAGAAGAAGGATGAAAATCAATAAGGGAATCACCATGATTTTTTCCTTCTTTTATTTTCTCTTTTCCTTGTATTTATGAGTAAAAATCCTCTAGATTATTCAGATTGGGTGGAACACTAGGTTTTGAAGGATTGCATCTTGCTATTAGATCTATTCTATTGACTTCTGCGTTGGATTTATATCGTTAGGTTGTTCTTCATATCATTGTCTTTTATTTGTGTGCTTGGAAACTTTACAATATGATTTAAGCTAAACGGGAAATGACATCCACGCATAATTGACGCCAGTCAAATGATATGATCATACGAATCCTTAAAAGAAAAATCTATAGGATCCATCGCAATATATTTGATCTATTAATCATTGTACATATGATAGAAAAAAACCCACCTTAGAAGGTAATAGAGACTTGCTTTTGTGCATTCTCATACTATCTTCCGAGGGACAGGTTATGGCGTCCACTCGATCTATAGTAATAGATACTATGACAATGTTACGAGATCGAGCCATCGTAGCGTTTCGTAGAATACTGGGCTTGTGTATTCTTAGTATTTAATTTTTAGTTCGTATTTGGAGAGGAAGAGAATGAGAGAGATTTTTAGAGGTTAAGATTTTTAATTGGGAGGGAGTGATCTCATGTGATAATGATTTCCCCTTCAAATATTGCCCCTAACCTAATATTCTACCAATCAATTTCAAAAATAGAAGAAAGAGAAGGCATCTAATGCCCCCCCCCCCCCCCCCCCCCCCCCGAAAAATAGGCATGTTATCTCATCCCGCTATCTTATATGGTTTATATGTTAATTGAAGCCAGCCAATGGGATGTGCGAGAAGACCCTGACCCCGATACTGCCACCATTTTTATGTCAATGATTATTGTTTAAATAACAATGCTACCACCATTTTAATTTTATTATACTTTAAAAATTGGGACCACATCTCAATTCTAAAATATGGCCTCCATGATTCATTGAACGACCCTGATAGTAATCATAAGTTGTAGCAGTTCATGTCAGAGTTGTACTCTTACTACTATAGAGAGAGAAAAAAAAATCAATGATTACAACTACGATTGCGTCGAAGTTATAATCTTACAATTGAAAAGGATCACAATTCACAACTACAACGATGGCATTACTACAAATCATAATTAGCATAATGCTAACCTCTTATGATTAGCAAGCTAGGCCATCTAAATCCAGATCTGTATTTCCCACTTTCTGTTTCCAGTAATTTTTTTTTCTTAGGTCACTTTGAAAAAAGTGGGAAACTTATGAATATTGTCATAAAAATAGCTAGCCCTTTTGCCTTCGCCTTTATTTTTTGTGCATAGTTAATTAGTTAATACATACGTGCTTTCCTTTCATGGTAGGCTACTAGGCCCATCAAAGTACACTGGGAAACAAAAGAAAATGGAATCTGTGTCCTCATACTTTATATATAGGTCTGTTCGAACGGTTCCTATGAGCCCAAACTCAGTATCTATCTACATATTACACTTTGGTATGGATACAGAACCAAAAATCAAAAGAACGACACAAGGTCGAGTACAAAAAAAAAAAAAAAAAATCTAACCACCAAATGTGCTACTTTATTACTAATCTGACATACAAATCGTACAACAAAACCATTACGGAGCGCCAATGGATAGACATATGAATACCTCAAAAAGGACCACTGAGTAACTATGCCACGTATCTGCTAGGGTTATCTTTTCAATGACCACATTCGCAATAGTGCAAAGTTGTACATCAATAATTGAAAAAAAAGGCTTGAAATGGTATATTTGTTTATGGGTGGTTCAAGAGTTATGAACTTATGATAATAATAATAATAAAAACTCATATATAAAAGGGCAACAGCAACCACGTTATATATAGGGAGGCATGAATGGGTACACCTCAACCATAGAAATATCATAAAGGAAAGAACTGAAAGGAACAGTGGAGAAGAAGTTTGGCAAGATTCCCGAATCACACATGAGTTGGTTTCCCCTTTTTCCATATCTCACCAGAAGAAGAAATAATCTCTAATATAATCTCTATGATATCTTTAAAAAAGTTCATAACGTTAAATAGACAAAAAGGCTACTCTTCCTAAAACGAGTGATTTCCCATTTATTTTGTTTGCTTCGGTTTTACTTCACCACGGGAGGACCAAATAATTCCTCCTGGACTTGTCACTTTTGTTTGCTGTCCCGACTTGATTGATTTCTATGATCAGTAATGATGAAAGCTTTGCGCAATCTCAAACAATAGTTTCCGATTGTGTTGGGTGATGGGCTTTGGCCCATGAATGCATGTATCCATGTACGTATATATGTAGCTTGCGTAGTCCTTGTTAATTAGGAGTTACCTACTGCCGAGTCATCTCCCTCCACTCGGGTAATGTGTGAGAAGAGAGGTCGATTGGGTATGGCACGATTCAGAGGCTTTGGTTTAACAGGTTTGACGGGGAGGACCAGTCTCTCAACCGTTGCTTGAAGAAGCCTATCACGACGTCGTAATGCCTATATACGATGGCGTCCTACTTACTCCGCATAGTCGTCATTAGCCGATGGTAATTAGCCACTCGTACAACTCTTATTTGTACATTTAACTGTTCGTTAGTTTAGTCACAGTTTGGTAACTGATAGTTGTTAAGAGATGTAAGTAGGTTTTCTCTGCAGCCTATATATGGTGCTTGTAAAGGCTTTTGCGAATTCACTGAAAATACTCAGTTTCATCAAACCCTATTCTAATAATACCATAGCTTGAGGCTCTTTGCTAGAGTTTCTCCATGACTTCCACATATTCAGGACCAATGTCTACTACTTCTTCTTGTTTCTCTTCTAACATAGCTAACCAGCTGGTGCCGCAATCCATTATCTCGATCAAGTTTAATGGGAAGAACTACTACAACCTTTGGAGAAGATCCCTATGTATAGTACTGAAGACAAGGAAGAGACTCGTTATATTGATGGGTCTCGACCACAACCAGATTCTACAAATACAACATTTGAAGAATGTGATGCTAACAACACATAGGTACTGGGTTGGATCCTTAACTATCTTGATGAAATTACTGCTGGGAGTGTACCTAGTATTGAGAATCTGGGAGATTGGAAGATGAGACATGGATAGGCTGATGTTTTCAGGTTAGCAGATCTACAAACATTGATATATTCTTGCAGGCAAGGAACATCGTTGTAAATATGTCAGCAAGTTGAAGCTTGGACCTAACTTGAGTAACTGTAACAATCTTATTCAAAAATGTGTCGTCGAATCACATGGCAATCCACTCCCATATATTTGGTTCTCTCATGAAACACTAGATTGTGTGCAATGTGACTCGCATACTGATTATCACAAAACGTTGTTGCTGGTTATGTGTGATTCACTCCCATTTCTAACAACAATTTTTTCAACCACACCAGCTCCAAGGAGAGTACAATAACCAGAAATAGATTTTCTCGTATTTGGACAAGCAGCCCAGTCAGCATCTAAGTAACCTTTCAACTGTAAAAAGTATTGGTCTTAAACAATAAACCTTGAGTTGGATGATCTTTAAGGTATTCGAAAGCATAATGTATAACTTGTATATGTTGATTTGTATAGCTACTATACCGCATAGTTAATCTGGTCTTGTTGTAGTGAGATACTTGAACTTCCCAACCAATCTTCTATAAAGTGTTGAATCTGGTAACATGTTACTTGGTGTAGATGAAAGTCTGCTTTTCAATTCTATATGTGTCAAACCTGGTTTACAACTAGGGATGGCAATGGGTCGGGTCAAGGACGGATAGTGCATATCTGTTACCCTACCCAAAGTAGTTTGGGTTTTGCCCATGCCCATACCCACATGAGAAACGGGTAGAAAATTCAAACCGTGCCCATACCCGTTCAAGTTTCGGGTATCCACGGTTATCCATGGGTAATAGTTTCCCTTTATAACTCCAACCAATATGTTAATATGCACACGTATTCTCAAGTTGCGTAAGACGAAAACTACGACAATAATCACTAGAATGAAGAAAATTAATTAAAACAACACAATTTCATAAAAATATTATATTTATATGCTATATATAAAATATGTTAGAGAAAAGTATTGATTATTTCTAGACAAAATACATTTGCATGTGTATAATCAGGTGGGTTCGGGTTGGATAGTGAGAAAATCATGCCCACCCATTACCCGAAATATTCGGGTTCGGGTTTTACCCGTACCCACTAAAAGTCCTTCAGGTTCGGATTTTACCCTACCCGATTAGGCTAGATTCGGGTGGATATCCACGGTTACGGATATTTTTGCCGTCCTATTTACAACTAAGGAATCCAGTCTCCTTGAGCATATCCAAACAGTATTTCCTTTAACATACAAATATTCCTCTGGAGCTTCTAACAATTTCCAGTCCTAATAAGTACCCTAGTTTCCCAAATCTTTTATCTTGAATTCCTTAGCTAGGAATTCTTTTGTTTCCATGATTTCTTAAAGCACATTCCCTGCAATCCTGATGCCATCTACATAGAGCAAGAATATATGGATTATGTCACCTCTGATCAAAACATAGAGTAGTCTGCATGAAACTGCTTGAATCCAAACTTCAACAAAGAAGCAGTCAGCTTGGCAAACCATTGTTGTTGGCTTGCTTAAGTCCATACAAGGATTTTTTAAGAAGACAAACTTGTTTATGTCCAGATTTCGTCACTATCAACCCTAAGGGTATTTCCATATATATTAACTCATCCATATCTCTATGGAGAAATTCATTATTGACATCCATTTGTTGTAAATGTCAACTCTTCACTGATGCAACAAACAACAAAGTTTTAACAGTATTTATCTTGACAACTAGAGAATAAGTGTTCAAGAAATTAATACTATAAATTTTTGTAATTCCATTGGCAACCAAACGAGCTTTGTATCTCTTATACTTCCATCTAGATTTAACTTCACTTAAACACCCAATGAAATCCCAATGACTTTCTGCCAGGTGGTAAATGCAAAATTCGCCAAGTCTCATTGGCTTGCAATGCCTTCAACTCTTATATGATTGATTTCCTCCAATGATCATGTTGAATGGATTCTCTATAAGTATATGGTTATTCCAGGTTAAGCACACTGAGAGCATAAGTTTGGAATTCTGCGGTAAGATTTTGGTCAGAAAGGAAATTGGCCAAAATGGTCGTAGACTGTGGGCTGATGTTGGTGGGTTTAAGTTAGGAATGTTTATTTTGTAATTATGGACAAGGTATTATGGTGGTTTGGATGGTCTATTTGACCTCCTCCTCTTCGACTGTCACCTCATCATCTTCTTCCTGAGGTTGTGCAAATTCATCACTTGGACTCTCCTTCATATCCTCAATATGTGGAAGAGAGGATGGTTTAGGAAATGTAATGGTTTAGTGGATTTTGGTTTGGTCAGGTAAGAGAGGAGGAGTGGTTGGATCAAGAAAGGTATCAAAGTTAAGAGGTTGAGAGGTAGAATGTGCGAAAGATATAGGCTGAGGTAAATGATCTATTCTATAAGCTAGGGAGAACTTGCTCATAGAATTTAACATCTCTAGATACAAAGACTACATGAGAAGACAACTCAAGCAGTTTGTATCCCTTCATGCCTGGGGCAAAACTCAAAAAGAGATATTTCCTTGTCCTAATTTCAAATTTCTTTCCTTTCTAAGACAAAGTTCCAACATAACACAGGCAGCCAAAAACTCTCAAGACTCTATAATCTGGAGATTTTCCATATAGCTTCTCAAAAGATGTCATATCATTTAATATAGATGAATGTAATCTGTTAATAAGAAACACAGCAAGCAAAACACAATACGACAAAAAAGATAAGGATAATCCATATTGGAATGTTAAACTCTTGTTCAATTCAATACGCAAGGATGTTTTTTTACCACCCTGCCATTCTGCTACGGAACCTCTACATAGGATCTTTGATGAAGAATTCCATGTTGAGAATAGAAACCTGCCTCGTCAAACTCAAGGTCTTGGTCTGACCTGATGGTCTTAACCTTTTGACCAAAATGCACAACCACCATAATACAGAAACTTTCTTGTAAATTTCAAGATTCAAATGTAGCTTTCATTAAGTAAGCCCATAAACTTCTACAACAATCATCCACGATAGTCAAAAAGTATCAAAATCTATTGTAACTCATTACATAATGAGGTCTCCAAATGTCTACATGGACTAGATCAAAGGATGATGAAGCTACTAAGTTACTTAAATCTAAAGGCAGTTTCTTCTACTTAGCAAAGTGACAGGTATCACAATGATCTACTACAAAATTCTCAACTATATGACTACTTTTCTGGATATAATTTTGTCTCAATGATGATGGATGTCCTGATTAGTGTCACTAGTCAAGATTTTAGTGTGAGAAGTTATAGGTTGTTGTAATGGTGGGTGACTTCCCTTTGGCATCAGGGACAAGAACAGAATGTGAGCATTAGGACATTTGGTAAAGATCTCTAACTTGATCGGTCAAGCCAACCACCCTCTTAGTAAAAAGTTCCTGAATTTTACAGTAGGATGAATTGAAGGTAAGTGTAACAGGAAGATTTTTTGCAATTTTCTCATTGAGATCAAATTTAAAGAAAAGGATGGTACATAAAGAACTTGGTAGATAGTATGATCACAAGGTAATCTTACAATGCATATATGAGTAGCTTCTGTCATATAACCATTAGGCGGAGTTACAAACATATCCTTTATCACCTTATAATCCAAAAAGCATGATAAGTTACAAGATGTATGGTCAGTAGCTCCTGCATCAATAATCCATACATCAACCAACTCCAATGGGTTTGATTTAGTGTATGCAAAAAGAGTTTATTTGCGCAAAGTTATGGAAACTTGGCAAGTGTCTGGTGATAGAATTAGCCTAAGGAAGGAAACTAGGTGACTTTGGTCTAGATGCATTTGGTGAAGTTGGCAAGTGTCTGTTGGAGTACGATTCACATTTTGCACAATCCAACATTTCATGAGAGAACCAAAATATTAAAGTAGATTTCCATGTGATTGGACAACATAATTTGGATAAGATTATTATAGTTACTCATATCAGGTTTGAGCTTCAACTTGCATATGTATTTACCAAGGTGTTTAGTTGACATCGTCTTAATTTTCTTCTAGCCAAGATGGGAGTTACAGTCATCTACACTCCTCAGCTTGAGGGAGGTAAGAAGACGATTAACTGAAGATGAAGATGAAGGTCAATTGGGTACGACCCAATTTAGAGGTTTTGGTTTAACAGGTTCGACTTGGAGGACGACCATTCGCTCATTCGCTCCTTGAATTAAAAAGTACATTATGACGTCATAATGTCTACACGATCGTCCTACTTAGTGCTCATAATCACCATTATCCACTTGTAATTGGCCATCTGTATAGCTCTTATTCATCCATTTAATTGTTAGTTAGTTTAGTCACTATTTAGTGAACATTAGTTGTTCATCTCTATAAGTAGTTTTTCTCTGCAACCTATGGAAGCTTCTTGTAAAGGCTTTTGCCAATTCAATGGAACAGTTAGTTTCATCAAACCATGTTCTTATCTTGTGTCCTCTATTTTGAATATATCCATTTTGATAACATATATGTTTCGATTATTTAACATGGTATCAGAGCCTTCTATGATCAAGAGATCTTTTGTTCAAAACCTAGTGATCCCATATGTTCTGTTAAGAACATGATATTCGGACATGTGCAAACTTCAAGCCTATATGAGTGAACCTCTCCAACAACTCTAGTTATTGTGATCAACTGGCCTCCAACTTTATGACAATCTTTGCGGTCCACTATTGGCCAACCTTTGATTCATCACCAGGATTATGTCTCCAATAGAATCGAGTCAATTCATGTTCCGACACAGATCTCTCATGCTCAGAGAGATCTGAATTGGGACTGTTCTATGTGCGAGGAGCTTGTGACCCTTAATGCTAATCACACATAGACTGTTGTTCCTCGACCACCTTCTATTGTTACTACTATCAATATTCTGTGGGTTTATACTCTGAAGGTTAAGTCGGATGGTTCTCTGTAATGTTATAAGGCTCATATGGTGGCTCAAGGTTTCAGTCAGGAGTATGACATTGAATTTGAAGAGAAATATCATTATTGGCCTTCATTTCCGTCGTACTCTTAATGATCCTTCTTTGTTCACTCGACAGTCTTACCTTAGTCTCTTCTTGCTTCTTCTATACATAGATGATATTATTGTGAGTAGTGATGATGCCGAGAGGATTGAAGCTCTCATGAAGGGTCTTCATGCTTCTTTAAGTTTGAAGGAGCTACGATCTCTCTCTTACTTTTTGGGTCGGGAGGTCCACAATCTCCAGCTAGTATTCTCCTTTCTCAGCACAATTATGTTGATGACCTTCTCAACATATTCTTACTGTGTTTCAAATTCTACACCCATGGAGCTAATATGAATTCGGGGAGGGAAATATAAAATATAGTGCCTCAGGCTTTCTCGGAACCTGATTATGCTGGTTGTGTGGATACATATCGTTCCACGAGTGCGTAGTGTGTCCAGTTGGGAGATTCTTTGATTTTTTGGCGTGTAATGATTTATTTGACTATGACGCGCCAAGATATCACTTATATTGTTCATATTGTCACTATGTTGATGTTATTCATCGAATTATACATCATCTACATGAGACTTATGTAGTTGGTCTTTTTCTTTTCACTTACTGGTGCTTTTCATGCTTCGGGCTTTCTCGGATCCTAATTATGCTGGTTGTGTGGATACATATCGTTCCACGAGTGCGTGGTGTGTCCGATTGGGAGATTCTTTGATTTCTTGGCATGTAAGAAACATGATCGCATATCGAAATCTTCTATTAAAGCTAAGTATCGTGCTATGTCTGATGTTACATTAGAACTTGAGTGGTTGTAATAGTTACTCGGTGATCTTGGCGTTGTCTGTGTGGTACACATGCAGTTGTATGTGGATAACACTAGTGCTTTTAATATTGTTATCAATCTTGTTCTTCATCATCGCACTAAACACAATGAGGTACACATCCATTATATTCTAGACCTTATTCGTGATGGAATCATTCGAGTCTTTTACATTACTTCCGAGGACCATATTGCAGATCTCCTAACTAAGTCCTTCTTTGTTAGTCGTCATTCTTATCTCCCTGCAAATTGGTGATGCAAGACCTCCATCAATTTGTGGAGGGTGTTGAGTTATGGGTTTTGAGCCCATGAATGCATGTATCCATGTACGTATTTATGTAGCTTGCGTAGACCTGGTTAGGAGTAACGTATTGTTGAGTCATCTCCCTCCCTCACGGCTAGGGTTTGGGATGTAAGTGTATATATTTGTAAACCTAAACTGCTTTTGTGTTGTGGATTAGTCTCGACGATTATACGTCGAGGGTACCACATAAATCGTGTATTTTTTATTTTATCCTTTTTTGATAGCATATAAGTTCCGATTGTTTAACATATTGCTAATTAATGGCACAAATCGTGTTTGCTCTATTTGGAACCAGGGGCAGAGGAGCTCGAGAAAGAGATATATAAATTTGGTATAAGTTAATTGATAATTAAATTTACGACGTGTAATTAAAAAATGATCGACCTTACAAATTTTTTATGCATGAACAATAATGGTGCATGTCATCTACTCAAAATCAATGGTGTACATAATCAAAATTAACAAAAAAAAATCCATCAAATAGCAACTAACTTATAAAAAAGTTGTATTCCAACCAGGGGAGAACGAGAGAACTTAACACTATGATCCTCAAGAGGAAATGAGTAAATTAGGTATAATAGTTAGTTGAGATTGAAGTTTGAGACGCATATAATTGAGAACTAGTTTTTTACCCGGCCCGTTGGCCGGAGAGATTTATTTTACAATTTATATCAATTAACTTATTTATATGTTTAAATCATTTTGAATTTTTTAAATATTTTATGTTCTTGATTCATAATAGAGTTTGTAGTATGTCTATACTGAAAATTTCCAATATTTAGCATACTCACTTGTGATGCTTTGATTTTCTAAACATAAATGATGTCATTGTCACATCCCATTTAGAACTTATGTCAAAATTTGTCAACCAAAACACTAATATTTAGCGTACGCCAACCTGAACCACACACACATATATAGTTCAAGCTAGCCTGCGCAAGGAATACGCTATAATCTTGAGTTCACACTACCATACGACCATTGAGTTTTACTATTTATACCCCGAATTAACCGAAGTTTTTGGGGCATGATATTATACCCTAACCTCTAATAGGTGAACTACAGTCCCTAATTCTCTAACCTCTAATTTACACACATACTTCGTCATACCTATCTTCTATCGTATCTTGAGTAAATTCAAAAGTATAGTATACCTTGATATTGAGGGTTTTCTACGGTACCCCGGGTGAGATCTGAGTACCGCATACCTTGAGTATGAAAATGCTATCTAAACCTCGAAGTTTTTGCCTATATTTGGATGAATCATAATCGTCGATCATTGTTTCTAATTAAATTGTTTTGGCATATAAGATTTAGAGAATTAAAACCTAGATTTTGATATCTATGGGTTGCAGTATAGTATCATGTCCGAAAGATCAGACAATTCAAGGTCTAGATAACGTTTTCATGCTCAAGGTATGCGGTACCCTTAATTTCACCCTAGGTACCGTAGAACTCACCCCTTGATATTATATATAGTGTATATATATGCGCGCGTGTGTGTAAAGTAGACTCAAAATTATCCATATATTTCATCACACCTATCGTATCTTGCCTAATACTCATATTAAAACTGCTACTTGCTTATCCCGACTCCCGGGATAGAGATCCCACTTTTACCCCCATAACGTCAAGCAGTCATTGGGGTTGTGTATTGTTCGATATGTAATATATAAAGAGGCAAATCCTAAGATCTTGCTATTTATTTCTTATCCTCTACACAACCCCCTTTATGGAGAATAAAAGGGTAGGGATGACAGGATCATAGCTCGATATGGTTTATTTTGTTCATCGTATCAGAGGTTATTTTCTTTTTTTATTTTTTGGGCTTCTTTTCATTCTTTTTTGGAACCTATGGTTGTGATCAGAGGTATTTATCCCCCCGAAAGGGATTGGGATTTTAGGTAATTTGAAAATCCAATACACATTCATGATCCTCGAGTTTGGAAGAACTCTCGACCAATGTTGTAAAGATACTTCATTATTGGATCAATTTATTCACTCATATTGAAACTTGACACACACTGTAGCCCTCATGATGATTAAATTCTCTAATCTCGACTCATTTCCATTTTGTATGTTAGTTTTTTTTATCAAGACACTTAAATTTAGTATATTATACAATATGTATCAATTGTTAATTCTTGAAGTTTAGACTAAACCTCAACCAGCGGTCATTGTTTATATGTTAGCTTTGAATCTCAATCTAAGACACTCACACACACTGTCGAGGATTTTGGTCTTAACATGGTCGTTGAATGTGTAATTTTCAAAGATTTTATCAATTATAATTAATAATTGATAAAGAGTGTCTGCAATACACACATATTTCAAGTGCATTTAAAATGTCTTATCATTTGAACAATATCGGTGGATTTCATTTGATTATTTGTATTAACTTATTATCTTATACAACATATATCAATTTGTGTTTCTCGAGTTTGGACGAACTGGCAACCAATTTAGAGAGTTGAGATGATTGGATAAAAATACTTGATTGTTGGATAAATATTTTTATCCCTATTGATTATCTTACTAAAAATTGTCAACCTTTATTCGGTAAATGCCTAGTTTATAAATTGATGAAACGTGATGTTTATCGTAGATTCATGACAAAGATTTCTCTAACCTTCACATATGTTATTTTTCAAGGAATCTTGCGTCTCATCCTAGGGTATGGAGTCAAAGTTCGTCAACAATCATACTTAAGTAATTTTGAAAATTTTGATTTATAATCATTGACGATAACTCCAAGTCTAATATAAAATTTCTTAGCATACGACTTAGGACCTCAATAGAACTTGCTCAATCAAACATGATATAGAGCAAATATTATAAATGTGAACTTAGGACACATTATAAAATTATTGCACATGCAATACCTCTTCATTTGAGGAGTTTAAGGTAGAACATGATCTGAATGAATAAAAAGTTTTTTTTTAAAATAAATAACTATAATTACTCGATCAAGATTATACTCTAACATTTTACTAAATAATAATTTTTTTATTTTATAGATATACTTTACGAATAAGTCAGTGTTTCATTGCAACAAAATATAAAGTAATATAGTTTATTTTTCATAAGTACTTGCATGTCAAATTTTATTTTCTCTCTTTTCATATATATTTTATTTAATCGATAAAAAAATATTATATATGTGTATGTTTGTTTAATTTTTTCATCAAAATATAACTTATCATTCAACTTTAGTAAAAATTAGTAGAAAATTTACTTCATAAGGTTTAATCAGATATTTTTATTTGAACGAATGTCACTCTCCATTTTCTTATTTATATTTTTTTTACTTGAAAAAAATTATTATTTATGTGTGTTCTGTTAATAGAATAATTGGATAAAAGAAATGAAATATTAAAGAAGAGAGAGGTAGCTTCATAAATACATTAATAACTAATTTTTTTGTTTGTAAAAAAGTTGTCCAACTTGGCAAATTATGGATCCTCCAAGTGCTTATGTGGCAAGATATTTTTTTTGAATTGCCATAATATATAGTATAGATAGATAGATAGATAGATAGATATAGATATAGATATAGATAGATAGTTGACAAAGAGATTTTATGTTCGAATCTTGGCGACCCCATTTGTTAAGTACATGATATTCATATTTATTCAAACTTCGAACTCATATTAGTTGGTTTTTCGTTTGAGAGAGTGGGTTAATAAATGGATACATTATGAACCTATGACAAAAACTCAAGTTGTTGTACTAAATGGTTCTTGGAAAAGAACATCATTTGAAAACCGAATGACTAACTAAATCATGAATTATTATTTGGTACATAGAGTATTATTCTTTATATTTTCGAATATCTATATATTCTAATTTTAACAAGTTTTTTCAAATATAAATTTTTATCGTAACTAATTAAAAATGATTAACAACAACTTTTTCCCCCCTAAATGGATCCATCTTCAACAATGTCCTCAGCCATGCCCCTGTGTGGAACGCGTAAAAACCAAAAGAAAACAAAGCTCGATGACATTTGTTCAGCATTTTATATTAGATTACTCATAAATTTCACATTAGTAAACTTTTAAATAATTACTCGCTAAATATTTAGTACAAAAGAAGTACATATTCGAAACCAGACCTCATACTTAGATAAATAAGCATACTCAAATTCTACTTCTTTTACTGTAAACCAAAAAAAAAAAAACCTTCTAATTCTTTCTTTCCTCGCTCTCTTCCTCGCCGAAAAAAATTTATCTATACGGCCGAAAGATGAATATGCTAACCAACCAAAATTATCTATTCAGTTTCCCAACAAATTCATATATTTTTTTTTATAACTAAATATTCAGTTTTTGTGTTGGGCAAATGAGAGGAACAATTTGGGATGCATTTGACTTCTTTGCTTTTTGTGGGTAATGTGTGGGCGACAGGCATGGGGCTGTCTCCTTCAATAGTTTAATTAGCTCAACTTTTAAGTGCAAGAAGAGCATACTTCTATCACACACCTTGCTCCCTATGTCATGTGATTCTTCTCCCTGACTTTTTTTCGCTCATAATAATTTCCCAATTAATTGGCCATCGCGAAAAGTCAGTTGCTAATACAGTATTTTGCTTAAGGTTGTCAATTAGCGGGCCAACTCATAGGTTGATTCGGCACGAATCGAAACATCTACAAAACAATCAAGGACCATCCATCTCACATCTTCATCCAAGCAACATTGGAAAAGACGGACCACTGCTTATAACTATAGCTAAATGGCATGTTTGGTCACTTTGTGTTTGCAAATATATGATGAACTCGTATTTTTCTTGTATAAACTCCAAAATACTATCAACATATGTTATTTAGTTTAGTTTAGCATAAGAATGTAAGTACCACAAACCATTCATGTGAAATTAAATACGCTAGCTTCCATTTGAAGGTGATACTATCTTGATGTTTTGTTTCCCTTTGTTTACAGAATCCGATAAAAGTAGAAGATTCTTTCCAATTAATCGATAAGATGCTTCGGTCTTCTCACTTTTTTCAATTTTTACGTACAGAATTTCTACTGTGTTTGTACCCAAAAAAATATGTGGTCTTTTTTCCTGGGCAAAGAGCAGCATATATAACTTTGCTGAAAGGTGTATTTCGAGGGGGGAAAAAGAATCTTTAGCAAAAGGGGAGAAAGCAGAGAACAAAAAACGATTCTTTGTGCTCATGTTTCCTCAAAATTCACAAGCAATAAAATCAATTTTCTTTTGCTTTACGGTGCATTAGAGCAAGTAAAGAGAAAAAGAAAACAAGAATAATCCAATAATGAGAATCTTTTTGCTCGTTCCATTAAAATAGAGAAAAGCTCCCCTTCTCTTCTCGTTCCATTGTTGTAAATTCTCCCTATGAACTAGCATTGTGCCTGTCCTTGGATTTGGGTACTGTTTGCATATATATTATATGATTCATAATGATAATAAGTATTCTCAATAACCCGCCAATTTACTATAAGCGATTATTTTTTGGTCGATTTCATAACTCATCTTACTAACAAAGGTAATAGTAAACCACATTGAAATCAAACTAATCCACATTCACAATCATCCAATCCAACAACACACAATGCATCATCCATCCCTCTTCAAATTTGTCAATGTAAAACTTGGACCAGAAGCCCTGTTAACAAAAAATTTGCCATGCGTATATATACATGATGTAAAAAATCCTATACACTTATGCTAATTCTAGAAAAAAGTTGAAATATCCCCCAACTCAAACAAGGTAAGTTGAGTTACAGCAGCAACAGCTATTATTATTATTATTATTATTATTATTATTATTATTATTATTATTATTATTATTTAATGGTGGTTATGAATAGTGAGCGAAGCAATTGTTTCATAAGTAGCTATCCTTTCATACACATTGATTTGATGTTGTACATAGTCAAATTTAATTGGGTAGATATGAATAATGCTCATATTGTATTCTGGCGACGACTCTCATATATCTCTCCACCAGACAAACACGGACCTCCCTCGATCCGCCAAACCAGATGTAGCCCAAACGTGGATCTCTCGTGGATCCACCAAACCATACGCATATCTCAAATCCCGAGGTCACCGAATGAGGGTCCCACCAAACTGACGTCCACCTCCCCGAATCTGTCGAATCAGGCTCTGATACCACTTGTCAAACCCGGGGTGCTCAATTAGTACGATATTGTCCGCTTTGGGCCAAGCCCGCACAGATTTACTTTAAAGGCCTCGTACTAATTAGGCTAGGTGGACACTAATTTACAAGGGTTTATTCCCTTGTATTGCCGATATGGTACTTGGATATTCCCACAACAATCCTCCCCTCAAGACAAGGCACGAACTTTGTGTCCTCACCTTAGCGATAATATTGATCCGTCAAACACCTTGTATCGATGGGCTTCTCGGTACAAGGACTTTACCAGACGCAAAAATCTCTTTGATCTGCTTCCCAAAAGCGGAACTCTCTTTGATCCGTCAAGCCCGTGGATCTCTCTCGGATCCACCAAACAGACGTGAATCACCTTTGACCCGTCAGACAAACGTAAATCTCAAATCCTGAGGTCACCAAATGATGGTCCCACCAAACTAAAGTCCACCACCCAGAATCGAACCAGACTCTGATACCACTTGTCAAATTGGGGTGCTAAATTAGTACGATATTGTCTGCTTTGGGCCAAGCCCGGACGGTTTTACTTTTGGGTGTCCTCTCCAAAAGGCCTCGTACTAATTGAGCTAGGTGGACACTAATATACAAGGGCTCCTTCTCTTGTATTACCAATGTGGAACTTGGATTGTCCTCATAACAATCCTCCCCTCAAGACAAGGACCACAAACTTCGTGTCCTCTACTCAGCGATTATCTTGATCCGCTAGACACCTTGTATCGATGGGCTTCTCGGTACAAGGATTTTCCCAGACGCGGTACTCTCTTTGATCCGCCAAACAGACGTGGATCTCTCCACCAGACAAACACGAACCTCCCTTGATCTGCCAAACCAGATGTAGCTCAAACGTGGATCTCTCGTGCATCCACCAAACCAGACACATATCTAAAATCACGAGGTCACCGAATGAGGGTCCCACCAAACTGACGTCCACGTTCCCGGATCTGCCGAACCAGGCTCTGATGAAACAATTGTGAGTGATGGTCTTGCCCAATCTCGTACAAACTCAAATCAGATTTTATGCAATCAACACGTGGGAAGAAAGCAGTGAAGTAATTAAAGACTAATTATATTGGCATGAATCCACCCATAAAGATCATTAATAATAAGAAATCACATAAATAAAATTAATCCTAGGGTTCTATATAATCTGAACAATTCGAGTTTTAGCAATGCTTGGACTTAGGGGTCGTTTGGAAGTTGCGATAGTTTTGTTGAGATTGTCATTATGCATGTATTGTTTACAATGCATCGTTTTTTTGTTTTTTTAGCAGAAACAATACATGGATTGTTTCTGTGATGTGACAGAAACTATCACTCATTTTGAGTGATTGTTATATCTCAACTTTTAGTTGTGATTGTGGAGATAGTTTAGTTGAGATTGTTTTGTCTCAGCTTTTAGCTGATGCGACATACACAATCACACATACCAAACGTAGTATTCTACAATGCATCAAATTCGACAATACATGTATAATATTATACATGCATTCTCAACAATACATCTATTTAACAATCGCAACTTCCAAACAATCCCTTAGTTTGTTTAGCTGCTCTTTTGTACAACAGTACTGGTGATAACACATGAGAAGTGCTTTCTTAATTAGACCTCCATATATGACCAAAACTTTATGGTTTTGGTACTTTTAATGTAATAATACCTTGGATTTGTTTAGTGATCACTCAAAGTGCATATTCTCGTAGCACTAGGCTTCCTTTTATCAATTGAATGCACTCTTGGTAGTGTTATGTGTGTTTTTGGGGCATAACAACTTAGTGGACTACTTTAGACGTGTTGAGAGATATCATAACTTGACTACTAGTAGCCCAGTTCAGTAGCCTAGCTAGTCCTAGAAAATCTCTGTTTGGGGTGCCGATTTGGAGACTTTTTGGGATCTTTTTTCGACAGATGAATCATGTGGCTCTTGTTCGCTTGCCTGTTTAGCTCCCTTAGTTGCATAGGTTACGAACCTTAGAGGTAGGGGTGGAAATCGGTACGGTATCGGTATCCCAATATCAAATACCGAAATCTCGAATACCGAATTACACCCTGAAATCAATCCCAATACCAAATACCGAAATCTCGAATAACGAATTACACCCTGAAATCAATCCCAATCCCTAAATAATTTCGGTATCCCAATCCCAATCCCTAAATATTTTGGTATCCCAATCGGTACCTCGGTATACCAATCGGTATTATCAAATACAAAATTAATTACATTTTCCATTAATAATTTAATATATAAATTAGATTTTATTGTTTAATTCAAGGCAAAGAGACGAAGCAAAGAGTCTTAAGTTGCCTAGAGCTAACATCTCAAGTTTTTGTAATTGGTAATCTTTAATTTGATGAATTTGAGGTTGAGAGACGACTAATACTAGTGTGAAATAGTGATGTAATGATCTATGTATAATTAAATGGCACTTTTAGTGGTTGAAGGTCGCGTAGTAGTGAATGAGAGAGTCTAGTTGAGAGGATAAAATACACACTAGCTTATATTTCGGTATTGATCGGTATTTCGGTATATACCGATCCCAATCCCGTAATCCCTAATACTGAATAACAATTGAAACTCAATCCCAATCCCAATCCCACAAAATGATATGTATACTCGGTAATACCAAATATAGACAAATTCGGTACGGTATTCGGTATATCCCAAATACCGGTACCAAACTTTCGGCCCTACTTAGAGGTATATGGCGATGTATTCTCGATTTTGGCATATATATGATTGACTTTATTCTTTCTATTGTTTGTAGTTTTATTAATTTATGTTATCTTTTATTGGATTGAATGAGTGCCTAAGTCGAGCTTTCATCCCTTCAAGTTGCAAGTATTGAAATCTCAGTCGCATCGAACAAGACTGGATATGGCAGTTCTATACAATCGATCTTTGTTCGATCAACCAATGTTTCACTTCAAAGGAGAAATCCGTAGGGTTCTTGTTGCCTACCAGATCGAGGAAAAAGCCTCAGCAGAAGGTACGATTAGATTACATGAAAATCAACAACTCATATGTTGCCTGTATTGAGAAGTGCAACGCCTCGTCCTCTTTCTTCCTTCACCAGCCAGTAGTTTTAGTTTTCCTTTTCCACATTACTTTTACTTTAGTTTTTTTTAACAAAGGGGCACTTCAACCGCCGAGGTACCTCAATATCCACATTCATGTTTTCAAAATAAAGAACTCGTCCACATCACCTGAGTAAGTAGTTGTGAGTAACCCTAGAGAAATACGATCCACACCTTAGGGCTAGGTAAATTTGACTCCCTTACTACAATTGTATCAAATTTTACCGTCATTTGGTTAGAGGGTTGGGTAAGTATAGATGATGTGGTGTGTCGGGTCAGACTATTTTCGAGTTAAATAGTGCTGATTAGGTGATTTCGTCTGCCACATCATCATTTAACGAACTCAGTTAACGGAGATGAACGGTAGTTAACGGAGAGTGATCAAACGTGAACGGTTTCGTAAAGTGAAGTACCACCAATGGATTTAAATATTTCGAGTGATCAAACTTGAACGTTTTTTGTAATCTTAGTGACCAATCATGCAATTAACCCGAAAGTATATAAATAGACTTCTATACGGAGGATTCCACTAGCTAGTGATAGGAGGCATTAGAGGGTCATTGTTCTGCCAACAAAGTGATCCAACTGTCTTAGAACGACATCGACTTCCAGATGGAAATCGACGGTCTAGTCACCAAAATCTCTGTTCGGGCGCCAATTTTGGGGACTCATCGGGATCTTTTTGAATGATGAATTCCATTATTCTCGTCCCCTTGGCTGGCTAGTTCCCTTAGTTGCATAGGTTTACGAACCCTAGAGGTTCTTGATGATGTATTCTCGATTTTGGTATATATATGATTTGACTTTATTCTTTCTGTCGTTTGTATTTAATTCTTTTATGTTATCTTTTGTTGGATTGAATGAGTGCCTAACTCGAGCTTGCATCCCTTTGAGGTGCAAGTATCACAATCCTGGTCGCACAGAACAAGAGCGGAAACAATAATTTTATACAATCAATCTTCGTTCAAGGGAGAAATCTACAGGGTCTTTTCTGCCTACCAGATCGGGGTAAGAAGTCTTGACACAATGTAGGATTAGATTGTATAAAGATGAAGCAACTCATATGTTGTCAGGATTGGGAATACGAGTCAGAGAACTCTAAGGGGAGCTTGTTTGTGCAACTTCTTTGTCCTCCTGCTTCCTTCACCATACACTAGCTTTTAGTTTTCCTTTTCCGCATTGCTTCAACTTTAGTTTTTCTCCAAACAAGGGGCATTCAACCCCCGAGGAACCTCAACCTCCATATTCATCTTTTCAAACCAAAGAACTCGTCCCTCTCCACTTGAGTAAGTGCTTGTGAGAGACCCTATGAAAATACAATATTATCCTCTGGGCCAAGTGAATTTGGCCCACTTACTACAATCGGATCAACTGGCCTTTTGGCCTCCCTTCAATAAAAAATATATATGACATTTAGTTTATTCATAATATGATATCTGTTGAGTTTGAAAAGGAAAGTTGTTAAATCTTGCTACTCTTTATCCTAATGAGTTCTCGAAAGATGACATCTTACATCTAGACGTTCATTAACTAGATATTTATTAATTTGATACGAAGACAACTGGGATGTCTGCACGATCAAAGACAGTTGCTAAACTTTCAAGCGAAATGGTAGTGTAAAAAGTATGTAGTGTTTTCATTATTGTATTGACTTCTAAAGTTGGCGTTGTTGCCACTTGGCGACACTGCAAGTGTTGAAAGAGCATATATATATTCTGCAATGGAACTACTCAACTACATGAAGTACACACTTCCAAATTAGATGAGTAGTGAAATCATTATCGATTCGTTGATAGAATATATTGAGATAGACATCCTTAATTAATAGTTTGGATGATTGAATATATTTTAAATACTTCATAATATAAAACGCAAGTTGTGAATCATTATGCAATATTAACAAAAAGAAAATTTTATGTTGGACCTATCTGAACTAAATTCCAGACTACACTACTGTCTGTAGGAAAAAATTGCCTTCAACCGTTAGAAGTATAATCGACCACCGGTACAATTTTAATTATTTGTTTTTACATTTGAGGAGTAAATGTTATTTATTATTGTGTATTATCAATTAGACCAATTTCTTATGATTTTTGTAGGAGGCATTTGTAGAGGTCTTAGACTAGTAGGGAATGGCATATTTAATTCACAACTTAATAAAAAAAAGAACCAAATTAGAGGGGGAAAAATTGTTTGGCAAAATGAAGTGCCCTTCCGCCCTAGGCAGGCACCACCCACCCGACTAGATATATGCCTCGGTCCACTCCCCAACGCCTCTTCTCTTCCCTTCTCTCCTCCCGTGTGCGCGACTCTCCCTTTATAATATCACCACTCGCAGACTCGCTTCCCCCACCTCTCTCTCTCTCTCTCTCTCGCCATTAAACTATTCCCAAGCTCCGTTTCTCTCTTTCTCTCGACCAACAACATTTCCCCCATATTCTCATAGCTTCCCTCGCCGGGCCTCTAACCGAGAAAAAAAAAAAAAGAGTGAATCAGAGAGTTCGGCGGTCCACAAATAAAAAAGAAAATCCCTAAATTGTGCAGAGCAGCGATGCCGGCGGCAGGGCCAGCGTCCCCGACGCCCGATCGAGCTCCACCGGCCGCGTTTCCGTCCCTCCAGCCACCGCCGGTGCTAATGACGACCGATGCCGCCTTCGCCAAGGACGCGATCCTCGCCTGGTTCCGCGGCGAATTCGCCGCCGCGAACGCAATCATCGACGCATTGTGCGGGCACCTCGCGCAGCTCGACGGAGGCGGATTGGAGTACGATTCCGTCTTCTCCGCCATCCACAGGAGGCGGCTCAACTGGATCCCCGTCCTCCAGATGCAGAAGTACCACTCCATCGCCGACGTGGCGGTGGAGCTCAGGCGTGTCACGGAGCGGAAGGTACAGGACAAGAACGGCGGGATTGAAGGCAAGAAGAGCGCTAATCAGGTGGAGGAGGCCGTCGTTCTGGTGGCGGAGCAGGCGGAGGCCGCCGCCGCAGCCGATGAGAAAATCGACGAGATTGTCAAACCTGCCGCAGCCGCCGCTGTAGCAACGGAGATTCACCTGAACGGAGGAGCGGAGGTGGAGGCGGCGCCGGAGAATTCGGCTGATGACAGTGATGTTACCGACGATTCAGGTAAGTAATAACACTAATAACCATTAAACTTGTCAAATTTGACTTTTCTCCTAATTTCTGCCTTGGTAAAAGTTTTGAATTCTCCGTTATACCTTTTTTTTCCTTTTCTTTGCTTTGCCTCCGTCGTTCTTGGAAATCTGCGAACGGCAGAATTGACCTTGCCACTGCAAAATTCACGGCAATCCCCCCCTCCGTACTCTCTTTACCAAATATGCCGTTTTTCTGAATTAGCTTTTCCCTTTTTGGGCCTCTTTTGCCTTTTTTTTGTGTGTTTCTTTTCCAAGCTCAGTCAGCGCGTAAGTTGCACACAGTCCGTAATTCATCCGAAAAATTTACAGTAAGTTTACTTTTAGGAAAAAGTTACTGTGATTCAAAGGTTAAAATAAAAAAAAGTTACTGTGCTCTGTTCGCAGGCAGAACAAAACAAATAGATGAAAAGACTAACTAGTAACTAACTGAAAGCATTTAAACATGTACAGCTGAATATTTTCTGGGTACGTGACGTGGCAGTAGTTTTACATATTTTTTTTCTTTCAATTCGCAGTTGTCTGTTTGTGAACCAGCTTTGCCTTGTTCAGCCTATAAAACTAATTCCCTAATTTTCCACGTTCAGAATAATAAAAAATTATGTTATTTATGAGCCCTGCCAGATCCAAGATTTCGAGCGATGGCTTAATAATAATGAGCATTTTGAAAGTTCTCATTATAAAAAAAAAACATATGGTGGGGAAAAGTTAAACTTTTTGATTAACAGTGTATAGATTAAGATATGTTGATATGCCGTACTTTTTCGAGGACTGTATAAACCTATAATATTTTTATATTTAGGGGAGTCTATTTTAGACTGTAAATAATCATTATTTTAATAAAAAGCGAAGCCGCAGCTCAAGTAAACATCAAAATTACTCCAAAAATCTAGATTTTGGATTTTCCTTGCGAGTCAAAATAGGAAATCAACGAACAAGTATTTTGGTAGCGTCCTTTCGAAAGAAAAAAAAAGTATTTTAACATTCTAATAAGTAAATAGAATTCATTGAAACCCGAAATTGTGTGATAGAAGATGTAATTTAACATTCTAATAATTCACTTTATTTGTGTGGTCTAGTTAAGACTTAAAGTTACACAATCTGTAAATTAGTATAAAAAAAATTAGAATTACCTAATTTCTATTAGTTATAAAACGAATTAGGATTGGCAATTTCAATCCCACCCATCTTACTTGAATTGTTTTTTTTATATGTTTAGGGTATGTAATATTCGTCCCTACGGATGCTTTAACTTGTCTCATTCCCTACCAGTTTTTTTTGTCTAAATTACATGCAATTTACTCAAATGGTTTAGAATTTCAATTTTACTACATCATAATTTTTTTTATAATAGAGTTCTGGATATTCGAGAGCCTCAATTTCACGAATTACTTAACCACATTTATCATCTCAATTTGTTTCACGGGAGTTTTAAGTAGAAAAATAAATATTTCAAATATTTTTTCTTTGAAATAATAGTGGTCTCGGGCATTTCGAGGAGAAGTCTAGTCCGTTGGGTTGGTTACAGTGACTTTGTGGAGGAAGGGAAGGAAGGATCAGAAAAAGGCCTGACGTACGCGAGCTGGCCCCGCTTATGCTTAAAACCGGCCGGCGTGCTTAGAGATGTGTGCAATGACTATTGAATTAGGAGGAGGGGTTGGTTGGTTGTGCGATGACAGCCGTCCGATCTCATCTTTGACGTCACATAGCGCCACCTCTTGCCTTTTTCCTTAATTTAGTTGAGCTTTGTCACAGACAGTCGGGGAATCCTGAAGCAAAGGCCAATTCTAACTATAAAAATAATAATCTTTTTTTCCAAAGATAATTCTAATATATAAAATAATAATATTTTTTTTTTTTTTGGCGTCTTCCCACTGCAACATAAACAAATGCTATCCGAGGAGGTGAAAAAGAGGAGGGGATGCAAAGCTGGCGGAGCGAATTGCTGATTTCCGTGAGAACTCTCTGGCTGGCTGGATTTTCTTTTTGGTTTTCGTTTTTTGAGAAAATATCTGAAGTTAGAATACTTTTTTTCTTTTTGCAAACAAATTTTGTTTTAATTAAAAAAAAAATATATTGCTGGGGGCAGGCTGGCTGGACGTGCCGAACTGCCCGCCCGTTGGATGGACCATCCAATGGCAGGTTTGAGTTTTGACAAAAAACAGAATTAGTGAAGGGAGGAGAGGCCGCGAGCGAGAGATTCGGATCTAGTTCAGCATTGTTCGTTCCTAGCGCTGGGTGGACCTTGTTGGCATTTTATTCTTTTCTTTCTTTTTTTATTTATCATCGAAAGTTGGCGAATTTATTCTAATTCTAAATAAAACAATGGAAAAAAAAAGACTAGGCATGCGGGTCCCACGCTCTCCCAAAAAAACCCCTTTAATATTTGTTCTTTCATTTCATGTGTTAACACAACAGCGACAGAATTGTCACAACTCGCTGAACTCTGTGCGTGTGATTACTTTCCCAATCTTGTGGGGGATGAGGCTGCGCTCCCTCTCGTCGTCATTATCTGTTGTCCGTCAAAGTTTTAGAGTTGGAATCCAAATCAAACAAGTCATCTTAGACGACGACGCTTAACATTAATACTGTACTTTACGTAAACAGATTAATGGAAGCTTTTTCCTATTCAGAGAAATTGATTTGGACACAATCAAGACTATAAATGATTACCTTGTCACGTGTTTGTACCTTTATATTGAGTATTTAGCAATTTATAAATGTGCTGTACTCATTTAGAAAATTATTATTAGTGGAACTTTTAACAAACTCAAGATACATTTAGGGCTCTCACATAATCTCGTATTAATCGAATTTTGAAGATTGATTCTATATCCTAACTTTTAATGAGTAAACCGTATGTGCTAATTTTCTAGTCCATATATCACAAACTCTTACATGATGTATCTAATATGTTGGATTTATTTTGAAAATAATCTTTTTATTATTGATTCTAATTAATTTAATTTCAGGGTATAGGATTTATATAATAATAACCTAAATTTTACTCATTAGTGTTTATGGTATGTCATCATGCTTCATTCTCTAATTAAGTCATAATCTAGACACCATTTTCTTAGTATACCCTCCAATTTATCAGGAGTATCACAGAACTCACAAACTGCGGATTAGCAACCATTAATTAGATGGATTAGTGTAAACATGTGCTAACTCACACTAACTGAATTGGGAAAAGTGATATAGCAGTAACTTGTTGAGAGCAGAGAATACTAAAACGATTTTCACAACAACAACAAAAAGAGAGATTACTAAAAAGATTGAAGTAAATTAGAACTAGGAGTTAAACTTTTCTTTACCCACTGGGAAAAGGGATTTTAGACACCATCATAAAAGAAGAATTGAGAAAAGCAAACTCTATGGTGTAGAGGGAGAGAGAGAGACTGGGTGGAATCGAATATCAGTGTTGAGCATCAATTCACAAGTGATTCACTCCCCTTTTTGTGTTTTTTTGTGTATGTGTGGTGGGAATGCAGGAGGATCTCATTCACAGGAAGTGGAGGCTAACAGTGAGATCGACATCTGCTCCAACCACGAAGAGTGCAACGCTCGTCCTACTCAGATCAAGTTGACAAAAGGTTTCAGTGCCAAGGAACATGTGAAAGGCCATATGGCGAGTTCCTTTCTTCCTTTCTTTCTTTCTTTCTTTCTTTCTTCCCATAGTCTAAAAACATCTCATATGATCTCTCATTTATTTCACGCCCTTAAATGTGATGATACATGTAGCCATGTAGGGTCCCCCACAAAAGAAGGAAATGGGTTTGTCCCTCGATAGTGTGGTCACTTTAGAAATTCAAGACAACGAGCACTTTCCCCTAATTCAGGACTTGTTGTACATTTTAATGATGCAGGTGAATGTTGTCAAAGGACTGAAGTTATTTGAAGATGTGTTCACTGATTGCGAGCTGTCCAAGCTGACTGATTTCGTGAACCAACTCAGGCTTTCAGGGCAGAATGGGCAACTCTCAGGTCACCACTCTTTCGCCTTTTTTTCCCCCTTTTCATAAATGGAACTTACATTGGGTTCCTTTCAGAATGGGCAATTAATGATGATAAAAAACCACCATGGGATGCAGGTGATACTTTCATCCTGTTCAACAAGCAAATGAAAGGGAACAAGAGAGAGCTGATTCAGTTTGGCGTCCCGATCTTCGAGCACATTAAAGAAGATGCTACCAACCAAACATGTAAAAAGCCTACGAGACTCTATTACTACAATGCTCGGTCGATCAATAATGCTGCAAATGTCAGATTGACCTGAATAATTTGTACTTCTGTTGGCAGGTAACATAGAACCGATCCCAGCTCTGCTCGAAGGAGTCATAGATCACCTGGTGCAGTGGCGTCTCATACCCGAATACAGAAGGCCAAATGGTTGCATCATCCACTTCTTTGATGAGGTACCTAAATCTGTTAAAAACGGATACTTGTGAGAATTAGAAGTTTCAACGAGAATACAAAAAGACCAAGGCTGGAAACTGAAAAAGAAAAAAAACATTTTCTACCCCCTTGCTGTAATGTGCAGGAGGAATTCTCGCAGCCCTTCCAGAAGCCACCCCATGTCGACCAGCCAGTAGCTACCCTTCTCCTCTCCGAATCAACCATGGCGTTCGGACGTACCCTTCTGGGTGACAGCGATGGCAACTACAGAGGTCCACTGGTGCTCTCACTGAAACAAGGGTAAACAACTAAAACATCCATTACTAACAATCCTTAACCTCTACCGGGGAAGGCAACCTGACGTTTGTTACATTTGTTACAGGTCTCTGTTGGTGATGAGAGGAAACAGCGCAGACACTGCAAGGCACGTTATGTGCCCATCCGGCAACAAGAGGGTGAGCATCACACTCTTCCGCGTTCGGCCCGATCCCAACCTGCTGATCCACTCGCCACCAACCAGCCCGATGAGTGGCGGCGCACTCACGGTCTGGCAGCCGGCTCCCATGCCCAACCCATACGCCATGTCGCCCAACGGCTACGAGTCAGTGGAAACAATGGCAGGGAAGTGGGGCGTCATACGCACTACACCAGTGGTGATGCTTGCTGCTGCTGCTGCTCCCATGCCTCGACCTCTCATGGTTGCTGCCAAGAGAATGATGCCTCCGCCGCAGCCGCAGGGTCAGGGCGGGACAGGAGTTTTCCTGCCCTGGAATGTGGGCAGCACGAGGAAACCAGCAAAGCACCTCCCGCCGCGCGCGCAGAGGGGACGCTACTTGGCGTTGCAGCCTTCTGTCCGAGGCGATTCCGCGGCCTCTGAGACGGCGGCAATCAGCGTCGGTGGAGCATCGTCCTGAAATGTGGGGGAAATGTACAAACGAGGGGCCCAAATGGTTTTTGCCCATGATTTGGGGCTTTTTTTTTTCTGCTGAGAAACTTGTTACGGTTTCTTCCTTTTGGTTTGATTGAGTAGTGCACAAGCACACAACACCTGATCTATATTAGCCTAGATGTCGTACTACCAGGTCATCTAGGAGAATGATTGGGTGTGTAGGGAGAGTTGAGGGTTTCATTTTACTTTCTCTAATTTGCGGGAGTTGGAGTGTGAAGAATCAGCAGCTGTTTCAAGTAGAGAGTAGAAAGTTTTTACTTGCTCAAAAGGCTCGTCTCATTTCAAAACGTTTCGCAATTATCACCCACGTAGGTGCCAAGATCAACCTGGTCAATGGCCAAGTTTTGGCCATAAAGATGGTTTTAACGACGTAGAAAGTTAGGGCTGGACAGAGTGCACGGCGTAAAACCTGATTAGTGCCCAGGTTGCAACACTCTTCATAGTAGTGGCAACGAAAGCAACATTCAGCCCACAACACCACCATAACTGTTCATCAAATTACTCCTTCAGCACCTTCAGTAATGGATGTCCAAAGTCGCAATCGCGCTTACTTTCAATCATCCATCGGGCTCTAACCACGCTTCACAGGGTGTAACAATGCCCTATTCACATGATCAATGTCACAAAACCTTACTCTGGCTCTGACTTCATCACTTGCTGCAAAAATTTATTCCTCGTTCCTGCATATTTCAAACCGCTCTTGCCGGTATCACCATCTACCATACTTGAGGATCTAACAACAACCAGAAAATGATGAACAACGGATTAGGGTAGTTACTATATTATAAACACCTTATCTCCAATTTCATAATCATTGAAACATCGACATTCAGAGAGAGAGAGAGAGAGAGCATTACATGGAGGGGAAAAGCTATATGAATCATGTAAATCAATTTCTAACATCCAGACCTTCCTTTAAGCCACACTTAAACACACGTCCAAGAGGAATGAGAACAGTACATAGCAGCAAAGAAAATACCGTGAGAAACGATATGAATGTTTAGAAAGCAGTCTTAAATGGATGCTGTTCAAGCTTTAACTGGTTCATCGTCGTCTTCAATATCCCAGCTCAAATCCTCTTCTTCCTCCTCTTCTGCAACACTCAGCCTCTTCCTCAACTCCTCCTTGGTTGCACTACTCCCACCCTGACTCACTCTCCTCTCCTCTTTCTTACTATCGTCAATGCCGCTTAGATCTTCAATCTCATCCCACCCAAGATCTTCCTCCTCTGCTGTCGTCTGGTGGCTCGACACTACCGAGTAATCGCTGTCTTTACAAGACCCTCCATTGCCACCATTTCCTTCGGAACCTGAATTCTCAGCAGATTTCACATCCTCCTTAACTTCATCCCCTTTCTCACTAGATACTACATCACCACTAGCAGTAGCAGGACTTGGGTTGTTCACTACTTTTGGCTCTTCAGCTGTCACAGTAGCAGAAGCAGTTTCCTCCTTTGCAGTTTGCCCAATTTCTTCGACCTTCACATCGCCCATTTTCTTATCCTCGATAGGGTTCTGCTCTACCGGCTGAATAGCATCCGATTTCCCAACTTCCATCGAATAATCTCTGGTCTTCACCTCTTGATGTTCCTCTACGACACCCTTCGACATTTCTTCACCCTTACTCACCTTGCTCTTCCAATCCTCACTTTCTTCTTCATCATCATCATCCACGTCCCAACTCAAATCCTCCTCTTCAGCAGAAATGGCCCGCTTCACAAGATTGGCTCTCAGAGCCTCCGCTTGCTTGAGCTTATAGATCCTATAGTAATACCTAGACCAGAACGTTTCTTCATCAACACTACCAGGCACAACCTTTCTATATATATTATCCAACGTACCATTTTCTTCCAGCAGGCTCTCGACCTCGTCCCGATTATCCTCAAGGACGAACTCCGACGACCTCCACTTGCCGTAATCGTCCAAATCCTCGGGCTCCTCGCAGAAAGTGCTGGCATCGCCTTGAATGGCTCTCACCTGAGCGTCCAAGCGGCTGTACCGCCTCGAGTCGTAGCTGCTGCTCTGGCCGGCGCCGCTGCTTCCTCTGTCAACATCTGAGGAATCGGACTCCTGGTCCAGAGAAATGATAGCTTCTTTTCCTTGTGAAATGATCTGCGCGGTGCCCTTAATCACAGAGTTTCCGATCTCGTCGAAGGCCTGTCCGACGTTCTCGAGGGATCCCTGCGCGACCTCGATCTCCTTCCGGAGGCCGGTGCTGAATTCCTTGAGATCCCGGCGGTAGGTCTCGATGACGGATTCGGATTTGGTGGTGAGCGTGCGGATCAGGCCACCGAAGCTACTCCATCCACGGCCGTCGTTGTCGGCAGTAGGGTTAGGGTTGGATTGTGGCTGTGCTGGTGGTGGAGAATCGGAGTCGGAATCTGAGTTTGATTGATGTTCAGGAGGGGTTTGGGAGCCGGATGCGGACTTCGGAGGAGGTGGATCTGGTTCGTCGGAAAAGACCGATCTGAAGAAATCCATTTGGGGGAAATGAAAATGAAAGAAGGCCGGAGGTGTGAGAGAGCGGCGCGGTGGCCGGCAGTGTGTGAAGTAGATTAGAGAAAAGGGGAGTGGGTGGTGGCCAATCGCGGTGGAGGAGGAAGATTACAGAAAGTGACGGTGATTGGTTGGTGTTTGCCTCGAAGCAAAAGCGCCACCGCGCCAGTATTCACATAAAACCGGTTTGGTGATGAACCGGTCATTGTCTTGATAACCATAGCGCAGAGTTGTCAAACCGATTTAAGTCATTGACCCAAGTGGTTGGAGGTTTTATAGCATGATGGGGATCCAGCTTGTTGAAATTGTATTTTTTAAATATATATACAAATAAGGTATTAATTTAAAATTTTAATGACTGAAATGAAATTTATCGTAAATGTATCTATTAGAAACTAATCTCCCACAAAAAAGAAATTTTACGTAACTTCCGTAAATCACCCACAATCTCTCTTTCCTTTGTCTTCTTCATACTTTTTAGGGGTCAGATCGAAGGCTTTCTGTAGACAGTTTTAAAGCTTGACTTTGGTCAGACCAGGTTCAACTAGGAGGTCGATAACACAACCTTGTCATAGCTTCCCTTAAATTTAAAGCATGGTACATGAAAACCGTGTCGAAAGTTATACAAGACTCTTTTGTGGTACGATTTTGTGAGACGACCATTGTTATAAGAACGAACCGGAACAACGGTTGCGCCAGTAGAAACATTAAACAAGTTATAATATCAGTTTTGGTTCATTTGATTAGGCAGTTAGCGATGGACCCAACGGTTTTGGGGTAGTTATCATAAATGGTCAAAAAACTATTCATTTGTACAAAAAGGTAACAAATCTTTAATTTTGCACGTTTTAGTAACATATCTTTTGACTAATAACAAAAAGGTAATTCCGTCCAACTCCATCCAAAATTCTGTTAAATTGATCCAGTAAGATGTCTTGTCAGCATCCACGTCAGCAAAAATAATTACATAAAACAAAAATCAATTAAACCCTAACCCACCCACCCACCACCCCAACCCAACTCATTCCTCTCTATCTCATCTCCCTCTCAGCTGTCATCTCCACACAGCTGAGGACAATCCGGTGCTATGTCTGTGAGTCTGTGACAAGACCAAAGTCATCATCTTCTGTAGTGCCGACCGACAGGGTATATAAAAGGAGAAAAGCTTTGAAAGTCTATACCAAATTAAGAAAAGCATTTGCCTCGACTCCAGCAAGCAGAAAACAGAGTATGAGGGAAGCGGCCGGGAAAACGGTGCGGCAGAGGCATGATGTGGTTTTGGCATCCATTGATATTGATATCTGCAGCCAAATGAAATTCATGATCTTGTTTCCATCCGGGGAAAAACAATGTGATGTGAAGTTCCGGAATCGAGCATAAAGGAATTGAAACGAACAGCAGCAATTGAAAAGAGCGAGGAAGAAGAAGAAGAAGAAGAAGCGCTCACAGCAGGAAACTAGTTGCAGGAAACATGGAAAGCAGAGTCTGGACAGAGGGTGGTTCTGCAGGTGGATTCTTTCATTTTCGTTGGTGGGTTCTTTGCTTCCTTGCTTAATTCCTTGATTATGGCATAATCAATGAATGGGTTTTCTGCGAAAGATAAGGTTGGACTCTGTTTTGTAGCAATTAAGAAAACCTTCTACCACTGCGAGTGCGCGACGTCGTTGACGAACTTGCGGAAGATCGCCGAGTTCCAATTGCAGTCATAATCCCTAAAACACAGCCACGGCTCCATCTCGAGGTAATGGACCACGTAGAGCTCTGGCAGGTCCGACCCTAAGAGGTCGTTCTTCTTCCTCTTGAGCTCTTTTGTCGTTGGCGATCCAAAAGTGCTTCATGAAGTTGAGCCGGCGAGGGATTCGATGCCATCAGGTGAAGATCTCGTTCGGATAGCCTTGGTTGCCGCCGTTGTAGGATTGAATCTCGTTGATGTGCTTCAGCAGTAGCTGGAATGGGCAATTGGATGGCTGCTTTCGAGATGGTAGCGTAGAGGGAGAGGAGATAGAGAGGAATGGGTTGGGTTGGATTGGGGTGGTGGGTTGGGTTAGGTTTAATTATTTTATTTTTTATTCATTATTTTGCTGATGTGGATGCTGACGGGACATCTGACTGGATCAAACTAACATAATTTTGGATGGAGTTGGACGGAATTACCTTTCTATATCAGTCAAAAGATATGTTACCAAAACGTGCAATATTAAAGGTTTGTTACCGTTCTGTAGTGAATAGTTTTGTTTCTATTTATGATAACTACCCAACGATTTTGTAATGTTTGACATAAAACTAGTTGAACTACCCAGTTTTGATTGGTCCACTGTCACAGAATTTTAACCACTAAAAAAAATACTTTAATGTGAAATAAGATCATCCAACTTCAATCACTAATTTCATTTATACTTCATTTTCTTCATTTTCCCGCTTATCAGCTTTATGTCGTACAAAGAATTGTCACCCTAATTACCAACTTGAATTAAATAGAATTTTTTGATTTGATTGTGATAGTTTGAATAGTTTGTTAGAACTTTTTAGTGTAGATGATTTGTATTTGAATTTCTTTATGATAGTGATAATTTCATTCTTAATTTTTCAGTTCAGCATCCGGTCCAATTATGAAAAAATCAGATACAAACATGATTCAACGGTTTCATACCGTAAAATACTATTTGAAATAAAAGTTATTGTTTATTACAATGTCTCGCACTTATAAAAAACTAGATTTTGGCCCACCCGTTGAACGGATGAATCAAGACTACACACAATAATAGTAATTACCCAAATCATTTATTTTTTACTATGAAATCATCCAAATTATTCAATTACTAAAAATATTAAAAAAACATACATTGTAAGTTTTATAGCATCTTGATCATTCGTGGACAAAAGTACTTATCAAAAGGAAACCCACAACTCATGTTGGGAACTGATTTTAAAAAACTTAATATTCAAAACGCACGTCAGTTTACTCTTTAATGTTAGAAATTACTGCAAATTCCTTTTTGGATTTCTTTTTGATTGCTCCGCCATCAAAAGCATCTTCTCCACACAACTTCGTCATCATTAATGAAACTTTATATTCATCATCAATAATCTCTTCCTTCTTCCCATGCATAATAGTGAAACCAAATTTTAATGGTAAAATGTTTGAAAATGTCAAACATCTTTTTACGATAGTAGAATTTCATCTCATCCAAATTATAAATATTATCAACCATTCACTCTTCCCTCCCATCTTTGAAATTTCTATATCCACCATCAATAATCTCTTCCTTTAGCTCAATAACGTCATTATCTTCATCACTGAATTCACTCCCTTTGCTACTAGCATACACTTCCTTCTTAATTATCTTGCATTTCACTTAATGCAAAAATTTAATGGGAACATTTTTAGAATTATGAAACCTAGTACATGTCATGAACTTGTCTAAGATTGCTCTTCTTCGTCCTTCATTATCTTCAAAACTATGTTCCCGCTTATGGGGTTCGCGATGTTGTTATCAGTGAGCTTGATCTAAAAATTTAACTTCATGCTCTTAGTTTGGATGCCATGATGAGGTGAAAGTTCTTTCATTTTATCAGTATCTTTGAGTAGTTTCTCAGTATACATTCCAAAAATCTAGCTCACTCGCTATACAAAGAAATAAAGTTAGATTAAACCATGTTGTCTACAACTCGTAACTAGTCCTGAATCTATAAAATAACAACAATTGGGATACACTATTTAGTTGGATACTTTTTGTTTTAGTGGGTATTTTGTTTTCTCTCGAATGAATAACCTTGAAGTTGAAAACAAAAGAAGAGTAGAGATAAATTATAACTTAACTACAATTGTCTTTGATATTGTTGTATAGTTCTTATAAAATTACTCATTGTAGTCTTCTTAAGCTTTTCTTCAGCAAGTTTCAATTAATATGGTTTTTTAACCCAAACTTTTTAAATCAGTATTGAAACGCATGAGATATGGTCCGCTGAATTTGTGAGAAATTGAAAAACTTTTGATTATATCTCTTGAGATTTGTGCTTGCTGTAACTAAAGGAGGTTATGCACCAAAATTTCATACTTTTTACTTGGTTGTTTGAAAATCTTATTGGGACACTGTTTTGTCAATTAGATGATTATCCAAAGTGAATATGGTTTCGAGGCACAAAATCAATAAATATAATTCTTAATAACCGCATGAATTAATTTGAAAATCAAAATAATATTAAAAAATTCATAGAAGAACAAAATAATATGTCACTGTCAAATAAAGTTTTGATAAGAATTATCATTGAACTAATATAGTTTTGCCACTAATATTTTATCAAAACCATGCAAAGTTATGAAAAAAATGGAGTTGTCTATTTGCCGCTATGGTAAAAGAAAACCATACATCACAAACCTATATTTAAGGTGGCATGATTTCTTGGATGATCTGTGTTCACCGCATGTTTTGGCCAAGTTGGATGTTGAGGTTGGCCCCCGTAAGCCTGTAAGTGGCTTAGGGGGAGTCATGATAAGCCCTGAGTCGCATGTGTCTGGAAGACTTGTGGATGCTCTTGCTGATGTTGTTGTATCAGTAATCAAGCGAGAATCTTCAAGTACAAGGAAACAAACTGCCACTCTGTAGCTACTTAGGCAACAAGACTTGGATGTGGCCTAAGTTTGTGTATGAGTCAGGAGCAGTTAATGACTCAATGAGTTCAGACTCTGAATTAGACGAAGAAGATAGGATTTCGGAGTACAAGTCTCCACCAGATTACTCTTTCTAGGAGTCATAGATAGTAGACGCAGGGGGAGATTCTAGAGTCTCAGTAGCAGTTGATTCTGTAGGAGTTGTGTTGAGTCCTTGATGATTTGTATTGAGTCTTTTATTGTTCCTAGTTTCTTTAGTGTTTGATTAATGAATAAGAAGATTCTCCCTGATATTTCACCTATGCTCTCAAGTCAAACAATCTTGCAAATTTCTCGGTCAGAACAGGCTGCACCAATCGTGTGTTACATGTGTGCAGGTTGTAGAAAGAGCCAATGACAAGCTTATGGTGAGTTTGTTGGATGAAACTTTAGTCAATGACATCGAGAAATTAAGGAAAGAAGAAAAGCAGAGGCACCTTGGAGCACCAAAAGGGAAGGTTCTGATATTGAGATCAATCATGGTAATCAAGAAACCAAATTGATTCTCAAATCAGTACAACAACGGTCAGCAACAGCATAGCATATAAGCTGGGATTGTGGGTAGAAAATAATCATCTTTTTTTAGTAAACTTTCAAATGCAGATGCAGAGTGTTTCAGAGAAGGTTTTTGAAAAGAAAAAAGAAGAGAGTTATAAGGGAGAGAACTCATGCTATAGAAGTGTGATTGTCAAGTTAGAGTGGTGGCAGGGAGCAAGACTCTAAAGGGTGAATCTGATCAAGTGATGGGGAGTGACATAGAGATCAACATGTGTACTATGTAAATCGAATTCTAATCATCATAGTGAAAATTCAAAGGACTCAAATCATAGATCCTTTGACCTTGGACTAGTCGATACTGATTCATCAGTATCGGAAACCATGTAAAAATCCTCTGCGTCACTTTATGTTTCAGTTGTGCTAATCAAGACTTTAGCAAGTCTCTATTTTTGGCTGAAGTCTCTGTTTTGCAGGTGGTATGGAACTGAGAATCGAAGCAGAGGAGGAAGAAGGGCTTGCTCGTATAAGTCTTCACATGCCGTTGAAAAGAAAGACTTTGATCGAGTCCAATTAGTTCAACGAAGCAACCTTGGGCTTAAAGCCCAACTATCATTTTATTTTATTATTTCAGAGACAGCAGAGTACAATCTCGTCAATCTCTTGGTCGATCTAACACACATTAATCTTGTTGTCTACATTTCTATTTCGATTAGGATTCTTCACGTTCTCTAAAAAAAGAAGGCGTTAAGTCTCACGCTCAACTCGATCCACAGGTTGGCTCCATCTCTGTCATGTACTGTAACAAAACTTATGAAAATGAGATAAAGTTCTAAAACCCTCTATTTTCAACCGGTTTTTTCTCCACCCTCTATTTTACGTTCTTTCGTGAACAGAGGGATAATTTGTAAATTTGACGACGATAAAATTACCAGGAATGAGCTTTAGTATATTGGTAAATTGATATTGTACTAACTTAGAAGTGCACAATTCAAACTTATAATACTGCCACATAATTTTTCCCCCCACATACCAATGTGAATTAATCCTTTGACCACAATTGTAGTAGTGAACCACAATCTTTGTGATGCTTTGATCCAGGGCATAAATGTGAAAAACTTTGGATCCACCATGATATCAATACCAATACAATGTATTCTTACTGTTTTATTTTTCCAGAAATGTATTCTTGCTGTGAATCAATGAACATATAACCAAACATGCATGCACCCGATCCACCTCGCCACAATCTAGAAGGACAGGAATATCTGTTACAGATCTGGAAAAATGGCGACACTGAAATTCAACAATTGTGCGTAACGTGTTGATCCCTGAAATTCAACGATTAATTGCTACGAATGACGTAAAATGCAAGAAAGCCAAGAGAAAACACGTAGCGGTGCTACGAATTAAGCTCCTCGAACTGTAGTTTCCCAGCGTTTACCTATCCCTTTTTCTTGGGCCAAACGACAAAAGTCAGCACCATCTCCAACTAGTGTAATTATTAATCACAGTTATAACCCGAAACCGAGCTTTATTTCTCAAAGTTGTTGGGTTTTAGTCTTCTTTTTTTTCTGAAGGGAGCAGGTGTACAATTACGAATGCTCATCTGCAGAGATTTATGCATATATATTATCGCCATACAACACGTTGCTATTCCAAAGTTAAGGCTGGAGCAGAAAATGGATAAAGGAGGTCTTTTTTTTTATAACACAGAAACGAATAATAAATGAACACTAGCAGTAATTTACCAAAAAAATAAACACTAGCAGTCGGCCCTGACTAGTTGTGCTTGGGAAGAATGAAAAGTAGAATTATTTATACTAATTAATTATTGTAATGAAAAATACAAATTCATCCATAGTACATGTTATTAATAAATTTATCATCCGTGTGTAGCGTGGCAAAAATGACTCAATATTTGGTGCTTTGGAATTTAATAAGGATGAAGAAAATTCTCTGTTAAGAGGATTGGATCAATTAATATATCTACTTTGAAAGCCCCAATATTCGGAGGCGCTGTGCCGGCGGATAGCATCCCGGCACGTCCCTTTTGAAACCCTGATTAGAAACTTCGGATCACTTGTTTGCTGATAAATGTGTAGATGCTGCAAATGTTATGAGAATCTTCAACTCCTTAAGTGGCTTTCCCTAATTGGCAAGGGTGTTTTTAGTACCTCTTTTTTGAGTGATGCATTACAACCATTTTCCTCGATAAATAAAAACTCTGCAAATGTTACCAAGTAGATAGAAACCTGACAGATTATTGTTGTCCTACTCTCTCTCAATGTCATTGGAAATTTTAATTATATTACTTTGTAAGTTCAATCAACATGCACGGATGGTATTTACAATAAAAGCATTAGGAAAATTTTCCATAATACAAGGGTTATTATAGCAATTCTCAGAATAGATCACTCGACAAAATATTTTTCAAAATACAAGAGTTCTACGTTGTTTATTGCTCCAGTGTCAAGTTTGAATAAGGAAGGCCAAAGGTAACATAGCCTAGTGGTGAAACCACTGGACCAATTGAGCTCTGGATGTGAGAGGTCCTGAGTTCGATTCCCAGTGGCGCCACTTGAGCGTTCTCGGCGGCACCCTTGGTATCGGAGGCGAAGCCTCCCCGATGTTGATAGCAGAATGCCTCGGTTAGTATGCAGGTACCCCCAGTGGTTTAGTAGGCCCCGTTGTCGATCAAGCGACACGTGGGGCTGAGATTCCCTGGGTAATCAAATAAATAAATAAAGTTTGAATTAGGATTCGGTCGACCTCATATAGGATCAGGTCGACCTAATATGTTGTTTCAGTGTAAAAACAGTTCATGGTGCCTACTTTGGATATTCATATCATACAATTGGCTAGATGGAAATTGAAGACTAATGACTTGTTTTGAAGCTAGAGTGTCCCTCTACATATTGAAGTGGAAGAGAGCTCGATAGGAAGTCCGGAGGACCATTTTTGAACCTCATCAAAAGGCTATGCCAAAACTGGGAAACTTCCTGGAAATGGCTAAGTCTGGAAACGTGTTTGTGAAGCCTATTTTGGAGCTCAATTCTAGAAGCATGAATGCGAGTCGAGTCCAGGAGACTCTACCACGTTAAATTAGGTATGTTTTTATACAAATTCAAGGCATTGGATGAAAGATTGGATATCTGTAAGGCTTCAAACAAAAGGGTCGAAGTTGCTACGAAGACTGTTTTTCTGGCAGACTTCGAGCACAAGCAAGCTGCCAGAAAAACAGCCTTTGTAGCAACTTCGAGCCTTTTGTTTGAAGCCTTAAAGATATTCAATCTTTCATCCAATGCCTTGCCTTTGTATAATAAAATACGTAATTTAACGTGGTAGAGGCCCCTGGACTTGACTCGCATCCATGCTTCTCAAATTGAGCTCCAAAGTAGGCTTGACAAACACGTTGCCAGACTTAGCCATTTTCAGGCAGTTTTCCAGTTTTGGCACAGCCTTTTGGTCAGGTTCAAAAATGGTCTTTTGGACTTTCTATTGAGCTCCCAAGTACTTTAATGTGTAGAGGGGCACTTCAGCTTCAAAACAAGCATTTAATCTCCAATTTCCATCTAGCCAATTGTAAGATATGAATCTCCAAAGTAGGCACCATGAAACTGTTTTTACACTGAAACAACAGATTAGGTCGACCTAATCCTATATGAGGTCGACCGAAAAGTGCATGTCACCGTGACATGCATGTCACCGTAGCAAAGTCCTAACTTTTAAGATCTTCGAAGCCACAAACCACCAAAGTTTCGGTCTATAAGGGGATAATTCAACAAATTTGAATTTCCCCCTCGCAGATCAAATACAAGGAAGAAGGAAATGGAGTGACGTCATTTCTAGCACAGCCTGAAGACTCGGCTGGAACGACAACGTTCAACTGGAACGACAGCGTACTACATCAAGTTGCCAAACTTCACTTTTAATCCCAATGTTACATTTTTACTACTTTTCCTGTTTTGGTTCGTACTTGCATCAGAAGTAAGCTTGTCTTGTAATGCTGCTTTGAACCAGCTATATATGCTGCCAAAACCAATGAAATCACACAAGGGTTTTCACTTTCCCACAACACAAATTGTTGTTATGGTATCAGCGCCTGGTAATTGGAAACCCTAGCCGCCACCAGCATCCATGGCTGCAGCACAAGTTGATGCTGCAGCAGCAGTTGTACCACCCCCACCTGCAACAAATCCTGACAAATTGGTGTTACGGTCCGCCTTGATTGCAAAAAAAAGTCATTTGCTACCCCAAACGAGCCATTTTTTTATTTCACCAAACTTTGGACAACCGTAACCTTAACTCCACAAATGCAATCTATGCAAATTGTTTTTCATAACATTTGAAAGACTACAATTTTTGTTATAGAATTGTTGTCAAATATATGAGAAAAGGTGAAAATTAAATCTAAAGTTATTCTCAAAACCCCTTAAATCCAAAAATAATTTTCTCTTATAGAAATTCTCTCCCTTAAATGTTATTGTCTCTGAAAAGTTATGCAATATCATTTTTTTCCGATGATTGGATTGCAGAGCACAAAGTTACGATCGTCTGAAGTTTGGAGAAATGGAAAAATAGGTCGTTTGGGGTAGTAATGACATTTTTTGGCGACGAACGAGGACGGCGGTTTGTGGCTTCGAAGTTCTCAAAAATTAAAGACCGAATAAAAAAATATTTCGCTACAAGCGGATAATTGAGTGCAAAGTTACAGTTATTAGAAGTTTGACATGTGTTATATGTAGAACGCGGGGGTTTCGATCAATTTTTTGGGAGGCTAGATCGTCGTTGTATTCATTAGCGATCAGTGTAGTTTGTTCCTGTCTCATGCGAGCCACCTTGTTCGCTTCTGTCATCCGTCTACTTGCCGCTATCTGGGTTGGTTTGGTACAATGGGGTGTAGTTCACTCTTGTCTCCAACGAATCACTTTCTAGTTTGCTTGACACTAGGACAAGCTATCTCAAACTCCAGTGTTTTGGATTTCTTTTTTTTTTTTTTTGGTAAGTGTGGTAGTGGTACTGTGAAAATTTGTTATATTAACCCATATATTTTGGAAACTTTCCGTTAGTTTAATTTAGCATTTGGTTTATGTAATATCTTCTCGTACCACAAAATCCATCGAGAAGATTTCACCTTTTGGTTTATCAGGAAATTTCTCTCACAGGTCACCAACTACAGATTCATTTGGGTAAGACAAAATCGGCAAAGGAACATAAAATCTAAACAGTTTCAATTTAATCATCTACCAAAAAGTTAAAAGTCAGAGTTGTTTGATAAAAGGATTGTGTGTATGCTTGATATTTGACCAAGCAATTGTCAGACTAGATAGAATTAAGGAGAATCGGCTCTTGCTAGAGATAACGAAAAGTACTACGGATCAAAAGTCAATCTGAAGAAACTAAAATATAACATACTAGGTGGCGAATCTGCGTCTTGTCGCGGGTAGAGATGATTTTTTAGCATGTATTATGTGACCTGTTATGGTGCTTTGTTAGTATTATTAGCCTAAAATTAATATTTTTTTAGCACTTTTGTTAGTAATATTGACTAAGAAGAGATATATGGCGGTCAACATCCAATTTAATTTTTTTTTGAAAATTTTGGCTAATAAATTATATTTACCTAAACCCAAGTTGACCCATTGATTATGAGTAGTATATATGTGTTTAGAAGTTTAATTTGTAGATGGGTTTGGGTAGGGTATTGATATTACTTTCATAATCTAAATGTGTGTGAGTTAGGTATGGATACCCATTTATTCGAGGGTGTTTTCATTGCACATACAAAAATTAGACCTATTCGTAGAACTTTAAAAGTTTACACAAAAGTTTTAGGTACTAAAATGTAATGTTCCATTAATATTTTGAGGACTTATATGCCAAAAAATAAATTTAGGTTATAAATCTAATAATCTATTAAGTTTAGGTACCAAAGTGTAATATGCATAGTCGATGCTTAATTCCTTTTATGATGATGTATTTAACATGATAAGTATTTACTTTTTTTATAGAAAAATGGAACATATTTATTTGATACTTGTATATACCTAGCCAAACATTCCATGTATAATTGTTGAAAATTCTAGCCCGGATGAAAAAGAAAAACTATAGAGAGAAGCAAAAGGAATACAAACTGGAAATTGCTTAAAATTTCACGCCTTCAAATCTGGAAAATGACAACTTTCTAATAAATAATAAACATATATATTTATTTTTAGTTGGAGTCATGTGGGCTGACCCTCGCAATTCATCAACAATATTTACAGTTTGACTAATCATCCCCTTCAAATCATTCAACATTAATCTCGCAAGCACAGTTGCAGGTTGTATTAGCCCGCCATGGACATAGACACACCGCTAATTGCAAATTCTACTTTCCACCATACATCACAGAGCTATAGAGTTTTAACAACAGATTTTTCACTTTGGAAATTACAGTTCCAAATTCTTCTGTGATTCTAAGCAAATTATCACTTTAATAAAGGAAAACAGAAACTTCCAACTCAGTAACTCGAACTTTCATGATGCCGACCTTTTAGCCACAAAGAGTAGATCGATCATGCTGATTATAGCAATTCACAAGCTCTTGTGTTATAGAATATTGTCTAAGCTGTATTTTTTTCAAAAATCCATTCATTTTTATAGAAAAAACAGGATATTATGAAAATTTGTTCATTTCATGTTTTTAAAACATTATTTACAATACAAACACAATTCTTACAAGTAATTTACCTAAACTGGATATTTTAAAAAAATATTAATACTGAAATTCCACGTAGGAAATATTCTTAAGAAATAAATAATGTTCTTCCAACTAGTTATTTCATCACGTTGAAAAACCCACGTAGGAAATCAAATCCTACTAGTTCTTTATTTTTCAATAAAGAACAGAATTCTTACAAGTGGTTTAGGTAAATTTAATACTTGTAATTATAAATGTTGGAAAATCTTCTTAAGAACTCAATAAAGTTCTTTTGTTTCTTCACGTTCAAAACCCACATAGGAAATCAATATTGTTCTTCCAACTAGTTCTTTATTTTACATTGAAGAACACAATTCCAACAAGAATATAGCCAAATTTGATATTTTTAATAAATTATAAATTTGAGAACCCACGTAGGAATTCTTCTTAAGAAATCAGAAAGTTCTTCCCACTAGTTATTGCGCCAACGTCAGCTAATAAAGCTCTCTGGGTACTCCCGTAATCTATTGTGAAGATATACAATTTTTTCAGGAAAATCTTTCAAGCTTAAATATATCATCACATACTACTCTAGTATAAGCTGGTAGTAGGCTGTACACAGTGGTGAAATGTGATTAATACATATCTAGAATTATGGAGACAACCATATGATATATTATATCATCATGAGAAACTTTCAAGAATTATGGTATAATCTTATGCACTATCAAGTATTACCAGCATTGTATATATTGATAATATATGCATTAAATACAAAAATACAATACTTGGTTAAAACAAATGTGCTACAAAGTGGTATCAGGGTGATAACGAGTGATAGAATTTTTTTTCTCGAAATGAGCTTGTCCCATTTGTGCGTAAAAAGATTTAAATTTTTTTTGAATCGGGTACAAAATTGTAAATTAAGGTTAAAAAAATAAGATACAAGTTAATTAAAAAAATTTAAAGAAAATAAAAAGCTCTTTAATCTCATCGCTTAGATTTCACCCCACTTAGCACTAATGTGCACATTTAGTTGTGCACTTGTGCAAAAACATGTGGAACTTTGCTACAAAGACATGCATGTCACTGTGATATTTTGGAACTTCTACTACCCTTCTGACAAAACCCTTTAATGAGAATACATGGACAAAGAAAAGACGCCCTAAAATTAATTATTAATAATGGAATAGATAAGACCAAAGACTTGAAGCGTGGCAGCCATATGCCCTTTTACATCTCAGCCTCAGCAACCCATAAGCCCTACCGTCTCTCATCCGTTCTATAAATACACCCTCCCGTAACAAAGCTTTCTGCACCAAAACTTGAGATATATATAGAGAGAGTTCTACCATAAGTAGAAGAAAATTAAACAAAAAAACACCCTTCTTTAATCTCAAGATATGGCTTTGTTGTTGTCTTCGTCGTTTCATCAACTCGTTGTTGCTGCGTCGTTGATGGGCATGGCTTTGTTCTTGAGCTGCAACGCGCAGCAGCTTGCTCCGACGTTCTACTCCCCGACTTGCCCGTCGGTGACCAACATCATTCGCCAAGTTCTCGTCAATGCTTCCGCCACCGATCCCAGGATCGGCGCCAGCCTCATCAGGCTTCACTTCCATGACTGCTTCGTCAATGTAACAATAACTCTTCTCCATCCCTTCATCATTTTCATTTCCTCGTTCACTTTTTTTTTTTTTTTTTTACCCGTAGCATTACATGTTTTTGTGCGTTTAGTTACTTAATTTCTTGATGGTGGTGCTTTTGTTGGATGAGCAAACAACTAGGGTTTATGCTTAGCATTACAAGCAAAAAATTATGGTGCTGCAATATATGTGTGTAGGGATGTGACGCATCAGTGCTGCTGGATAACAGCGCGACGATTTTAAGCGAGAAACAAGCTCTTCCAAATAACAACTCGTTGAGAGGGTTTGAAGTTATAGATTTGATGAAAAGCCGGGTGGAGGCGTCTTGCCCCGGCGTCGTTTCTTGCGCCGATATACTGACCATCGCCTCGGAGGAATCTGTCGCCTTGGTACGTAGATTTTAACTGTGCTGATCTTAGTCTTATTTGCTAATTTGAGCTTTAATTTGTTTTAATTACTCACACCTTATTGTAATATTTTAAAAAAAACTTAAAATATAGATATATATTTGCCATCGGTATGCAGAATACGACGTCTTCATTCTTTTAACCACAAATTTAGGATCACCTTAAAGCAGGCCGTTGAAAAACAAAATCAAGAAATTATTTTGTGGCCGAATCAAGAATTGGTTGAAATTTTACAAGGTTTGAAAATTCTAAGATGAACATGATCTCTAGCTAGGTTGGTGTCTTGGTGACGTGAGAACATGCAATAATGCTTCTCTACTATGGTTGAATTTTCACCGGAACCACTATTAAACATTCTAGCTATAGCTAGTTTATACCAGCTATATATTCTGATTTATAATATAGTTTCATTTACTTCAAAGATTTTAAGATTTGGAAATACCAACAAATATAATATTGTTTAATAAATATATATTATGATATATACCAGCAAAACGAGATGACTGTTCCCGTTAACTTTGCCTAAGTTTTTACATATGCATATCAATGGTGCGCGCCGGCGCAGGCAGGAGGACCGTCGTGGGCAGTTCCATTGGGAAGACTGGACAGCTTAACCGCAAACCGGAGCTTGGCGAACTCGGCGCTCCCGCCTCCCTTCTTCACCGTCCCTCAGCTCAAAGCTGCTTTCGCTGCCGTCGGCCTCAACACCACCGTCGACCTCGTTGCCCTCTCTGGTACGCAATTAATTCTCACCGGCCGCCATTAATTCCGGCCTGCCATGTGTAAGCCTAACTATACACATATAGTTCAGCCATGGCCCTGTTCCTGATCTACCGCTGTCTCCGTCCATAAGCCAGCCACCTGTTAATTGCATGACAATGGAGTAGTAGTATACGTACTAGTCAAAGAAACCCTACCACGTAAATGCTAACTCACCAAACATTCTCTCTCTCTCTCTCGCTCTAAGAAACACATTATATCACACAACTATTCATTCGTGGACTTCTATCTAGGGTGGTTGGCTTTCGACTTCATTTACGTACCGATGTCATTTATCACTTCAGTACATATGCCAATAATCATTTAACCACTTTCCTACGAGCCCCCTCAAACGAAATCTCAGCTCATCATGAGGTTAAAATTTGCACAGACCTTCTCATACCATGTACTTTAAGACAACGATTAACAATATTGGAGACTTCTCACAAGTGGGACGTGATCTCATGGACAAATCATCAGCTCTAGTATCATATTATAAATCGAGCATATTTCTATTAGGGGGATGATCAAGCGCACACATTCGAGTCATATATCGTATTTTACTCGAGTCATATATCGTTATTTTCTATAAAAAAAACATAAATGCAACCTCACCAAACATTTTCTCTCTAAGAACACATTATCAAACGTATTCATGGACTTTTATCTAGGGGTGGTTGGCTTTGAACTTCATTTACATACTGATATGCCGATTACGATTACTGGACCTTCAACGTGTCACGAACTAGTTCATCCGGTACGAAACTCGACTCGTTTGCGGGAAGGTTAACTTTGAAGCTCAAATCACCCTGTAGCACACCTCCTTAAGAAAAGCAAGCGCGCTCGTCACGAATATGAAGTTTGCACATTGTCAACCAGACTTTGTACCTATGCGCAGATCAACCTCAATATCATATCACGAACCAGTTGATTCTACGTAGTAACTCAAACAGTTGATAACACTACATTAATTATGGATCTTATATATCACCGGGTGACAATGATTCAGGTGCGCATACGTTCGGGAGGGCCCAGTGCGGCGGGTTCGTAGACCGGCTCTACAACTTCAGCGGGTCGGGCAACCCGGACCCGACCCTGAACGCGACCTACCTCCAGACCCTCCGGCAGCTGTGCCCGCGCAACGGCAACGCCAGCGTGCTCGCCAACCTCGACCGCGCCACCCCCAACGCCTTCGACTCCCGCTACTTCTCCAACCTCCAGACCCGCGAGGGCCTCCTCCAGAGCGACCAGGAGCTCTTCTCCACTGCCGGCGAGGACACCGTCGCCATCGTCAACCGGTTCAGCGCCAACCAGACCGCATTCTTCCAGAGCTTCGTCGCGTCCATGATCAGGATGGGCAACATCGCGCCGCCGCCGGGGAGCCGCGGGGAGATCAGGAGGAACTGTAGGGTTGTGAATGGCGCTTCCACGTTGATCACCACGACGGCTACGGATGGTTCGGAGAGTGATTTGGGTTACGAGACTACGCCACTTGCTAGCTCTATTTAGAAAAAAGTTTTATTATGACTTTTCTACGTGGATTGGGTGAGACTGAGAGACAAAGTTGAATAAAAGAGAGATTATTATTATTATTATTATTATTGTTATGATTATGATTATTATTATTATTATTATTATATGGTAAATGTGTGTGTTTAATTTGGGGGAAGTTGGGTCTATAGAGTCGGCTGGCCCATTGTTGTACTTGTAACGTTGTTGATCTGGAGTTTATGCATGGTTTAAGCTTTAATTGTCGTTTACTATTAATGTTTATTACGTGTAATATGAATATAAAAAAATGTTTTATGTAATGTCAAGAAAGTTGTGTGGAATTTATTTTTGTACTTTGTAGCTGTCACAAGTCACAACGCAAGTTTCTTTTCTTTCCCGTAATGACGACATCAATTGGATTAGTTGGAACAAGGAAGATACCGAGGAAGGAATTCGAGAATAGCAACAAGTGGAGCAAAACAAATCTAGAGGGTGGTATAAAATTAACATAATTTTCTCTCAACTTATTTATGAGATGGTATCAGAACTAGTTTTTTTTCGTTGAATATAGGGATGGGAACCCTGGCCGTCCCGCCGGGTACCCGCCCGAAATCCGACTCAACGGGGGTCTTAATAACCGGCCGCAGTGGGGAATCGCCGGATTCGGGCATACCCGAAACCCGTCAGAAGCGGGTTACTCATGGGGATGGATCGAGAACTATCCGCCCTGTCCCCGTCCGTCCACAAAACGACGCCGTTTTGGCACATGGGTATAAAAGGCCGAAGAAAGACCCAGAAACCCTAATCCCTCATTTCCTCTTCTTTCTGCCTGTCGACTGCCGCCGTTTCCTTTCATCTTCCTCTCTATTTCTCTCCACCCAAGCACGCGAGCATTGATTTAGCTCCAAAATTTCGCCGATTCCCCACAAAATCCTCTTCATCCACTGGTTTATCGCTAGTAGGCAATCATTAATCCTCCGATTTGGCCAATCGGAGGCTTGTTTTGCCGCCGATTTGGCCGGAAAACAACATGCAAACCCCTAAAATGCCTCTTGCAATCTTTGATTCGCAATTATTGGGAGAAATCGGCGTGATATCATCACGGATGACAGATAAGCTTCTTCTCCCTTTTCCTTTCATTTTCCTATCTATTCCATCTTCTTCTGCTTTCATATATATAGTAACCCTGTCGATTGATTTCAGGGTCAGAGGCAACCTCAGTTCTAAGTTCTTTCGTTCATCATTACCTTCACTCTACTCAGAGCACAGTCAAGGTAATCACTTTTAAAACTTGAATTTTCCTAGTTTATTAACTTGGTCTTTATCATTCAATGAATTCTAACACAAAGTTGTTTTTATTTTTGCCTTGTTCGAGTTCATTAGGTTCGCATCAGGGCATCAAGCATCAGGCATCAACTCCCCATCTGCAGTCTGGTCGACAAATCCTACCTCTCCAGATTACAGGTTAGGCATAGACTGACTCTAAATCCATCCTGTTTTATGATTTGTATGTGTAGCTTGCATGTGTCGATTGCTTGATTTGCTTGTGTGCTCTGTCTGAGTCTTGAAGATTGATTGATTGTATTTTTCATTTATGTTGATGGATGGTGCAATTGCAAATGATGCTTTGAATGTAAATGATCCTCCTGTGCCTAATTCTCTAAATCCTGATGTTAATGGTAATGTTAACGGTAATGGTAATGGTAATGGTAATGGTACTGTTAATGGTAATGGTAATTGTACTGTTAATTTGGTTGATGGGATTGAAACTGGTGAAGTCATTCTTGAGGAAGATAAGAAGTTGACTTCTGATGTCTGGCCTCATTTTGTTAGAGTGAAGTTTAATGGTGTTGTTAAGGCTAAGTGTCGTTACTGTAAAAAACGACTTGGTGGTGATACTAGTAATGGAACCTCCCATCTGAGGCACCATTACAAAACTTGTACCCAAAGAAAGATACATGATGGTAGACAGAGAGTTTTGGGTCCTGATTATAAACCAACTGGGAAACCACTGCTATCTGCTTCTCAGTTCAGTTCTGATGTGTCTAGGAAGGAATTGTGCTCAATGATTATGGTCCATGAATATCCTCTAAGTATTGTTGAACACTTGGGGTTCAGACGTTTTTGTTGTTCTTTGCAACCACAGTTCACTGTGCCTTGTAGGGGTACAGTGAAGAATGACATAATGGGATTATTAGGGTTGAAATGGCAAATTTGAAGAAGGTTCTTGATGGTAATATTGGGAGAGTTGCAGTGACCACTGATATGTGGACTGCACCCAACCAAAAGAGGGGTTATATGGCAGTAACTTGTCATTTTATTGACAATTCTTGGAAGCTAAGAAACTTGATGCTACGTTTTGTTTATGTCCCTGCTCCTCACACTAGTGAGAGGCTGGGAAACAGGTTGTTCAAGTGTCTTATTGATTGGAATATTGATAGCAAGTTGTCATCTATTACCTTGGATAACTGTACTACCAACGATGCTATGATAACCCATCTGAAAACCAAACTTGTTATGGATGATTTGTTGTTGGATGGTATGCTGGTTCACATGAGATGTTCTGCTCATGTACTTAATCTTATTGTGCAAGATGGTTTGGATGTCATCAGGGATGGCATTGATTTGGTTAGGGAGAGTGTTGTGTACTGGAACTCTACACCTAAGAGGGTTCAGACCTTCTTTGAAACTGCTAAACAGATTAAGGTGACTTGTAGAAAGAAACTTGTGCTTGATTGTCCTACAAGGTGGAATTCCACCTATGATATGCTGTCTGTTGCTATTATATACAGGGATGTGTTCTCTCGATTGAGACAGAGGGATAGTCAATACAATACTGTCCCTACTAGTATGCATTGGCAGTTTGCTGCCATTATCATTGAGAAGCTTGAAATCTTCAGTGAGATTACTCAGCTATTTTCTGGTAGCAAGTATCCCACTGCCAATCTGTTTTTCCCCAAGATCTGTGATTTAAGATTGAAATTGCTGGATTGGTGTTCTGATTCCAATACTCTTGTCTCTAGTATGGCTGAAAGCATGTGGGAGAAATTTGCCAAGTACTGGGATGAGGTACATGTGGTTCTGGCAGTTTCAGTGGTTCTTGATCCTAGATACAAGATGCATGTAGTTGATTATTATGCTGGCAAGTTTGGCAGTTCTAATACTGCATTGGTGGCTGATAAGATAAGGGAATGTATTTGTGGTTTGGTTCTTGACTACCAAACCAAGGCTGAGAAGAAGAATTCTGGTTCTTCATGTGCTTCTGGTGGTTCTTCTAGTTCTGTAAGTGATGATCTTGATTTCGAGCTCTTTGTGAGTCAAAGGAAAAAGAGCAAAACTACTCTGATTCATACTGAGCTTGATCACTATCTTCTTGAGGATCTTATTCCCAAACGATCTAAGGACTTTGATATATTGATGTGGTGGAAACTTAATGGCCTTAAGTACCCCACTTTGCAAGCAATTGCAAGGGATTTCCTGGCCATTCCAGTCACTTCAGTGGCTTCTGAATCTGCTTTCAGCTCTGGTGGGAGGTTATTAGACCCTCACCGGAGTAGGCTTCACTACAATACAGTGGAGGCAATGATGTGTACTCGTAATTGGATCATTGATTCAATGCAACAAGGTAATATGCACCAACTGAACTTTCTGGTTTATTAGAGTGTTCATTGTTCTAACTATTTTCCTTTGTTTCATTTTTTGCAGAGTCAAAGGCTGATGTTGAGGCAATGGAAGGATTGTTTTCAGCTCTAGCACTTGCAGATACAAGTGCTGAAGATCAAACAGAGGGTAAGTTACTTGTTTCTTCAATTCGTTTCCTTGTTAATCTCAGTTCAATTCTCTTAACACCTTTGTTTCCTTACTTGCAGAACAAGAGGAACTTGGCAATATGAACCGTGGTCCACTATCCCTAGATGATTGATAGTTTGACTGTTTGAGAAAAACCAGTGAAAAGGTAAAGTACTAGTGATCAGTAGCACAATACTTATGATTGATGAGTTTTATTGATAGTTTCAATTCTCTAACACTTGTTTTCTTTCTTACAGAACAAATGGAACTTGTGACAAAGGAGGAATGTTGTTCAAATTAGTTGAGGTCGAGGAAAGTTGGTCTCCAGCGTGGATGCCTTTGTTTTTCATTTTATCATTTCTGAACGATTAGGCTGAATGCCTTTGTTTTTCATTTTATGTTTTTTTTTAAGTTTGAACACTAGTACTAGCATGATGAACATGATTGATGGGTTTTGGGTGGTGGGATTAAGGTTGCAGCAGTTTGTTTGCTGCAGCCTGTTTGTTTGTTTGAATTTTAGGATCTGGGTGCTGGGTGGTGGGATATGGGTTACAGCCCCAGATCTTTCTTTGTTTTGTTTTCTATTTCGGTGGCTTGACCATCAAGTTACTATTTTAATGCAAGTGTATTATTCAGCAAGTGTTTGGTTTTTGTTTAGACCATGATCCGTGGGGATCCGTTGGTTACCCGAATCCGTCGGCGGATGGGGACGGTAGCCAATCTCCCCCCGTTTAGTCGCCGGGGACGGGGATGGGGAAATCCGTCGAGGTGTATGGGCGGGGATCGGGAGGCATGTACCCGCCCCCGATCAGCCCCGTTGCCATCCCTAGTTGAATATGTCAGAGCTAGTTTCTCCAAGTGGAGTAAAATGATTTAATTATTTTAAATTAAAACGAAAAATTTAGGAGTAAACGAGGGGCAATTACATCATTTCCCAGCTCATTTAACGGTTACTTGACGGAAAGATAGATGAAAAGGTAAACTTGTTACTATTAAAAATTAGAAGGGTATGTTTGTGGAAAAAAATTAGTAGAGTGATATGTTTGTTAATTTGTTATAGTAGAAGGGTACAAAATGCTATTAACCTTTTTTTTAATGAAATTTTATTAATGGGCTAAAGCCCCATTATCCAACAAATTTAACATAAATATGGGTGGGTGGTCTCTGCCAACTGGGCTGGGCTGGACTTTCGTGGAATTCTGTCGGCAGCTGGGCTTCGGTTTTATCATTGAAAACCTTGACTTCCTCAAATAACATCCGATTCTTTCGTCACTGTGGGTGGTACTAACATGTTTCCTTCTAACTACCGAATCTTTTCTGCAATAATGAGCTAATATTTCCATTTTCCAATCTAATTTGCCCTTATCCGGCGTTTAAGTAAAATACTTGAATACTCTGGAAACAGAAGTCAGCTTTTACTTTTCCGATCCCACATAAAATACCTTCAAGATATTGTTGTCAATTGGTTATATGATTCAAAAACGGGAAGATGCTTTATCTGATTGCCTCATAACAAGAAAAAAAAGGTGCTTAGGTGGTTAAACCTCCTGTTCAAACAGTCTTAAGTCTGTCCATCGAAAACAGAGGACAGGTAAACACAAAGAAGAACCAAAATTCAGAAAATGAAAAGAATTGGGCTTGGTATTGGTATTGATTCAATTCTTGAAGTCTCTTACAGCCAACAAATTTCCCAGCTTTTGCTCGTCTACCGCGATGTAAGAAAAGAGGAGCGTAAAGCTAACCCCAAAATAAAAAAAAGATGTCTTTTGGTGAAATAACAGAGCACCGATCCCGGCGGCGCGCGTTACAGTATCAGTCTCTTTTCCCTTTCTGTTTTTTCGTGGAATTTGAATGGTTCTAATGTTTCTTCAGGAGCAGAGCACGGAGCTCCGCGGCGTCGATCTCTTCGGCAACGTTCTCGGGTCGGTAGAAACCGGTGCGCGGGTCCGGAACCCAGCTGGTGGAAACCACCTTGTTGGTCGCTTCCCCTGTTCTCTTCACCATGCCGCTTGTCGCGGCGGTTACAGCAGAACCCCCTCCATTCCCCGGCGTGGCTTTTCCGGCAGAAGCGGCGGCGGCCGTGGAGAATCCTCTTCCGTTGGTGATTGCCCTTGTCACTGCAGCTGAGAGAAGCTTCGCGCTGGAGATGGAGCGAGCCATTATGATTGAAAGATATAGAAAGATACACAACTTTCTTCGAAAAAATTGAGATCTGGGATTGCAAAGAGAGATTTGAGGAGGGAGTTTTTGTGTTGTGGGATCTTTTTTTTATTTGAAAGCTTGGTGTGGAATGTGTTGAGATTCGGGGCTGCGCCATTTATATAGAGGCTGGAGGAGAAAAGAGAGAGGCGGCTGGAACTGGAAGCTGCCTTCCGTGAAGGTGAAGGAGTCTGGGTCTCCTTTGTGGGCTTGAAATATCTACTCTCTTTCATGTTGTTTTGACCACGTCCATGGCATTAGTGATGACAATTTGAAACCGCTCCACGCGTATTATTCCAACTGGTTCATAATAAGGTGGGTATTATCCGACCCGCAATAGCGTGGGGCGGGACATGGACTTTCGACCCGCCTTGTCTTGTCTCGTCCCATCCCCATTCTTGGCCCCTTCTATCTCGATTTCTTACAAAATCTATACATTTTTCTCCTATTTTGACTTTTCTTCCACTAGGTAGAGTCGATCTTTCAACTTATTGGACTCGAATATCCATTATATTATCACTATTTTTTATTCATAAAGTGTTTCTCATTTCGTTTTATCATAAAATGTAAACTTTACGTGTATATTTTTTCAAATAACACGTAAGAGTGGGTGGCCCCGCCCTGCCTCATTGCCATCACTATTTGTCATTGATAGCCAAATGAATGATATGGAATTCACTCCACCTAATAATAGGGTTTGATTCTACCCAAGTAAAAAGCTTAGCGTGACAAAAATTCACCTGTTTATATTCAAAAAATATTAAAAAAAAATCTTATCTTATTATACCGATCCCATTGTAAAGAAGAAGAAAAATCTAATCTTATAATATTGTTGATAAATGCGGATGAGTGTATCTAAATATCAGAAAAGTCAAACAATAGAGTATTTTTTTTACTGAAATCATGATTTAACCGTTTCGTACCGTTAAATATCGTTTACCTATATTTAGCCTCTAATAAAAAATATTTCACCGTCAATATAATACAATTTTTCAATACTCGATTAAATCTATCTTTTTGGCTTAGCTTTGGAGAAGCCAATGACAACAGAAGAGTCGTTATTTTCCATCTGGAGAAGAGTGTGGTTACATTTGTCATGTTGAAACACTTTTGCGAAGCCAATGACACTAAGCCAACCTAGCTTAAGCAGACGCAACTGGGAACCAACTTGATTTGAGTGGTGGCTTTGGTCAGACTCAGTGATGGCTAGGTGCAAGATACTTGCAAATGCTTCTGACGTACGACGTATCTGGTCGTAATTTCCAAGTAGCTCTGTGACTGTGAGTCACTGAGTCTGACCAAAGCCAGCCCACAGACAGCCGCCAAACCAAGCTACCACGAAGCTAGGCAGTAGGTTCCGAGCAAAACCGCGACTTCGTGCCTGCCTTCATTTTGGCGCAGGTTCATTGGATATCTCAAAAATCACAAGTTGATCTGATTAATGCACGCTGCCCTACTGACCAAAACAAAAAGGAACTTTAAAAAGAAGTGTACGTGGTTAGAAGTACTGGCGGATGATTTGAAGATGCATGTTATAACGTACCTATCTATCAGAATACATACGAACATGACAATTTTTTTAGATAAGGGTAATATAGGTTATATTTTGTTATTAGGTACTACTGAAGGGATTCAAATCTGGTACCAACATGAACCGTTCATGACTATTTTTGTATAGGTTCTCTTCATTCAAATGAGTAATTCTAAGTCCAGTGAATCACGGGATCGGATTCGGTTTTGATGAAATATATACTTTTTTCTCGAATTAAATTCAATGGTGTTTGCATCTAAAAATTGATCAACAAGGTAATTAATCCTCTTATAAAGTCAAATTAATTATAACAATTATTAGTATTTAATCTGGGTCTCATTGATCTTGATTTTTAAGCCCAACCCGCTAAGTCTTTCACGCGCATGAACACAAAAGGAATATGAACATCTCGCAAGAGGTCATGCCATGCCATGCCATAAGAATAGTAAACAATCGTCCTCAAGTCGCTTGCTTACAAAAATAAGCAAAAGTATTAAGTTCCGAGAAGTCCATGGACATGTTGCGACAGGGGTTGAGTGACAACCACGATGACCCATTCCCGAGACAACCACATGCTCATCACAAGATTACATGTCACGGATTACAAGGGCACAAGATTGATAACAAGATTAAACGGATACCTAGGGGTTGAGCGAGAAATTGCTACTCATCCCACATTTAAGGACATGTCAGCCACATTCAAGTAAGAAAGGAGATGTTCTTTTTTGGGAGTTATCCAACATGTAGTTAAGACGGTTACCTTCCCAAGGTTATAGATAGGAAGAGGGATCGACAGGGACAAGGGTTCGCAAAACACAACTTACCCATATGTCAAGTGTCAATCTTTTTTTCTCTACAAGTAGTCATAGTCGTAGCTTTGAGCTCTCACTGAACATCTATAGGGGTAGAAGTAATTTAATGTAGTTATGTTCACAACACTTATAAATCAAACATCGTGTCTGAATTGTGCTCAAAGAGGTGTAATTCGTGTCTTAATGATTGTTGTCCAAAGAAGTCAAATGCACTTTCAATTCAATGCGAGTAGTCCCTATGGAAAAAATTTGGTACGCCTAGTGGGACCTCGTGTTTGATTCGATGGCTCCAAAATAGAGGCAACAAGAATGTAATATTTCACCTGGATTTGTGAAGGAATAAGTGGCTAAGCTTGAACTTGGCCAAGTAACAAAAGTTGTTGTAAAAAACAATGGCATGGTGGAGGCTTTACTACCTACACTGCCAAGTTTGGATGTAATCACCAGCATCATGACACTTCACCAAATCATGGTGGAGACCTGGCAATCCATGAAGGAGGCCTTGGCGAGCAATATCCATCATGTAAGCTCTCAAATTGAGTCTGTCAATTATCTAGGTAGGGGTCTGAGTGAACTTATTAAGTTGCTTGAAACAACCATAAGTGATTTTTGTGAAGCTAGACAACTTTTGACAAACTAGTAGTGCAATCTATGGCTTCGACACTAGTAGTGAAATCTATGGTTTTGCCACTAGATGGTATATAGACACCATAAAACAATTCTATTTGGAGTACAAATAGTCCTCCCACCAATGGCAAGAATTGCCTGATATGACAGGATAGATTGTCGGCGCCAATGACAAGCCAATCACCCTGATGACATATGAAAGTGTTTATTCCAGATCTTCGTATTGTGACCAAAATTGTGTGCATTTCCTATGATTAGTGTCATAATATATTGGATTATTGCTATGATTGCTTCAAGTGCGTTCTATCAATGGTAAGATTGCTTTTATACAATTGATACGATTTTGGGTAGCGTTTTGTGCATTTTCTGGGCCGAGCAGCCTAGTGGACTACTTGGAAGTTGTAGGGGACATCAAGCCCAAGTTGTTGGAGCAAGATTACGAAAACTGGACGTCATTGAAGAAAGGCGCCCAATGTGCCATTTGTACTAAAGGAAAGGGGCGTCATGTTGTTGTTTTGTTGGAATCAACTGCTTCATCAAGAAGTAGTCCAATTCACTAGCCACATGTTTGGAGGCTTCCGATTGGCCGAATGACGTTGTATGGGCAGTTATCTCTCCTTGTAAAGGCTAATGGAAAAGGTATAAATAAGAGTATAGAGCTAGAGTTAGAGAGGGGGAGACAAGAGGTCAAGGAAATGTCGTTCTAAATTAGGTCGTTCTGACTTAGAGCGACGTTGCCAGGCTTGTGCAGCACATGTGTTTGCACCACCAACAACGCGCCCTACCACACTTGTGCCTACCACTTCCACCTCTAATGATTTTCCTTGGAAGATATCTCGGACTTTGTGAATAACGAATCCCTCAATCATATGGGTGATGCATAGGTTACTCGTTGCTATGCCTAGCTCGAAGACGTAAAAGAGAGAGCACTCCATGGGAAGCATTCCATGTCTGGCGTCTAACTTAAAGATGTTAAACAAAAGTACTAAAGAGAGATAACCCAATTCGCTTTTCTTTCTTTTTTTGTTTTGCAACCAAAATACATCAATGGAACTAGCTGATCCGCTTGGATTCCCGGAGTTACGGAAACTCCGTTTTATCTTTTTCCCTACCTCCTTGTGCGGTCCAATGAGGACATTATCTCAATTAAAGTGTGGGGTGGAATTTAGGTAGATTGGTATTCATTAATATATCATATTATGATTGTTCATGCATATGGGAAATGGTGCTTCTTACCCAAAACATGTAAAACTGCACCAACCTCGCTTTGGAGGCAAAATTGTTGTGGATCAATATCAGGTCATGCCGGTGACACTATTCATGGTTCGTTTCATGGCCGTGAATCACTCCACAATTAGTTTCTCAAATTGTCAATTTGGGAATTCCAATCATAACTTTCACGGTTGGCATCACGTACGTGAGACGGGTTGCGAACATGATGGGTTTGCCCTCCAGAGCCAGTTACATGTGAATTATATCTATAGTGTGGAATTTGTGTACGCATTTACACATAATGTTCAATCTCGAATAATGTCACACTCCCCAAGCAACTTTGAAGTCATCGTACTTTGAATAGCTAGTCTCTACGTTAATACGTAATCTAAAGGAGGCTAGTGTAGAGCATATGAAGGATTACCTTGTCATGAAAACTGGATTCGGTATATATTGGGCTTAACTTAACTAAGCCCAAGGGGCGGAATAGAAATAAAATAAAAAAACTAACGGGCTCCGCCCGCGAATCAGCCGATAACTAAACAAAACCCCGCCCGCCCTAATCCACCAGCAGCAACGAAGGGGGAAAGCGAGAAGAAACAGAGACAGTGAGGGTTTAGGGTAAAATGCGAGGAATTCAGCTGTCGTTGAATCAAACCCAGAAGATCAGGCTGCAGAGAGCTCTCCAGCAGCTCGAATCCCTTTCTTCCAAGGTCAATTCCAACGCCTCCGTCACCGTCGCAGACACCATCCCAATCAACAACGAAGACAGCATTCTCAAGTGAGTAACTTCCCTCGACCCTAATTGATCGTTCTCTGCTAATTACCTGTTTGCCGAAACTCGTTAGCTTTGGTTCTAACGCGAAATTTTTTTCAAATCGAATCAATATTTCAAGGGGGCATGGAACCTCGGAACGCGGTGGTGAAGTGGTTGCGACGTTGTGTGGGGTGGTGGAGCGAGTTAACAAGCTGGTCTATGTACGGACCTTGCGCGCCAGGTGCACATTTGAGTCTTTTTTATATTTGCTTATTAGGTTTCGTCTTCCCTTTCTAGTTGGTCTTTGATTTTTGAAACTCTCTTGTTGACGTTCTGCTATTGGAACTCTTCAGGTATAAGCCGGAGGTTGGTGATATCATAGTGGGACGTGTTGTTGAGGTAAATTTCGGATGACGTTTTAAGCATTAGAGGTAGCCAGGAAACAGAATCGTGAAACTTTGGAAGAGGGTAGCTAGTTGTGTTAAGGTTTTTCTGTGTTTCAATTCACTTTATGCCTCTTTCACTTGTCATTCTGCTTTCTGTTTTTCGGAAGAGGGTAGCTAGGTAATGGGATTTCATAAAGTATATGTGTGTCATATGGAAGAGGGCTGTTTGTTCCTCTATGTCAGAAAACATGTGCAGTAGCTTTGGTCCATGTTTGGGAATTGCTAGTTTAACTTGGGCCAACATTCTCTTAGTTTCTTGATCATTTTTTGACATCTCATTGTTCTAGTAAAATTAGATAACGAGTGTGCTAATATGTCTGCCTGTTCTCATCTCATTGTTGATTCATCCAGGTGGCTCAAAAGCGTTGGAAACTGGAAATAAATTTCAGCCAAGATGCAGTGTTAATGCTTTCTTCCATGAACTTGCCTGATGGTATTCAGGTGTTGTTTTGTCATACTTTTGAAATGTCCTTCTGGAGTGCTGTTTTTATTTCTAATTAGATTAGCCAATGCAGAGCATGAGAAACTAAGTTAGTAATAGGGCATGATACACAATTTCATGATTACCTGGTGTTGTGGACTCTACTCCACTAATGCTGGAGGATTGTCATTGAATCATTTGTTGAAATATCTTGCATCATGTTCATAAACTTTAGTTTGTTTAGTGAAACAAATGGAGCCAATGCTTTTTGTGACGGATTATGCTTCAATGTAACCACCCCTCTTTGTTGTTTTTATTTGTCACTGCTAGATTGCTTATCAGCTTGATTCACGATTTTGATTTATTATTGCTTGACAAGATTGTGCTCCTAACTTCAAATATGGTTTGTTTGTGAATGCTAGAGGCGGCGAACTGCATTGGATGAGCTCAACATGCGCTATATATTTGAGGAGAATGATGTTGTATGCGTAAGTCCACAGCTAATTCATTCTATCGTTTGTATGTTAAACTCGTCCACATGTAACTTGAGGCTGACTGAGTGATTTTGCTAGAGTGATAAAAATAATATGAAAATTCTTGCTAGAATCTATTTGCATTCTCTTTACATTTCAGGCTGAGGTTCGTAACTTCCAGCATGATGGTACTCTCCAGCTGCAAGCCAGAAGCCAAAAGTACGGAAAGGTTTGATTCTAAACTTGTGACTGTAGTCATGTTTTTGTACGCGGTAATTTGTTATGTGGTCTTCCTCCTAAACGTCTGTAATATAAACAGTGATTATGTATTTTAGAGAGAAATATGATTCCCAAAGTATTATGGATGTATGTTTTTTCTTTTCTGATAATATGGATGTTGTGCAGCTCGAGAAGGGTCAACTTTTGAAGGTTCCACCATATCTGGTGAAGAGACAAAAACACCATTTCCATCATCTGGATGAGTACGCTGTCGACGTGATTCTTGGATGTAATGGCTTCATCTGGGTTGGTGAACATGTGGATGTCCGAGAGAGCATGGTGGAGGATCAAACAGAAAATGCCGGAGAGCAGAATTCGAGGTCTCATAAATCCCTTGAGGACACTCCGATAGAGACGAGGCGGCGCATATGTCAGATCGCGAATGCTATCCGTGTGCTATCCAATTTAGGCTTCAATATAACTGTGGAAGTGATACTGGAAGCGGTTAACTTGAGCAGCAAGCTGGATTGTGGTGTGGATGAGATGCTGGGACCTGAGTTCCATGTTGCTCTGGCTGAGAGAGAGGCTCAACGGCGTTCACAGTCGAAGAAGAAAGGATGAAACTAGTAGGGATTCTGGTGTGATGTGTAACCAAGGCTTAACTTACTATTTTGTGCAAATTTTGTCTGTTGTTCCTATACTGCGGTTCTTAAAGCTTTTGCTCCTAATCAGACCAGCCAGCGACAGCCTACTAGCCACCAAAAGTGTCGTTCACTTCCATCACGCATTTTACATTCATGCATTTGCTACTTTCTGTAATAGTCGATGCATTTTACATTTCATGTCTCGCAACATTCAGAGTTGTGGGACTGCGAAATTCAGCAAAACAAAACAACTCGGCAAAGGTTCGATACGGGAAAAAAAGAACCAAGTTTCTAACCAAGTAACTTGGGGACCAAGCTTGGTTTGCAGCTCAACGGCTTCTACTATCCCCTTTCGTTGTTAATATATCAAACTAAATGTTTTAGAGTCAATAACAGCTAGTCCAGGAATACGGGACGGGAGTCGAATGTACAAAAGTAGTGTTGGTCTGGTCTGAACTAGAGCTCATCTTTCGCCTGTGTTGGAAGTTCATCCCAATAGTAGGGGAACTTCAGTTTTGCTGCAGTATGTGGCATGAACCAGTCTTCATACACAAACCTGGATACAAAAGAAGAAAACAAGATTTTTTTTTTTACTAAGTAGTAAGAACGCAATATTAATATTTAATAGCCAAAACATTTCAAATCCTTTCTACTTTGGTTTAGGGTTGCATACACTTTCACTGGTGGACGAGATATTGTGACAAGCACTTGCAAGTCCTCGTGTTCATTTGTATTCAAGACCTGCAGACAAGTCATGATATAGTCCAGGTAAGAGAAGGAAGGGTAGAAGCAACTTCTGCGCCAAAGAGATCAGAAAGATATAGAATGACATCCATTTTCGTCCAACATCATCAGGTTAAAGAAGGGCAAATAATAAACAAGAACCAGGGGGATAGTGAGAACCTTCCCAGATGGCAGTATGGAACCCAGACATCCAAAACCATGCACATTTAGTCAGCCAAGCAAATGCAGACATCTAGTGATATATGTATTAGCCCCCATCTCATGAGGCTGATTTGAGACATCAGCCACAACAGATAGTAGAAGGCCACCCCAGGGATAATAAGACTCGAAACCAACACATATTCACAAACTTGCCACGGTTTCTTAGAAGACAGCAACATGATTAATGTTCATAAAACGAGGACAAAAAAGAAGAACGTCCTTGATCCCAAAGCAGGTCCGAACATTTCATGCGTGGTGTGCATCAGTCACAACAATAGATAGTAGAAGACCACTCTAGGGATAAAAAGACACGAAACCCACACATATTCACAAATTTGTCATAGGTTCTTAGAAGACCATCCAGTAACATGATTAATGTTGATAATACAAGGACAAAACAGCAGAACGTCATTGATCCAAAAGCATTTCCGCACATTTCATACCTGGTGTGCATCATTCACCGGAATATGGAATGTGCTATTAGGAAAGATCGAATGCTCTTCTGGGTGCCCAGGATGCTTCTGGTGCGAGTTAGAAGCAAGGTAAAGTTTTCCACTTCCTTTAAGCACAACAAACACCTCTTCACACGAGTGCCTGTGGATGGGAGTGCTTGAGCCTGGAGAAAATGTTTGAAGCCATACTTCAACCTACAGAAATTCACAAAATCAAGTTACCAAATTGTTCGAGATATCAGATGCAACCCTTAGCTTGTCAACTGGAATCAGTGACGAGCAATCGGAATCAAGTCCTTCAATAGACATACTAAGCCTAGATGCACAAGCAAAACATAGTGAATTTATCACCTAGCGGATAGCAATCCAAACAACCCAACATAAGAAACAAGAGGGGAAAAAGCACTGGGAAAGCAGCTGAATAATACCTCTTTCATCCCATGCAGGACAGAGCCTGCAACAGTTATATGGGAAAGGCCTGCCCTGCCATAGTTATCCTGAGGAAGCTCACTGATATTTCGCACAAGCGGGGATCCTGTACTAGAGGAAAGATTGAAGTGTCAAACAAGCGGGGATCCTGTACTAGAGTTTAGTTGCGGAAAAAGATACTGTTGATCAATCCCTAGTTAATATGAAATGTGCCCAGAAGGAATTTCTCTACCAGTCATGCCAGCCCAAACTATTCGCTACCAAATTCAAACAACGGTACTCACAAGAACGAGAAGACGCAAACTAGGGCATTTCCATGGGATAAGAACTACCGAACCAACAAACGGTATGGCAAATGGCGAAATAGAAGAAACAGGCGTAAGAAAAAAAACCAAAAGTTTGATGAAGTTTGAGATGGCGGAAGGGGGGAAAGTGTGATTACCGTTGGCGGAGTATTGCGAAGCCCGTGCTGCAGCAATGGCTAAAAAGCTCCAGAAGCAGAGCACGAGTTGAAATGGCGTCATCTTCACTCTGTCGCTCGCTGTTTCAACAACTTCCTTCCGTCAATCAAACAAGACCTTATTGCTGCTGGCGCATGATCGGCGCGGACGCACCGAAGTATCTGGATCTTTCAGAGGAACCGAGTTTGGGCTCTTTTCGCCAAATTTGAATTTTTTTTTTCTTTAACATCTATAATCCATTTTGTAATTTTTACATGATTTTTTATGGATAGAATTATGTACCCTGATTTACAAACGAGTCGAGTTGCTCACGGCGCGATTCCAAAAAACTAATTGAAAACCCAGTTCGATTTCTTAATGAGTCGTGAACTGACTCATTTGTTAACGAGCCGAGCATTAGTTAGGGCCTCTCCAACTCGAAGAGACTTGCGAGCTTACTCGGCTCGTTGAGTTAGACTCGTGAGCTAGCTCATTTAAAATTCGTGAGCTAGCTCGATAGTGTTTGCTCGATCAGAACTCTCGAGATAGATTGATGAAATGGCTTGAAACTTTACTCCATTTAACCTCACAAGTCATTCTGATGGTGTGATTCTCAAGCTAACTGGATTAAATGCTCATTACATAGCTCCTAGGTTGGCCTACTAAGGGGTGGTAAATGGTAAGATTTATTTTTTACTACTACCCAAGGATGTTTATTTATAGACACTTCTATCAGGTTTATGAGATAGAAAGTTGAGTACAAACTACGAACTCCATCAGCCGGATCCATTAGGTTTATCTCCAGTTTATCATCAAAGTATGACATATTCTCTTGAATTCGCTTTAATCTAGGCTGCCAATTCGACTAGGGGCACCTGAATTATACACCAATTTTTGGGCTCCATCCAATCTTTATTTCTGACTTTAGCAGTTGGGTTTTGATGTCCTCCACTTTGACAAGCCGATCCGCTAGGATACTTTGGACTGAAAACCCATGAAACACTACCAAAAGTGTATAAAAAAGCAATCCTAAGGGCTACTAGACACACCTTTGAGTGATCACCAAACATTTCTAGGCTAAAATGGTACTAAAGATATGAAAACCATCCAAAACCTGTCATAAAAATAGGAGTATAAAATTGTACTTTCTACATGTCATAAGTTTCCTTGTTACAATCCACCTACATGAATACTTATAAGATTGAAAGCAAAGACGATAAACACAATTAGATGAAATCAAGCAAATATTATTATATATAATCAAGATCGACCAATACATTTTTTTATGAATAAGATCGACCAATACATTGTCTAAGAAACTTCTAGGGTTCACAACCCTAACTATCGAACTAGTCATTCTTGGGAACAAAATGTAAGAAGTACATAAGTGAAAGACGAGACTACTTGTGCTCTGTAAAATGGTGCCCCTAAGCGGAAAATAACATTGATGTCGCTATTATGTCCTCAAGGTTCTTATCAATTCTAGTTCTTGCGAGTTGCTCTAGAGGCAGAGTAATCCATGTAAAAGATATGTCTTGAAATGTAGGTTGAGAGGTCTATTTATAGCATTTCCATAAGGGTTTCTCATCGATTTTGTATGGTGGTAACTCTCCCAATTGTATATCTTCTAAATTTCTTTAACTCAGGAGGTCGGCTAAAGTTCCACTAATTTATCATTATAATTTTGAGTAGAAATGAGAGATATTTGCTCATATACTCATAGTCTTAAATATCTTTATGGTCAAATATATAATCTAATAAATTTATGATTTACCAACCAGCCAACTTATTAGCTATAGATCAATTAGCTCAAACGCCGCTAGTCGAGCTGGTTCGCTAGCAATATTGTCGAGTCAATTCATTAGCGAAGCCACCAAGATTGACTAGCTCACGAGTTGAACTTAACAAGCCACCAAGTTTGACTAGTTCACGAGCTGAACAATGATAAGGTTAAACTCAACTTATATCTACAAACGAATCTAGTATCGAACGAGTATTCTCAAACCAAACGCCTAGCCACTCATGAACCCGCTCCAGCTCATTTACAGCCTAGTTGTTGCCACTTTCATCATGTGCTGATCTGAGCATAAGAAAAAAGTAATGGGACTAAATTGGATAATCAGTAAAATACAAACACCTGCTTCTGCTCTTTCACTCTCCTTCTATCGTCTCTTCTAAAATGCTTTCCCATTTGCCCGGCTATCAGGAAGCAGCTGCTAATCTCTCTTAAACACGATGCAGGTCGTCGGCAATTTCAATCCAGTGATGATAATCCGAAGCCACGCCGGAATCCACATTCCCGGCTCGTCGATCTTACATCCACAATTCCCCGTTTCTCTGTACCGCAGTCTCCAGTTGAGTTCCAAGTCCACGACGATTGCATCCATCGCCGGTCCTCACTATGCTGTCGCCGCCGACAGAGCTTCGGCCTCAGCCTCCGAGAATCCGTCTCCATCGAAGACGGCAACTCGAGGTAAGAATCACGGAAACAAGCCCAAGTCTAAGTCTTCTCTCTACGCTCGCCCTAGTTTGTTCGAGATGAAGGACGACAAAGTAGCGAATCGAGCTAGGGTTTACGAGTTCCTGCGAGGAGTCGGTGTCGTCCCCGACGAGCTCGACGGGCTCGAACTCCCGGTCACTGCCGATGTCATGAAGGAGCGCGTGGATTTCCTCCACCAATTGGGGCTAACCATTGAAGACATCAACAACTACCCGCTCATGCTTGGCTGCAGCGTTAAGAAGAACATGATCCCTGTGCTGGACTATCTCGGCAAATTGGGGGTCAGGAAATCCGCTATCACAAATTTCCTGAGAAGGTACCCGCAGGTTCTGCATTCCAGTGTTGTCGTGGACCTCGCTCCCGTGGTGAAATACTTGCAAGGTATGGATATCAAGCCGAATGACGTCCCTAGGGTTCTCGAGAAGTACCCTGAAGTTCTGGGTTTCAAGCTTGAAGGCACGATGAGCACATCTGTGGCTTATCTGGCGGGGATTGGGGTGGCGAGGAGGGAGATTGGAGGGGTTTTAACTAGATACCCTGAGATTCTAGGGATGAGAGTTGGCCGAGTCATCAAGCCTTTCGTCGAGTACCTCGAGAGCTTGGGGATTCCAAGACTAGCTGTTGCTAGATTGATAGAGAAACGACCTCACATTCTAGGGTTTGGGTTGGCTGACCAGATTAAGCCAAATGTGGAAACCCTTTTGGAGTTCAATGTAAGAAGTGAATCAGTTGCTTCGGTGGTAGCCCAATATCCCGAGATCATGGGACTTAACCTAAAGGCCAAGCTCCATGAACAGCTGACCCTGCTGAGCTCGGTTTCTGGGTTGAAATCCGAGGATTTCGGGAGGGTCATTGAGAGGATGCCTCAGGTTGCCAGCATTAGTAGGCAAGCTATTCTGAAGCATGTGGATTTTCTCAAAAATTGTGGGTTTGAGCAGGAACAAGTGGGGGCAATGGTTGTGGGTTGTCCTCAGTTGCTTGCTCTCAATATTGACATTATGAAACTCGGGTTTGATTTCTTCCAGAATGAGATGGGGAGGCCTTTGGATGATCTGGTTGCTTTCCCAGCATTTTTCACCTACGGTCTCGAATCCACAGTGAAGCCGAGGCATAAGAGGGTCGCAAGCAAGGGCTTGAAGTGCTCGCTTTCGTGGCTTCTGAATTGTAGTGATGAGAAGTTTGAGCAGCGGATGGAGTATGATACTATTGGGATGGAAGAGATGGAAATGCCGAGTTTTGACATGAATAGTTTGATGGATGCAAGGAGTGATGACTCGGGCTCTGAATTTGAGGACAGTGACGACGATGCTGATTAATGACGAGTGATCATGAGTTCGCTTATAGGTTCGAGGTTTTGATCCTGAGTTATTTGTCTGCTGAGTTGCATTTTCCCTGCCGTAGAAATGCTTAGTTTAGGGTAAGACTTTGGTAGCTGAAACCATTACAGAAGACCTTGAAAGCACCAGTCCTATGCATTGTTCTTGTAAAATGGAATCTGATTCCCAACTTAAATAGCAAAGGTCCTCCTATCCTGGTCCATTTAGTTTATTTCATTGCGGCAATTGTATCCGCAGAGAATGGAAATTTATGTGGGGTTTGTTCTCGTTCGTGTTCACAATCCAGCACCTAGCCAATTGATATTATCAGGCACATTGATAGCAAGCTGTACTGATCCTCCAACTGCTGCATTTGCAGATGAGTAGTCTGTTCTTATTCGAACGCGAACTCGTATCGAACTGCCCTTCCAATTTGATTTTGTACTTGCCATTCAATCTTTGGCCCTCTCTCAAAGATATCAATTCATGGTTCCAAACGAACAGCTTCATACACAGAAAAGGTGGCAAAAATGTACACCTCCACTACCCTTCTATATTCTCTACCACCCACAGGCACAGCTCCTCCTATTACATATGGATCAATCGCGATGATGAGCTAGCTGTATGTACTTGTTTAGCATTGCTGAGAAACCCATTTGCAGTCTCTTGCTTTCTGCTGCTGGCCAACACTACTTCGATCCGCGTCGAATGATGCGTGCTAGTAGTGCATGCTTACAATGTCTGCCTGCCTCTTTTCCTTTCACAGAGCTCATCAATGTTTGCCCTCTCATTCTCTGCTCTGTAGCCATCCCAACTGTGCAGAATCCATCCATTCCAGAAAAAAAGAAAATGTAAACTCCATCTAGATCCAACCATGGCGATTGGTAAAACGGGAACAATGTTCGAAGCAAGCTACGTACCTTCCAAGCGTACATGGCGAAGAAAGCCACAATATCAGCGGACCAGACAACGGCGAACGACTTCCAGAAGAAAGGGATGGCCACATTCATCAAAGGCACCAGCAGGAACAGGTAATTGAGAGCCTCTTTCTCCTTGTTCGAGCAATCTCGAGCTCTCAACGAAGGAATTGCTGCAACACCCATGACCAGACAGAGATCAGACCATTCAGAATCTCTGATCAACAAAAGAAAACAAAAGAGCAATTCTCAAATTGCCAAAATCAGGGCTACTTACTGAACATCCAAACGGACCACATCCCCATCAATCTCCACAAATCGGGCTCGTCGGAAGGGAAGATGAGATTGAAAGACAAAGCACCGCCAAACACCATCGACAAATACGCTTGAACCTCGAACACGCTGTACAGTGTGCTCCCCGGCACCGCCGGATTCTTGCTAGCAGTCGACGCCCTGGGAGCGAACGTTGCCGCCGTCTTCTGTACTACCCTTTTCAGGTCTTTGCCGTCCACCACAGGAAGGGATGCTGAATTCGGTTCTTCTTCATTGGGGTTTGTAATTTCTTCTTTGTCCTGCTCCGCCGGCGGAGTGCCCACATCGTTGGCAGCGGCCCGAATCCGAAGTGTCCTGCCGCTGCTTGACCGGAGTTGGAGTCGCCGCCGGAAGCTGCTCCCCAACAAGTACCGCTGACTTGGTCTCGGTGTTAGTATAAGGGAGTGGTTTCCATGGTAGAGAGAGGTGGACATCGGCGATTGCATGTCGGCCGGCGAAAGGTATGAGTGTGAAGGAGGCTTATCAGCGGGAAGGATAGGGAAGGAGCGGTTAATATTTGGACAAGCAGTTGAGTTGAGTGGCACAGAATTGTTGAGTGGCACAGAATTCGATCGCTTCTCCCTTGTTTACTCGGTTCGTTTCCTTCCCTGATGATAGTGCAAACTAATTCTATAAAGTTTACCTTTCTGAACTTTCACAATTATGCCTTTCTTAACGGTCAAATCTCTGAGTTTGGCCATCTTTGATGCATAATTAATGCCATGTTATGAAAATATTATTATCATTATGGATGACCAATATTAGATGCTCCATGGTATGTTACAAGTTCTATGTAACTCATCTCCTTATATTTATTTCTTCATATGACACATTAGATGCACAATTGGGTGTTACATGTAACCCCCCACCCCATTTCTATTTCACATTCATTCTCACATTCATGTATATTGATTGTAAGAATGTAGAGGTTATGTGATGTGTGCCTATAAATAGATGATCTCCTTGTACTAAGGAATACATGAATAAGAAGAACTCTTCCCCTCTCTTCTCTTGTGTCTTTTCCTCTTCATACTCTCTCATAGTTGTTTATCTATTCCTTTAGTTTCTTAACACGTTATCAGCACGAGCTCTGCCAAAGTAATGGTTGGTCATTGTCTCTCTACATAATCACATATACTTGAGTAAGATCACAACACGATCAAGGTATGCAAATTTTCATGTCATTTCTTGTTAGTATGTTTATCTATCTCATTGTCTTTGAGGGATTATTTGATCATGTTATTTGTTTATATTATTTTATATATGTCGATCACGTAACATGGAGTTTGTGCTTGGACATTATCAGATAATGAAAATTGCTCCTGTAGTAGCAAAATCATTATGGGTTGACTTATCGATTGCTACATTCGACATATAGAGAAATGAAAGTCTAAAGATCTTATTTTCCCCCGAAGTGGAAAAAATGAAGAAAAAATGTGTCAAATGAAAGAAGTGGATCTGGTAACTAAAATATTGGAATATGAGTTACCATTGCGATGGGGAAAAATCATTGATCTTGTACCCGATGTATGAAAAGAATTTTTTTTGGTCCAAGAATCATTTGAAAGAAAAATGAAAATCTATATGTGCTCCTGCAGTAGCAATATTATGGAAGAGGGTTTATAAAGCATAAGTTATTTCTTGTTTGTTAAAGGTGAAAAGTGTATTGGACTTGTGATGATGAGAAATATTATATAATTTAATCCGAAGGCTATTGTTTCATTCCTGGAAGCGAATGAAAACAAACCATTCTTAAAAGTGAATGGATCGAGACACACCATTATATTAATATAATTTGGTGTTTGGATAATGACAATCAGCAAATTTATCTTTTCACCGGAAGTGAAAGATAAAATAATTATAAATGAGGATGCTAATTCATGTAGCAAAAGTCATGATCATATATTGTAACCTTCGTATGCCGAAATGTGTTATGAAACACATATATGTTGTTGTTGTTGTTGTTGTTATTATTTTGTATGTTTTTGTATAGAATGAATATTTGCAAAATTCAATACTGGTATTATATCATATAGTATGAAAGTAAGGAAAAGCTCCGGAAGAGATTGTGTTTTGTTACTTGAAGTAACTAAACAATATATTGGTGATATTCATAGTATGTAAATATTATTATCACTATGTATATGCGCTTACAATAGTTTACCGAATCAGAAGGTGCCTCATGGCCAACATGTAGTACAAGAGTATGTGAAGGCTCCAGAAGAGCTAATATTTTGAGACGTTAATGAACTAAACTGTCTGTTGAAGATGCATTACCGAATTATGAAGATATTCGCAGAAAAGAATATCATAATTGATATTGCATAAGAAATGTGTTATAAGAGAACATATACTTAACTGGAGAAATTTGTACTACATGTTTATTAGTACATATGAAAGTGTAAACCAGAAGTTTGCAAGATCGGATAACTTTTTATTTTGGCATGTCCGGTCATACCATCCCGGATACAGATGCAAAAATGATTGAGATATCATATGAAAATTAAGTGAGAGTTCAGAGAATTCATCAATCAAAGGATTGATTATGTGATACATGGTCTCGAGGAGAATATACTCGTGAAAATAATTGAATCTGTTGAAATTTTATAAAAGTGTATGCAGAAAAATACACTCAACGTGCAAATTATATATGAATTTTATGATTTTGATTGATTCATCAACTATATTGTCATATATGTCTGTTATCTAAACGCAACCTGATGTTTGTGAGATTAGTTGCCGAATGATGGATATATTTTGATGATTATCCAATCAAACAGAACTTCTCTTATGAGAACAAACTAAGTCTATCGATCTCTTATCGAGGCATATGATATCATTAATTCGCATGAAGCCAACAAGTTATCATAAGTTCCCCCTTTTCATACAAATGGTTTTGGTCAGGGACCAAACATTTAAAATGCTAGAAAATTTGGGTGTGCACAATACATCCCAATTGCTCCACCACAACACGTTATGAGTTCCATGAGAACTTATGTTGGACATGGTGTCCAATGCAATGAGAGATTTGTTCATGACTCTTTTTACTAATATCATCATTTTGATGAGTTACTTTTCGAACGTTAAAGGGGAGAAAAGTAAACAGTTGGGCATAGATGTGAGTTGGAATCATCATTATCGCACAACGAAGAAACATGAACCCGAAGTTCATATGGTGATTCATGGAGAAAAAAAATATTGATTGCCAAACGCCTTTTTACTCACTAAAAGGAGTGATTATGTCACATGCCCAATTGTGAATGCTCCAATACAATTGATGTCCATATTGGATAATCTAATGAGTCTAAACGAGCGCATGAAGCGTGGTAGACCAATCGGTTCCAAGGATAAAAATCCTCGAGAAAGGAAGGAGCTATAAATTAAGATGGTAAACTCGAGGATAAAATAACTCTAGAAGAGTCCAGTCATAAAATTGAGATCATAGTTCCAGAAGAATAGTAGGTACCTGAAAGTTTTAAAATGAAGAGATATCAATTAATTGGCTTGTATGAAGAAAGTTGGAACCGAAGTGTATTTATTGTCGACAAGGGTTTTGATTATGCTGCAACACTGAACGTGATAGATACAAAGAGAATTAAAAGTAAAATTCTATTGATGCATGCAAAGGAATATATATTGGCCAATATAAAAGAAAGCATTAGGCTATTTGGTATAAGTTTTGGACCAGAAGTCCTTACACCTGAAGATGTAAAACTAACGAGATACAAATAGGTTTTGTGCAAACGCGTATGGAAATTGCGAGAGATATAATACAATTTCTCGTGAGAGGTTTCTGGTAGAAACATGACATCAATTATGAAGAGACATACTCTCTCGTGGTGGATGCAACTATGTTGTGCAATTTAAATAATTTGGCAATTCAAAAAGCATGAAATTTGCATTTGGTAGATATTGTGATAGCCTATTTGTATGGATCCCTTGATAATTATATTTATACGAAACTCCTTGAAGGATTAGTTTGCCGGAAGCAAACATGTGAAGTTCTCGAGAACAATATCGATCGATAAAACAATCCTTTGTATGGATTGAGATAAAATGGATGAATATGGTATATTCATCTAAGTGAATATCTACTAAAGGAAGTGGTCGAATAAGCCTTGCGTGATTAAGTTCGAATAAAGTGCATTAGAGCATTTGCATTTGGCATGTGTGATTGTGTAATGACATATAGGCTTATGTGCGTGATATTGTGATTTTAGTTATGAGTTTGATTTATGAATGTGGTTTGGTTAAGTGATGTTGTGTGTATGACGTGCCTTTTGCTTGTGACCTTGTGTTATGAAGTAATTGTTTGCATACAATTGTGTTAGCTAAGTTTTATAGTTATTTGGAAGAAAAGAGTCGAGACATTATTTTATAATGATCTCATATGTTTTAGTTGATATGAACTCCAGAAGAGCTTCATAAAGCATGGTTTGCTTAAAAGAAAATTGAACATGGAGGATTTAAGAAGATTCTTTTTGAATCAAGACGACAATGTCGAAAAAGTGAAAGAACAATTTTGTATGAAAAAAATTGCATACGTTCAATAGCCAAATGATCATAAGGTCACTAGAAGTGAACAAAGATCAATTTAGGCCTTAAGATAGAAGCGAGTTATTAGGTCCTGAAGTACCATATGCCAATGTCGTTAGAGCAAAAATGTATATTGCTATACTTCATTAAGTTATACTTTGTTACCTATTGGTAACGATGAGGATCATAGATGAGTAATTTGTTTACTCATGGCCGTACAAGTATCTCATGGAGATTCCAAAGAAATCACAATAACAACATCATCTGATCATGAACAATGGTCAACAATTCATGAGACTTGTTATGAATTGTTTGGTTAAGATTTGTGATTCAACACGTCTAAATGACTTGTGGTTGCGGATTATATTCATAGAAAATGATCTTGAAGATCATGTATGAAGAAAATGGTCCTAATGGATCATGCATAAAGTGGCAATCTAGAAGATTTGTTCACTAAGAAGCTTACCATGACAATATTTGAAAGATTTGTTCACTATTGATGTTGTCATGAGGGGGAGCATATACGCACTGCACTCTTTTTTCCTTAACCATGGTTTTTCCCACCGGGTTTTCCTGGTAAGGTTTTTAACGAGGCAGATTCAAATAGCGTATTATGATGATTATGTACTCTTTTTCCTTCACTAGGATTTTATCCCACAGGGTTTTTCCTAGTAAGGTTTTAACGAGGCATATTCATGTCTAATGGTCATCCAAGGGGGAGTGTTATGAAAATATTATTATCATTATGGATTACCAACATTAGATGCTCCATGGTATGTTACAAGTTCTATGTAACTCATCTCCTTATATTTATTTCTTCATATGACACATTAGATGCACAATTGGGTGTTACATGTAACCCCCCACCCCATTTCTATTTCACATTCATTCTCACATTCATGTATATTGATTGTAAGAATGTAGAGGTTATGTGATGTGTGCCTATAAATAGATGATCTCCTTGTACTAAGGAATACATGAATAAGAAGAACTCTTCCCCTCTCTTCTCTTGTGTCTTTTCCTCTTCATACTCTCTCATAGTTGTTTATCTATTCCTTTAGTTTCTTAACATGCCACTATTTTATAGATTGAAAAGATTGAATAGATTGTTTAATTTGTGAAAAGTTCAGGTCATACAAATATACTAGTATGGGTCCCGGCCAGTTAGCCGGAGGAAGCTGAGGTATGAAATTTGATAATATAATAGGGTGTATAGCTTGATGTTATATAGTTTTTTTTTTTTTTTTGAAAACTCGTGATAAAAATAGTGAATTTTAGTAGGAAAGAGACATGAATGATGCAATGAATCAAAAATCGTCCTTATGAACCAAAATCAAGTACATGTTACCTTGTGAAACAATATTGTTTCTGGTAATATGATGAGGTGGAGTAAGTTTTATAGAAACCGAATTCTAGAAAATCGAATAAAAAATCGCCTATCCCGTCGATTTTCAGGAAATGGGCATCTCACAATCGTTGCTAGCTTTTACTCGGCCCGTTGGTTGATTAATTTGTTTTATAAAACTTTCATCTTGCGTCATTGTGCTTTCTGGTTTTTGTTAGGCCTTGATAAAATATAAGAAAATCAAGAACGAACAACACGATTTAGGATAGGAACTGCCGTTGTCGTATCCCTAGAAAATGGTCGTAAACACAGACTCACCTGCCAAACTGGTTTGGATTGAGATTTTTATCGGGTATCAGGGAACCATGTGATTATAAATTAGACTTGATCAAAATGGGCCAAAACTTGAAATTCAGCATGTTTGACCGACCCATGCCAAATTCTAATTATTCTTTACTTTTAAACTTTCTATTTGAAAATAAAAATAGTGAAAGAAAAGAGATGACTGCAATTCGCCATTTGCACATCAATTATTCGGGAATAAAACCATAAAAATTCAAAAGGAACTGAAAATGTTTAGGATCGTTTTAATGTTTAAAATAACCAAATAGATCGTTCTGTTTAGTTTTTTTACTAACAAACACCAAACGATTCCCTATAAAATACACTATAATTTGATCATTATGATATCAAATAATTATATAATATATATTTGAAATGATAAAAATTGGACTAATTGGGTTGGTCGATGTTGAACTATTGAATAACTTTGAAATACATTATATTTTAGCCACTAAGATATAAAATAATAGCATAATATATATTATGCCAGAGAAAATAGCTTGTTTTAGAATGACAAACCAATGATGTTCATTTGTTTTACTTGATGACCAAATCCCGTGTAGGTCATACCCATTCAACTCTTTTATTTTATGGTTAGCGGTTAGCCCATTAGATACCATGCATTAGTTTATTGTTTAATATTTTATTTTTAGCAATAAAAAGGAGTATTGTTTTTGCTTTTTCATATATATTTTATCACCACGGAGAAATAAAAGGGTTTAAAGAAAAAAATTGACACTCCTGGACCCGTTTAAATCGGCATGTGTACGGTAAGTTGGCCCGTTCCATAGAGGAAAGAGAAAAAAATTAACACTCCCTATTCTATCCTTCCTACAAACGCTCATGGAGCAGGGAATTTGAAATGGGGGAAGGGGTTTTTCCTCCCTGCTATTATATGTTTTTTATTTAAAAAGATACAACAAATGCACTTAGTGTGATTGGTTATGTTCCTTTCTTTTCTTTAAAATGGACATATATGGTTCGAATCCCAGTACGTGTCTTTTTAATGAATAAAAAAAGTAATTGTGAAGACCAAAATGTCCTTCCTACTTTCACTCTCGTTGCAGGAAATTTGAAATAGGGCTCCCGTTTTCCCCTTCGGTGTATTATATTATGTGTAGATTAACCCTTTAAGGAATGGATTAGCGTGGCTACCAAAATCTACATCTTTCATTATTTCTAGTTAATCATATTTTTAAATTGACCGTAGAGATTAAAACTATGGTTTGTTTAATTTAATATAATTAAACTTGACTAACCCACAAATCGATTCCCCCGTAACCTGACTAACCTATAATCCGACCGACCCACAACACTATAAACCCGTAACCTTATTGATCCGTAACCCGATTAACCTGTAACTCGATTGGTCGGCAACCCGATTAATCTGTGACCGATTTATACGTAACCTGATTAACCTAAACCTAATTGACCCGCCACCCAATTGACTCGCAACTCAGACTAACCCGCAACCCAATTGACACCTCTAGTTACTGATACCTTGTGGTTGCGCAACTTGCAACAGTTCCAAACCCATCCTGATCGAATGCTGAAGCGAAGTCTTGCATGGTTCCTGGAGGTCATTAGAATTAGTTGACCTTTTCACCCAGTAAACCCGAGGCGCATCAATGTCTGATCCTTATACTAATAAATGTAATGCTACCAATGTAACTACCACAAACTAACACCAGGATATGCAATAGCTCTTAGAACAGAAAAGAGAAGTACGATCCTCAATCTATGCCAATGAATTTAGAAGCTACTCAACCACTTCATGACAAAACCAGACACTCAATGAGGAAACAAACCCGAAGGGTCACATAGGACACTTCATTACAGAATACAAACATCTAAAGAGTTAAGAGGTCAGCCAAACAGAATCCATTCACACTTCAAACATTCAACCGAAGGAGAAATGCACATTCTACATAAACAGAGCCGTAGTCAAACTCCGAGGAAAAACATAAAGTACCATTGCCAGAAACCCCCCTCCCTGTCGAAACTTCTGCATCACTCAAGCTTCTTCCTTTGCAATCTTACTTCTCTTGTTACTACCACCATTGCCACTGGCAGCAGTAGTCACCTTCTTCAGTGCTTCCTCCGGTATAGTGTCTTCCATAACCTTGGGAGATGTGAAATTGAAGTCATCGAGCTTTACATCTTTGTACTCCGGGTTGGCCTCTATGAAAGCACCAACCTCATTTCTCGTACGGAATTTCTTTCCGGTAGGACTTATATAGTAGGCATCCATCTTGGAGAAATCTCGCCTAAGCACCAAGTACCTCTTGAAACCCCTTGGGGTTTTGGGAAGTCCAGGTTTGTCAATGACCCAAGTCCGGGATGAATCATACTCTATATCAGCTGGGGTATCACAAGTGAGGCCTTCTTTCGATTCACAAGTAAATTTTACAGAGCTGCTCTTGCATCTGACCTCCTCGTACTCTTCTTCTGTTGCCATCACCCTCCATTTCATGCAATTATGGCATTGTGCGGCATACGTGTCGACAGATCGAACCGCCCCACGAGACTAGCAAAGTTGGAAAGAATCGCAGAGTAATAAGAATCATACATCATCCGAACAAAATAGGATAAATGCATTTAAAAACACACGACCTGAACCATCAGATAGGGATACAGATGGTAGTTGAAACATGCATGTTTAAGATACAAATGTTAACAAACCATCTAATTTGATCAATCCGATACAAGGATGCCATCATTCATAGGAGTAGCCTCCTAAAAGTCAATACTGGTTCGTCAGTGTTGATAATGATTATATAACTAAGTTGACACACAAACCAGAGTGGTCAAATATAAAGCTACTTCATACTTTCCATGTTACAGTTTCTCATTTCTTAGTCTACTAAAGATCTCAGTATCTCACTAAAGGAAGTACTGTTCATCAAACAGATATACGAGGCATACATACACCTTGCGAACCATGAATAAAGAGCAGCACACTCAGTTACAGAAGCAAGAGAAGATTTTCATACCAGTCTAGTAGTATATGTTGGGTAAACTGAAATCAGAATGTAACTTTCAATAGACAAAAAGGGACTCGTTTGTATATGTAGTATAGTGCAATTCTGCCATAGTCCTAACGCTCATTGCGTATGGACGGCCTAACGTGATCCACCACTCGAGCATTTCGCAATGATCCATGGCTCATACATTCCGTCTACATGGCTGGCATTCGGATGCACGGTGCCAAGGTGTGCATTCGACAGCTGTAGAGCGCGGAATGCACGAGCTGTGGATTACGCTAGGACCTCCACGGTGGATCGACCATTATCGAGATTAGGACCGTAGTCAGATTCAGTATAGATTCCCTATAGCGAGGAATTACCCAGCTACATAAGGTTAATGTGAAACAAGCCCAAAAATCTAATCCAGACTCTATGAATATGATTGCCCAGAAGAAGAGTCTGGGACACAAAGTCACTTTCGCATAAACAAAATCGAACCCATCTATTATCTTTTCTGGGGTTGTGTGAATCTACAAATGGCATTGGGTTACAGGAAACCAAAGACAATATGACGAGCCGAATTCATAACTACAGAGAAACACGCCCTAAAGATTCCAAGGATCGTGATTTCGCCTAATAAGAAAAAGAGGCAGATGAAGATCAAACACAGGCGAGTTACCTTGGAATTCGAAGAAGTTTTAGGGGTTTCCTGGCCGTCCTCTTTCATAGCGCCTCGCCCTCCCTATTATTTTCCCAACTTATTCTTCGTGTATCCGGCTCGGCCTCAAGCTTTCCTCTCCTCTGCTCTCTGAACAATGTTCGACAAGATCGAGTATTTAAGCAAACCCCAGAAAGATAAACAAGAGAGAGTGAGATTAGAAACTGAGAGAGTACGGCCTCGCAGTTAAAGTGATCGAACAGCTGCGAACCTTTTCACCTCACAGTGCTCTTAATTTTTTCTTTTAATAACGCATCAAGGTGACTGTATAAAGCGGTGAACGATTAATTATAAAATTAGCTTTATTCTGATCGTTATTTTTATCGTAAAGTTGGTCTCTAGCATAGTAATCTCCGTCCAGTTAACATAACATTGCGTAGTCCTAAACTCGGACTATATAATTGTTTTCTTATGAGTTGAGTCACTTGCTACCAGTAGTCGAACACTAAGCAAACCTCAGAAACGAGAAACAAGAGAGTGAGATTAGAAACTGAGTGTACGGCTTCGCAGTTAAAGTAATCGAACAGCTGCGAACCTTTCCACCTCACAGTGCTATTACTTTTTTTTTTAATAACACATCAAGGTGACTGTATAAAGCGGTGAACGATTAATCATAAAATGAGCTCTATTCTAATCGTTATTTTTACCGTAAGTTGGTCTCTAGCATTGTAATCTCCGTCGAATTAACATAACATTGCGTAGTCCTAAACTCGGACTATATAATTGTTTTCTTATGAGTTGAGTCACTTGCTACCAGTAGTCGAACAGTAATATGCACTTTGATACTCAACTAATTTGTGTGTATCTTTCTCGTCAAATAAGACTAAGAGAACTACTCGACACCAATCTCCCCACCGTTGCTTCTTCAATTACGCCTTTCCAGTTACTACACAACTATACGATACAAGCTTCACATTCATCCAAGCTACTAGTACTAGGAGGACATAATCTTGTAAAATATTGCTTCAACAGAAACCAGTCATAAGATCAAGAAACAAACAGATGATTTTGGACATATACAATATAATCGAGTAACTTGTTGATCCAAGGCTTGGAATCTAGCCTGCAATACAAGTTTGTTATGACATATCCACCATAATATGAAGCTATGCCTCTGCATGAGACCGTTGCCCCATACTAGTGTATGTAATTTCAACTATGTTGTATGGTAGTATCCCAAACCTTTCTAATAGAATAATAGCCCAATGTTCTTCATTCCAAGTCAAGATGTAGCACGAACCACTTAATAAAGGTTGTGTCGCTATTCTATAATAAAGTATCTTTTTTCCATATACAAGTACCAGCTGAGGAACCATTTAAATTCCATATGGTTCTATTTTTATCTCGTATCTTGCAATCCAGGCAACTCACAAAGACCCACTGTAACTAGGATATCCCATAGATGTCGTATCATACAAGCCAGTATCCATATTTTGAAATTTCTAATCCTCAATCCACCTTATTTTCTTGGTCTTGCTAAGAATTACCAACTACTGTTGCTCTAGTTTCACACTAAATTCATCAACGGACCAAAGAAATGCATTACAAATTTTCTCAACTTCTTTCAATACATCATTAGGTTATAAAAAACACATTCATCCAATTTTGAAGAACACTAGTAATCACAGAAGAAACTAGCAGCAACTTACATGTGAGCATCTTTGCTTTCCAGCCTCTCACTCAAGCAATTATCTTATCAACAAGCATTTGGCAATCTTTTTAACAAAATTTTCAAGTGATAAAAGGCACTCCCAAATATCTTTCTGGGAGCAAACCTGTAGGGATGGTGATGTGGTCGCGCATGGAGCTTTACGTTTATAAACTCGATTGTCGACAATACTAACTATCCCAATCTAGGAAGTGCACCCTAGATCGTCGAAGTAGTATAGTGGTGACCGAGGTCGTATTTCAAGGGTCATAGTATTCTAGACTACTTTGGCTCAGTTGTTATCTAGTTGACGTGTTACTTAGCAGGTAGGCATTTGGCGATTAATGAACAAGAGGTCAATAAAGGAGAAGAGGTACTCGGGGTGCCTCTCTTTCCCTAACTATAGGAAATGACATGCAAAAGGATAAACAAACAACTTATGGCAATCTAGGTGTGGAGATCGCTAATCTAGGGCTCAATGGTCATGCAACCGATCCCACTCCTCCACCGATCCACTAGCTCAATATCACCTTAGCTAGCTTCATGTTGTAGGGATAAAACCTATATCCTCTAAATGGTTTCTACCCATCCGCACACTAGACCATCGAGTCGATGGTCACACACTCGATGTCCTAGCATTACCTAGTAGGACGTCCAATGGGCAGGGGTATGGTCGCCTCGTCCACCATACTAAACTCTTAGATCATTCATATACTCCTAATTAGATAAGACGCTCAAATCCAGTCTAGATCATGCACCACTAAGTGGTAGGCTAAATGAAAAGAGTTGGAGAAACAAGCTCATGCCTTATTAATCACAGATGAATCATAAAACGGTAAGCAAATACAATTCATTCATAAACCACATGAAAGCAGATGATAGTTCCCCTAAATAGCTAATTTGCAACTAGGGAAAATGAGATACAGACAATACCACAAGAATGAACAAACACCAAATAGACATAGATAGATAGATAGGGTAAAAATCATCCAAAATTCAAGTCTAAAACATCCTATTACATATAAAACCCTAAGTTAGCGTTTGGGGGGACAAAGCCCCAAAATACCTTGAGGGACTATCCCATAAGGGGGGGGGGGGGAGAAGAGACATGCAAAGAGGTGAAGAAATCATGAAGAAAGGGTCTACAAGTGCTGGAAATCCTCCTCCATTTCTTCTCCTCCTCTTCTTCTACAACCTTCTACTTCTCTCTCTAGAACAAGAAATCTGCCAAAGCCACTCTACTCAAGGGGGAATTCTCTTATTTATAGAGTTATGGGATGACAAGTAAGTTCACGGTCACAAGACGGATGTTCGCAGCCGTGATCTAAGGAAGAGAGGCCGCGATCTTGACTTCAACAAATTTGGTCTTGTCTAGTTTGGGAGATCGCGACCTGACATCACAATTGCGATCCGGGATGTCACAACCGCAATCTTTCTCGCAGGCTTGGACACGAGAGCCACGAGTCAATTATTGAGACTCTCTGGTCCTCCTTTGACGGCTGCTTCTTCAAGTTCGCGCCCGAAGCTCCATAGTTCGCGGTCCCGATCTATGCCATAGGCCGCAATCTTCAAGCTCCGTTTCTCGCCTTTTGCCCAACCATGATCTTTGCTCCTTTAGTTGTGAACTCCATTTTGGCCCATTTTTCTACACTAGTGACCCCTTTTCGTTCCTAAATGCATGTCTCATCTAATACATCCTAAAAATGACAATTTTTTCTCCGATGAACGAATTAAGGATGTATTTGATGAAATATCAACCAATGAGACCATGAAATGACTTAAAACGACCCTCATTTTAGGTGTTATCAACTCCCTCATACTTAGATATTTGCTTGCCCCCTAGCAAACCAACTCAAACCCATACAACTTATTAAACAATCAACATGGTATGAACTATAGTTCTTCGTTTTACTATTTATAATAGTCGGGGCCGAGTGAACATTACTCTCATCTCACTGTGAAAACAAAATCTCTTGATGAGGACCATGTCAACTAAATAGGTGCACTGGGGGATTCTAAAAACAATAAAAACGATGGGCTCTTAGGAAGTGCTCTTTATTCTTTCTTTTCAAGGTAGGAGTCAATCTTTTATTCTCCTTTTTAAACATTGCCGCACATGGAACCAAACATTTGCAATTTTTTAAATAGGCATCTCTACCTCGTGACCAAGAGAGAAAGGACATTATCGTCCCATTCTCGGCCGCATGCGGGGAACATGATGGTCGGATTCATTGCCCGAGCACCATTCCTGGTCTACTACAATATAGGAACAGAGGCATTATACTTTTGGCCTATCAAGTTTTTGATGTCATTGCCGGAAACTTTCATACCTTATTTTTATTTATTTTAGTCAGGTGAACTATTTTGATCCTTGTGCAAGTTGTTTCTCAAGTTAGTTATCTTTGTGAATTAGTAGGAGGACTACCAGCTGTTCTGAACCCGGAGATCGAGAAGACCTGTCGTCTGAACAAGAAGTAGGCAAAGGTAGGTAAGGGACCAACCAATGCACTAGGGCCTTCCCTAACCAGGAGTAGTAAACAGCTGGTGCATGGTTCTACACCTATAGCCCTACACCATCACCACCTTCACGTGTCATTGAGTAGCTCAACATGGGACATGAAGATCGCTCCATTAAAGCCAAACTTAACCGGAGAACTAGAGCCTGAGCTTCAAGGTTTGCCATTCCAACTTTTAGTGCTAACCTATATATCACACCTTCTTTCATCAACACGATCACCAATGGGTACACACCACAAACATATTAGGTGATTCGTAATCATCTATGATACAATGAAGAATCCTGACGTATCCGATGATGTGATCCACCTTCGTATGTTCACATTTTATTTGGTGGGGAATGCAACATACCGGTTTCAAAATATGGCACATCACTCAATCACTACATGGACTCTGAGAAAGCTTTTCTCGACAATTATTTTCCTCTGCGAAGGATATGACACGTCAAAAGGAGATAGTGTATTTGTGCATGTAGAGGATGAAATTTTGAGTGAGGCATTAGAGTGCTACAAGGGGATTTTAATGAAATTCTTGAGTCATGGTCTTCAAAAGTGGACAGTTATCACCATCTTCTTTGATCAAATTAGAAGAGAGTTCTAGAGGCCCTCAATGATGCATCCCTAAGAGGATTTACTGGTGTGGAGCCTACTGCTGCTTATGACCTTATGGAGGATATGTTCCGACGCAAATAAGAGGGAAGGAGAGAGGAGTATAAGAAGAAGAGGGGTGTCCATGAGGTTGATAGAACCATTGAATTGGAAACCAAAATTGATGTTAAGTCGGATTCCAAGTTTGATGTACTCGATGAGGACTAGACAAATTGTCTCTTGTTAATTCCTAAGAGGTGTCATCACGTGAGGTGTGTGGAGGAGGTCACCACTGAGAAGTATGCCCACTGGAAGCTGCTCAGTTGGAGGATATGCAAATTGTGAGAAATCAGAGGAACCAAGGTGGTATTTTTCTCTAATACATATCATGCAAAGTGGCGCTTCCAACCACAACCACCGTATCAGGAGAAGAAGCCATCTTTAGGAGTTTTATCATTCCCATATGCTGAAGGTTGATGCAAATTTGAAGGGGTTGGATCAATTTTTTGCTCACATCACCAATCAACTTGAAGAACAAAACATGATAAAAAAACTACGAAACCTCCATACTTAAAATTTCCAGACAAATTTTTCAAATGCTCAAACTCTGATGTAGATGCAAGGTCGCATGTTGAGTACTCTAGCTAGAAATGATGAGAGGAAGCCAAAGGATGTAATGCCATTACCTTAAGGAGTGGGTAGGAGTTGGATGATCCAAAGAGCGAGAAAAATCTATTTGAAAAGGAGGGTAAAGCAGTCGCAGAAAAAGAAAGTGCAAAAATTCAAAATTATGAATTGCACAGGCAAACCGCATGAGCATTCTGCATGTGCACCTGCAAAATAAGAAAAATTCGAGAATGAAGAGCTTAAACGCTATGAGCCATCCACACCCTTTATGAAGAGGCTAATGAAGCCTTTGGAAGACACAAACTTCAAGAAATTTGTGATACTCTTCAAGCAACTTCATATCATCATATCATGGTAGAGGCACTTGAACAAATGTCTGCATATGCTAGATTCTTAAAGGGGTGGATGGCTAAGAAGTAAAAACGGGTTGATCTAGAGAAGTTTACCCTCACTTATGAATGTAGTGGTGTGATCCGGAACAAATTACTGGAAAAGAGGGATGATTCAAGCAGTTTCACCATTCCACGTGTCATTGGAGGTAAAGAGTTATCTCTTTATGATCTTGGAGCAAGAATCAATTTGATGCATACTCAGTCTTAAAGAAATTGGGATTGAGTGATGTTATTAAGCCTACTTGAATAACCCTTATATATATATGTTGATTGATAAATGAAGATCTAAAATTGAATGGTATAAAAGGTATTGGTGAAGGTGGGCAAGTTTAGTTTCCTATTAGACTTCGTCATCCTGGAGATGGAAGAAGATCGAGAAGTGTCTCTCATTCTTGGTAGACCTTATTTAGCCACTAGAGATGCACTCACCGATGTTCAGAGTGGCAAATTGCATTCTGAGTGGGGGAGGAGGATGAAACTTGTAATGTCTTTCAAGTTGATCATAATCATGCTCCATTTGACGACTTTGAAAGCAATGCTCAAGAAAAGAGAGTTCATCTTCCTATGATAGTGGACCAGCCAGACTACTATCACATGCCTTATCATCTAAGATTCTACAATCAAAGCAAGGGGAAAAAATTCCATGACAAGTCATCTCAAGTATAGATATTTTCATAAGGATTGAAATCTTCATGTTATTATTCCTTCCTCAAAGACATTGAAACTTTAAGAGTACATGCTTGAGGCGTTTCAGTGTCACCTATGCCTCACTAAAGGATCAAATATGCATGCTACAAAGGTCAACCCCAATTTTTTGCTCACCTGGTGCCTCAACCTCTACATTATTTTAAAACCAAGAATAGGTCCCTTGCTGACTGTGTAGGGGGACATGAAAGGCTCGAAGGAAATACGATCATGGTTACCTATCAGGTAAATTGAACTCTTCTTCTATAGTGAATCATTGGAGTAAGGTCAATCACCCTAATTGACAAGAACCACGTCAGAAACCCTATTGTGACTTGTGAGTTCATTTTATTTTCTCATTTCATCAAAATTTTCAAATCACTTTGTTAACAACTAAAGTAACTTAATACAACATTGATTAAATTCAAGAAGTGGTTCTGGTTTATAAGGCCAGCTTAACCATATTATTTAAATTGATCTAAGTTGGGTCTAAATGATGGAATTTTGGGCTACTTATGCTATAATGCGAGGTACCTTAGTACTTTAGTGTACACCCTTTCATAGCAATCCCAAGCATGACATCACCCTAACAGGGTCAGTGCACATCCATAAACACCCTCGACTTCGCCCCCTCCAAAGTACCTAGGTGTCAAGCATTACATCACTCTAGGGGGTTGGTGCACATCCAACAAGCACTTAGGTGTCAAGTATGACATCATCCAAGGGGGGTCAGGGTGGCTATCCCTTGTCAAGACCTTACGAGCATGATTTCATCCTAAGGGGTCAGTGCGCATCCATCAACCCCCTCAATTTTGACCCCCAAGTACCTAGTTGTTATGCATGACATCATCCCCCGGGGGGGGGGGGGGGGGGGGGTGCTGCGTGGACATCCCTTGTCAATTGTCAAGTCCCTCAAAGCATGACGCCACTCTACCCCCAAGTGCTAGGTGTCAAGCATGAAATCATCCAAGAGGGGTAGGCATGTGCAACCTCGCCCCAAGTCGTCAAGCATGATATGCCTCATGGGTATCAACTTGCCACCTACCCAACAAGGCCATCCAAACTCTAAGTGCCAAGCATGCACACGTTCACATGGTAGACCACCTACATGTCAATCATGATATGATACAAAAGGGTCAACATGAATATTATTAGGGTTGTTAGTCAGTTTAGTTATAACTGTAGTCGTTTAGTCTATTATTAGTTAAGCATTAAGCAATTTGTGTTTGCCATTAACAACATAATTTATCTTAGTCAGTTAATCATAACAATATAGTCGGTTATCGATCATTTGTTAATTAACCGTTAAGCAAGTGATTTGGCAAGATTAGACAAAAATAACCTATCAATAATCTAACTAACAAAAGAACTCCTCCTTTTTCATTGTGCATTTTGGTAGATTTTTCCTACATACTTATGTGTTGTTTTAGTTTTTATCAATTGAATAAAAAAAATTAATATAGACATCAATATATAATCAACTCAATCCAACACAAGTACACAATAATACCATTATATCATATAATTTGATTGAAAAATCAGACAAGAATAAAAGACCCAACAACAATTACTCAACTCAAGAACTACACAAAATTACATGGAAGCTTAAATATTATTGATTGTTGTCGAACTACTGTGCACAAGTCCCTTTTTCTACTTTGCTCCTCTTAGAGTCATTCCCTAAAATTATTCTCATTTTAACATAAGCCACAATTACAACTAGGGTAGGAAATTGATCTTGTAGACCTCCAAAGATCCCATTATTTTTTGCCTATGTCTGTGACTCATCAATGCTTATTAGTTTCGGTCCTAACTATGTGGATGATCATCATCAGTTATTCGATTAACCTTTAACTGTTAGTTACTAACCTTTTAATCATTAACTATTAATTAGCTAAATTTTGCTACTGGTAACCGGCTATTTACCATTTAATTGGTTATCTGTGTAACCGCTAACTGTTGGTTACCAGTTTGATTATCAGTTACACCTCTAACAGGATAATCGTTTAACAACCTTAGATATCATTAATGCATTGAACATCAAGGTACTTGACACCAATGTGGTCACCACTGTCATGAGATGGTGATTATAATCGTCATGAAGACCCCCTAAGCGTGATACCTAGGGATAGCAAAAATATCCAAGTTCATGAATACTCGCCAACATCCGACCTAATTGGGTAGAGTTAAATCCAAATCCGAAGGATTTTCAATGGGTATGAGTATAACCCGAACCCGAGTATTGTGGGTAATGGGTGGGCATTGTCTTCGCACTGTCCAACCCGAATCCGGCCGATTTTACACATACATATATATTTTGTCTAGAAATGATTATTATTTTTCTCAACATATTTGATATTTAATATACAAATATAATATTTTCATGTTATCGTGTTGTTTTCAATTAATTTTCTTCACTATAGTCATTTATTGTCATACTTTTCTATTTATGTAATGTGAGTATACATGTGAATGTTAACATGTTGGTTGGAGTTAGAAAGAAATATTATTATCCATGGATACCCGTGGATACCCGAAACACGAATGGGTATTGGCATGGTTTGATTTTCTACTCGATTCTTATGCACAATCCGCTCCTGACCCGACCCATTGCCATCCCTAGTGATACCCCCACCTGTCAAGGATGACATACTATTTAGGTGTCAATCAAGAGACACCCAGCCATCACATCACATCGCATCAAGCCCGTAAGACAACTGCACACCTAGTAGGGTATCAGGACAAGCCATCAAGCAAGGCACCTCTATGGCGCAAAGACTACCCATCAAACACGTTGTGAAGTCTTCAGGCCGTCAAGGGATCAAGTGGGCTATATGGAAGCAAGTGGAGTTAGGGCATCAAGCAAGCTATATCAAGTAGTACGACGATTGGTGGAGCGACTACACATGACGGCTATAAAATATGAGAAACGAAGACTGGAAAGTGGATCACAAACCAACACTCTTACACAAATGCCAAGTTTATCCTTTTACCTTTCTTTACAATATAGCCATAATCGTAGTTTTAGTCTGGAGCTCACACTAAACGTCCATAGGAGTAGGAGTGACTTAACTTAACTTACCCTCAAAAAGTCATAAAAAAAACATCAAACACCCTTGTTTGAACATTGTTCGAAGATGTGTGATCCGTATTATTAATCGTTATCCAAGAAGTCAAAGTTGCATCCATTACCTTTAATATCAATACAAAATTTTTATTGTCAGAAAAAACACTTCTCTCATAAATATGGTTTAAACGAAATAGAATGAGTTCAGCTCACCCAAATTGCAAAAGCGTGGTGCAAATGAATGTTAAGTCTAACCATATATACCACTGTTTTTCATTATGGAGTCATTACTCTCTCTTTCAATATACCCCTTTTTCAGTAGCATGTAAATTAACGCAATAAAATGGAAGAGCGTGAGACATTGTTCGTAACCCTATTCGGGGGTAATCGACAGTTACTAGGAAGTGGTAATTTTGTATCCAATCTACTAATGCAATCCAATCCATTCCATTTAGATCGGTGGATTCATGGATTGTCGCCAAATTATAGTTTAGTACCTATATTTTACAATTTGGTATCTAACATTTTTTTCCACAAAAAATATGATTGAAAAATTTACACTTTGGTGCTCAAATTATTTACTAAGACATTTTAGTTCTTAAACTTTTTAAATTTGACATAATAGTCCAATGTTAAGATATTATTTGGATCTATAATCCAATACACCAATTCATAAATCCAATCAATTTACATCATAGCTCATACGAGAATCACCACCGAGGATTGGAAATTGGTAGCCATAACGAGGGGTTAGTCAAATATTTGTTTTTATTAGTAGAAGCCAAACAACAACACACTCAAGGTTCAAAAAGGCGCTAGACGTATGACGGGCGTTGAGCCTTTGCCTAGCACCTAGCTCGCTTATGCGTAGATTAAGCGTGCCTAAGCGTTGGAAGGAAAATAGATATTCACAATGCATGATGAATGAAATAATAATCTATAACACTTCCTCACTAAAATTAAAATGATTAATAACTTACTCAACACTTAATGACAATAACATAGCTCACGAATTCATAAAATCATAGCTCATTGGCTCACAAAGTTCTTGAGCTATGAAAAATATCGATATAGAAAATTGATTTCGTAGTTGATGTTAATTTTTCCTTTAATATTGACTTCCTAGCTCCATTTAGTGATGTTTAAGAGAGACTTATATGTCGCCTTACTCCATTGACGTGTGTTTCAGTATCTTAATAGGCGTGAAACCCCTAGACGAGGCGTTTTGCCACTGCCTTGTACCTAGACGTGTCTAAGCGTAAGATTAAGCGTGTTTTTTAACCATAAACACACTACCCAAACGGGCAAATGGTCGTGTGTGTGGTTGGCGTTAAAGGCTTAAACCCACTTAATATAAACCCCACCTGCAGCCACGCCACTCCTACCGTCTCCTCCATCTGCCACTCCCTCCACTCCCCACTGCGTCCGCGGCGGTGCAGCCAAACAACCCAAAAAACACAAACAAACAAAAAAAAAAAAACCCTCAAACGACGATAGCTGCCTCCATATTCCGCCGGCAATGTGACTTTTCCCGGGCTTGGTTTTCTTCTCGAACTCTCTCGCTCCGGGGCTGGACGCCATCGTCTCCATTTCAGGTAAATGAAATCCCTGCGCCGCTCTTCTTCCCTTGAGGGAGTTGTCACTTTTTCCCCCTTATTGATTCTCGCTTGCTGCCACTCCTGATTCTACGGTTTTGTTTCGGCGATCATTTTGTTTGTCGAAATGGTTTTTTTTTTCCTGGGCTTGAAACGAGCGAGCGAGAGGAGTTTTGTGTGGTAGGCAGTTGGGTTTTCGGGTTTAGCTAGCTTGGCTTGTGAAAAATGTGCTTTGCTTGGCTCTCTATCGTTCATCTTTTCCCGTGGGTTCTTTCTGTCGAGATTATAGATGGAGCAATGGTGGTACCTGAATTACTGTATTTCCTTGGCTCGTTCTTCATGATCGCTTGACCAATTTTGGGTCCCTCTTTAATTTCTCTCAATTTGGCTTTGACATTTAGTTTGTTTGGCATTGTAGAGGTTGCTGCTATAAGCTCTTTGGCTTTGGGAGGGGCATTCATCTCGTTGTTGGTAGAAGGGGGTGGAAAATGGCTGCCAATAAAACTTGGAGTGCCAACCTAGTGTCTTCGTTTGTCTCACCAAAAGCTAAAGGGAGTAAGAACAAGAGGAAAATAGTTGATCCTGCAGAAACCATGGCTAGTACTCCTGCTTCAACACCTGCAAAGTGCCCTTCCAATGGGACCTCTTCTGAGAATGTTTCAGACCCTGTAAGTAATGTAGGGTTCAGTCAATCTAAACTTGCAGCGGAGGAGACCCTAGATGGTGACTGGGTTGAGCCTATTGCAGCCCAACTCGAGCCGTTGTTGTCCTCTAACCTCCAAATGGTCTTTCAGTGTGCAATCAAGCAGGTTGTTGATGATGGGTATAACCAAAATATCGCTCGACTGACAGTTTCAAGGTATGGTCTCTATCAACAAGGTGAAGATGACCTTGTCTCAAAGACTGTGAGTGATACTCTCAGCCTTTTAAAGAGAGAGAGGAAATTTGATTGTTCAAGGGATTTTGTGTTTGAGGAATTGCAACAGTTAGTGGAGTACACACTGGTGGAGATGATGAATGTGCTTATGGAGGTCAAACCATGGCTTTCCACTTCTGAAGCAATGTGGCTGTTGTTACTCTGTGATATGGACATTGCACAGGCATGCACAGCTGATCCTTTGATTGGATTGGGCTCCAAGAATGACATAGTAGCAGATGATGCTTCCTCTGGATCTACTGCTGCCACCCAACCAAAACCAGCGGTTGAAAGCAGCAATACTAAACCTTCTAAAGCGAAGGAACAAGGAAATATGAAAAAACCATTGCCATGTGATGTTATAGCTGAGGCACTTGCATTTGGAAGCTTCCCAAGTTTGGAAAATAGCTCCAGAAGCACAACTCTTGCCCCTAAAGGCCAGCAAACTCAAGGAAGCTTGCACCAGTCCTTGGTTGGCACCCTGGGAGCAGCCGTCCAAACTACCACCTCCCAAGTCCATCTCCCTCAAGGAAAAGTACGGACTAGCCGAAAGGTGCTTAGCAAGAAGGAACTTGTTGCTTGTCAGAAGTCCTTACGTAGCATGGACAGAGCTCTCAAGAATTCTGGTAAGCTCTCTTTGAGGTCAGGAAGCATAACCGCTGTTAGTGGCATTATTGTGGAGAAGACAATGAAGCCCCCCTCTGCATCATCATCGATGAATGGAGTCGCTTCTTCGAAAACAAATTCTGTGGGAGAAGGCCCTCAAGCAGCTGGTGGTGATCCATCTCCTACAAATTCAGGTTCAACTGATGACCAATTAAAAGTGTCTGCATCAGCTGAACAAAATGGCACCAAATCTGCTGCTTCTGCAGAAAGGGTTGCTCCAATTACACCTAAGAAACTACCAGCTGAGTATTGTACTGGAATTCCTTTTGATAAGTCCCTGGGGAAGTACATCCCACGTGATAAGAAAGATGAGTTGACCCTAAAATTAGTGAAAAGACTAGAAGGCCTGCAGAATGAGGTTCAGAGTTGGATTGAATGGGCTAATGAAAAGGTTTTACAGGCAGCTCAACGTCTTAGCAAGGATATGCACGATCTGAGAGTACTAAGACAGGAGAAAGAAGAGGCAGAACAGCTCGCCAAAGACAGCAAGGTACTCGAGGAGAATGCTCTGAAAAGGGTGGCAGAGATGGATATGGCTGTAGTTAATTCTACTGATCAGATTGAGAAGGCTAATGCTGCTATTAATGGTCTTGAAGCACAGCGAAAGCTTTTGAAGAAATACATGGAGGCTGCTAAACTTCAGGCTTCTGAGTCAGCTGCTAGGTGTCAGAACGCTTTTGAGAGAGAACAGAAAGCCATGAAGGATAGTCAATGTTGGGAGAGGGAGAGAATTTTCTTGCAAGAGGAACTTCAAACCCACAAGCAGAAGGTGGCTGAAGTACAAACGTTGGTAGACAAGGCAAAGAATGTCCAGAACCAAATTGAGGTAATGTTTTCCAGGAACATGAAAAGTAAATTTAGCTGACCCCTTTTCACCTAAATTTCAATTTTTGCATGATCTTGTTTAGATTTCACCACTATCCCTTGGAAGAGGAGGGTGTTAATGGTAAGGTGAAAATGTTGTTCTGAAAGAAAAAAGTAAGAGAGTGAAAGTTGAGCTGGAAATTCTTGAAGCAATATTTTATTTGAAAAGAGAAAATGGTTTGGTTTTTTGAACATCCCCTCTGATATGTTGTATAGAAAAGGCAAAAAGAAGAAGGATTTTAACCCCAAATCTTATTTGGGTCGATCACTTAAACAGTACCTTTTCACCTGTTTTCTACCCTTTTACTGTTACAAATTTATGGAACTGGGAAAGCAAGCTAGCTAACTGCTGAAGATAATGAAATCGATCTTATATTGGAATTAGATAGATAGGTGAAATGGGCAATGCATGTTTGAATAATGGGAGCTGCTGTCTTGTTGCGTACAGGGAGACTAGCTAGCTACAATACATACTGGTCATATATTTATGTGAATATGGGATCCTAGCTATCTCCTTTCCGTTGTTTGGTGCCCCAACCAATTATATATCTGGCCTTAGGATCGTATGATAGTATATATGTCATATGTGGATGGATGTTATAATTAGTTGAAGAAAGAAAGAAAGTGGCCCTGCTCTGCCCACTCGTATAATTCATTAAAGGGAACCTATAGAAATATCATCAGATGCATCTCTCTCTATCTACACTCTCTTCTCTCTACCTATATATGTATCTTCATTCGCCATTGGCAGATGGCAAAATGTCTTGGCAGCGCCAGTTCCGCCTACAGTAATCGTCCTCTTTTGTTTTCCACTCCTTCTAGAACTTAGTTAGTTGCCTCTTTGATGTTTCCAATTTGCTTTTGGTCCTGTACCGTTGGATTAACAGGGCTCTTAGGATCCCTATCACTTGCAGGAAATATATAATTTCTGTTACATGCTTCCATGAGTTCACCTCTACATAGATGCTAAGATTTTTGGCATCGATCCCTAGTCTGAAAGTTGTAATGATCCTTGCAGAAGCAATGGAAGCAAGAGAGAACAGAGAAAGAGAAGATACTCGCACATGTTGCTTCCATGCGAATGGAACTACAACGTCTCGAAGATGCAGGGCAAGCAGAGCAGGATATGATTAAACAGAAAGCAGAACGCCGGCTGAACAAGTACATAGTAGACATCAAGGAGCTCGAGAAAGAAATATCTGAATTGCAGCTAAAAAACGATGCTTCGAGAATTGAATCTCTCAGAAGGGGGGCAGAGGCGAACAAAGATGGGAGCTCAGACGAGAAAGGAAATGTTGGGGGGCTTAGGCGGGAGAGGGAATGCGTGATGTGCTTATCAGAGGAAATGTCGGTAGTTTTCCTCCCATGTGCGCATCAGGTTCTGTGTCTGAAATGCAGTGATCTCCATGAGAATCATGGAATGGTGGATTGCCCTGCTTGCAGAACACCCATTCAGCAGAGGGTTCGTGCCCGTTTTGGCAGGAGGTGATTGACTCATATACAGCAGGAACAGGGAAGTTTTACATTGTCAAGCGTGGTTTTGCAAGAATTTATACAGTTCGCCATTGCTTTTTAGATGGTTTATGGGGCTTGAACAGTATTTTTGTATAGAGTAGAGATGATAGAACTAGACTCAAGGGAGGGAACCAAAGGTGGGAAGGGGGCACAGGTGAGGGAAAATGTGTTTTGGGGGAGAAGACATAACAAAAGGGTTTAGAAAAAACAAAGAAACTTAAGCGTAGCAAACAGTTTTAGGCTTGAGAAAATGTAGTTGGTAGTTTTATCCGTGTAAATGTCTGTTTGTCAGTTTGTCTCTTTCGTTTCTCCTCTCCTGGAAGCTGAAAAACGATTAGACTCTGACGAGATACAACTGATAGGTTCTTTTTCTCTTGTTTTTTCTCTTGTTTTCTGTTTCAAGTTTTCATCTCCCCGTCCTCAACATCGATTAATGCTATGATTTGAACTTCATCTCACTCAGTTTATATATCAAATTGTTCATATTTACCACTAAAACAAATTTCATAGCTTGCCGGTCAATTTTCTTTTAACAAAAGTTAATCGAATAGACCGTTAGGACAAAAAAAAATCAAAGGATTGACATGATGTCGGATACAAAGAAATGGCATTTCTATCCACCAAATGGGCTACTCTATTGCTAATCTGACCTATAAATCGTACGTGAAAATCATTGTGCAGTGCCAGACACCACAAAACTTCCTCAAAAATAGCCCCAAATGAATTGTCTCGCGCCTATCAGCCAGGTTTATTTTATCAATGACCACTTTCGCTCATCTCCCTACAAACATACATGAGAGAGACCACAATTAGACACTACTGGATGGCCTACCGAAGGACTAGGAGTTCTACTTAGTTAGGATCATCAATATCTTCCTAATATATTAAGATAAATCGAGATTTTGATTACATTGGAGATAGGGTCGGATAGGAGTAGGACTTCTAGATTAGGCCAAACCATTGAAATAATAGAACTTGCATTAGCTACGTCTTTGAATAGTATAGGAAACTGTACTTAATTGCTTAAGTCGGCAAAAAGTTTTGGAGTTTTCCTAAATGGTATAAATAGAAGACCTGGGAATGAAGGACATACAGTTGTCGATATGTCCGAGTGGTTAAGGAGACAGACTTGAAATCTGTTGGGCTACGCCCGCGCAGGTTCGAACCCTGCTGTCGACGTTTATTTTTTCTCCCACTGTTAGTTTTTCCCATCTCTCAATTTTGAACCAGATATCGTTTTCCGTCACACAAAGTCACAAACTATGGTACCAGCAACTGAAGCAACCCAACAAGTAACGATCCAGAATCATTTTCGTTCAGCATTGAAAATCTAAGCAAGAGAAGCCTCTTCATTTTCCTAGTATCGACAACTTGATGGATTTTGACCCATAAATAAGTGAGCCATTAGGTATGGCAATTTCGATCTGACTCGTTTTACCCGACCTGTTTGGTCTGTTTTGGGCGGGTTCGACCCGCCTCGTAGGCAGGGTGGGGCGTGCATGGGTACCTCTCGTCGACCTGACCTGCCTTGACCCGCCCTATTCTCGAACCGTTCTTGCCTACGTTTTACCCGACCTGTTTGGTCTGTTTTGGGCGGGTTCGACCCGCCTCGTAGGCAGGGTGGGGCGTGCATGGGTACCTCTCGTCGACCTGACCTGCCTTGACCCGCCCTATTCTCGAACCGTTCTTGCCTACGTTTTACCCGACCTGTTTGGTCTGTTTTGGGCGGGTTCGACCCGCCTCGTAGGCAGGGTGGGGCGTGCATGGGTACCTCTCGTCGACCTGGCCTGCCTTGACCCGCCCTATTCTCGAACCGTTCTTGCCTAAATTACACGTAAGTTTAGTCAAATTACTTAGAATTTTCCTCATATTACCTCATATTTTAGCTATAATAAAGTTTTAAATAAGTGAAAACCCAATTTCTCCAACACTTTAACTGCATTTTATCATATTATGGATTATTTTTTGGTCTTTTAATGAAAATATTAATAATGAATATTTTTAAAGTTTTTTCACATAAATTACATACTCATTAGGCCGACCTGGACCCGACCTGTTATGAGGTGGATATGAGTATCGAGATACCATACCGGACCTGCCCATTGCCATGCATATATAAATAGGAGATGGTAAGCTAACTAGTAGAGCTCCAAAATTCTCTTTCCCACTCTTCTAGCCCTCAAATCAGCAACACCCAAACCCCCTAAAATCTATTGCATCCCAACCAACACGAACCACCCCTCAAGCATAAAAGAAGCCAAGAACCCTTCATTCTCCATAATTTCATCTAAGTTAACAAATACATATACGTCTCAATTCTCATTTTACTAACTTGTTTGTTGTGCTCTGTTTCCCTTGTTCTTTCTACCCACACTCTGCTGACCACTGTAACTACGACTACCACCGCTCTTGTTGTCGCCGCCGCCGCCGCCATCGTGTTCTTTGACAACATCGACTTTCACAATGTGGTGATCGGACGTCCCTTTAGAAGACAGAACCGAGTACGATCCCGGGACAAACTTATACGGCGAATTCGGGGACGCCACGATGTAGTCCACTCGAGTTCCATACTTGCAAGTCCCCTGAACATCTGCACAAATTCCATTTGACACATTAACAAGTAGCAACCACATCGATTCGAGTAACGATCTTTGCTTCATCATATACTGCTGCAAAAAATCGAAGGAATGGCAGAATTCGATCTTATTATATAAACTCACTCTGGCCTTTGGCTATCATGACCACAGACTCGCACTCCCCTGCATAATCCTTGGCATCGGTGTAGTTTTCCTTCTTCAGAAACCTCATCACTTCAGCTTTCGGCGTTGGCTTCCCCATTTCCTCGTAGTACTGCATAACACAATATTAGTGGGTTGCGGCATATGATTCACGATTGAACCTTTCCCCCAACAACTTGTTCGTTGATACAGCAATAGGTAGATGATTAAGATGATGATGCTGATTTACCTTGACAATGTCGATCCATCGATCCTCGTTGTAGTCGGTTTCGTCGAGCGAATTGAGCCCTCCGGCGAGGAGGTGAGGGACTTCGCTGGAGTCGATGATGGCGTTCACTTGCTTCATCCTCCATTGCTCGTCGAGATGGTCGAGGTGGGTGCAATGGAAGTTGACCTCTCCTACGTTTGGCACGTTGATGGTTGCCTTGAGGACATTTCTGCACTTTCCCGCCAACAGATAAAACGACGACGTGCGTTATACAATTGGTTCTGTCACCTTTGTTTTTTTCGTTACTGAGATTTTTTTTAGAACCACCGCCGTACCGATTTGCATATCAGAATAATGATTGGGTATTTGATTAAATCCAAATGTGTATATAAAAAAAAAAGAAGTTGAATTTGTGAAAGGAAATAAATAAATAAAATAAACATCCGTGGGTGACAGCCAACTCTGTCCTCCAGTGAGAAAAAGCATTCCCTCTTTTTACCTCAATAATGAATCTCGCAACTACTTTACAGCGTGTCTTTGATTTGATTTGTTTAATATATTGATTACAATCAATCAGAAAATGATTTGCTTAAGGTCTTTTCTTTTTCTATACATTAATAGCAAAGTCATTCCAACAATTTAATACGTGTTAGCATTGTTGAGTTATTTTCTTTTGTGTTTTTTATTATAATTACCATGACATTTTATAGAAAATATCATAACGATAATCTCACAATCAAAATCGCGTGATATCAATTCTGCAATAATTTAGGTAAATTCTACATCAAACAAAGAACAAGAAAGATCGATTATTCATAAGTAACAATACAAGTTTAACTTATAAGACACATTTCGGGATACTATAAAACAATTTGTAAAAAAAATATAATCACAATTTAAATGAATTTATACTTTAATTTATGAAAGTCGTGGAAAACCGAGTATTTTGTCAATGATTTCAGAGAAATCTCAGTCAAGCTAAGCTTAACTTAACCCTACACTAACTATACACGAAAAACGAAATCATTATCCTCATAAAAAGTTGAATGCAACAAATCCCGAGAGTTTGAAGATTGACTTTTCACGCCCAACCTTTTCGAAACCTGTGTGATTAATTAACTAATTAAAAAGCCTCCGTTTTGGGGCTGCGGGATACATTTTACTCCAATTAGCAAAGTTTGCAGGTAATAATTAACATTGTTAATCATGATTATCCTAATGATTCCAGCTTTTCCAGAAAGATCAACGGAAAGTGGAAACAGAGCAGAAAAAAGCAGGGGAACCTGAAATCAGAGTCGTCGAAAATCTTGTGGACTTTCCAGCGCTTGATCGGCCACTTGGAGAGGATAGCGTTGCCGTACTCCGGCGCCCAGCTGTCCGCAAACACGTAATTCATCCCCAACGCCGCCGCCAAATCGGAGAGCGGCTTCATCCCTTTCTCCTCCTCTGCTTTCACCTCCTGCAGCGCCAAAATGTCCGCATCCAATTCCCTCAGCACCTCCACCACCGACCTCGTCGCGCTCCCGTCGTGGCGCCGCCGCCTATCCGACTCCGACATTACCAGACTCTGCGACCGGCTCGCCGCCGGAGCCTTCCCAGCTTTCGCTACTGCGGCGCCGCCGTGATCCTCGCCTTCTCTGAAGCTCAGCTGTTTACTAATCTCGTTGTCGGGGAGATTGATTGAGACCCTCAACTTCGACCTCGCATATTTCTGCTGCCTGGAGGAGGAGGTGGAGTTTGTATGGAGAGGCGATTGCTTTAGTATGCTCTTGATCATGATCGGCCGGTCGTCGTTCACCGACGCGGTTTTCCCAAACCCGTCTAATGAGCTCTTGCTCCGCCCGAACCCGGATCCGAATTCGAACCCGGGAGAATTTTCCGGTTCCGGTACCGCCGGAGCCATGGAGAAGAGAGCGGCATTAAAGGTGGCGACTTTGATCTTCGGTTTTACCTCTGTTTCTGGTACAGTAGCGCTGCAACTACCACTACCCAGGTGGTTGTTCGGATGAACCGCGGCGGCGGATTCGGGTCTGGGCTCGTTCTTGGACTTGGAATTGGATTTCCCCAACTTCTTGATCTGAATCTTTGAGGTGGGAGTGGTGGGGGAGGGGTGGCGGCGGCGGCGGCAGCGGAGACGGGAACAGAGGAGGCGGAGCCTCCTGTTCAGGACTCTGAACATTTTTCTTCTGTATTAATAATAACAAAAAGGAAGGAAAATCTGCTGTTGCAGGGAAGGCAGAGCAGGTTTCTTTTTGTTTGAGATTGTTGGTTTTCTTTTGGCGGTGAGTGGGTCTTTGTATTGTTGATTTTGCGTTGAGAGAAGCAGGGGAGGGGAGGAGGAGAAGAAGAAGAAGGAAGGAGTCTTTCCAGGAAATGGGTTGCTGACACGTGGCAGATCAAATGAAAAAAAAAATTGTAAAGAAAAATACAGAAGAGAGAGAGAGAGAGAGGGAAACGGCAAGATGCTAACTGCTCCGCTCTGCTTTGGGGAAGAAATGCCAATTGTGCTGCCGCCAGCACAGATATGTCAGATTTCTTGCCCTTTCCTTTTCCTGATTTTTCAGATTTTTTTTTTTTTTTTTTTTATAAAAACGATTCTTCTTCTTCACCTAGCTAACTTTTGTCCTTTTCAAATTTTTTTTATATATATTTTGCTAATTATAATTATTCTTTTTTTAACACTAATTATAATTATTCATTCACCTAAATTTGGCTTCCCAGTGCAGTGTGTAAACACTCTCAGGACTCTTTCCATCTGCTCTTCTTTGGAACGCTTAAGTCACCTGAAACACGGCGAACATAACTCCCATGCTCCCTTTTCATGAAAGTCCCGAATTATATCTTATGAAAATAAAATAAAAAAGTATCGACAGAAAAGGTTGTGGTCATTAGGTTTGGGAAACAGTGTGAGCTGCTAGAATTATATATATGGTTTATGGTTTAAATTGAGGGGATGGATTACAGAATATGAACTAAATCAAAACATATATATGGTTCAGATAAAATTATGTTTATACGGATTGGTCGGTACAGATGGACTGTGTTGAACAAAAATAATCAATTATTTCGGTCCACTACACAAAATCGATAAAAAAAATTAATTTTATTTTAAAACATAAATTCCAACATGCATGCATAATTTTGATATCCGACCGAAATTCAAGTGAATAACAAAGGCTTTCAGCGTAACCTAATTTTCATCATAAATATTAATATAATGTCATATAAAGACACGATCATCTCTATTCTTTGATGTGGTGTGGTTTTTTATTGAAGGAGGAGATTCTCAAAATTAGGTTGAGACTTGGGTCTTGTTGAAGAGTGGAGAGAGTGGTCAGTGAGCCTACTAATACGAATAGCAAAACATACAACAATACATACCATGAATCAAATTAAATAATTTTTTACCGTTTATGGTCCGATCAAACTGTATGGTCTGGTTTGATCCACAAGTTTTCAAATGGTATGGTCTATTGACCATTTTTGTATTTAGATGCATCTCAAGAAGATTAGATGGGGAAAGAATGAAAAGAAAATTGTTGGAACCAGTGTGAATAGTTGTGAAACCCCGAAAAGGTCTCAACATAACACATAGAAGAAAAGAGAGTGGGAAGTGGTCTTCAAATATAGACTTCTATGTCCTAAGAGCGATCGAGGAGATGGTTTAGGCTTGAGACTATATTTTTTGGAGGCAATTTATCATAATTATTTTCTAATACGAAAAAAATTCCAATTTGGATGACTTATCCTTAATCAATACATTTTGTTAAAGTAATTATCTTTCTAAGCGTGTTTTACTTATCATCCACTTTCCAACTCAGTGGCAAAATCAGCAAATCTGAATAAGTGTGGAACTAATTTAAAAAAATTATAGTTAAAAATTAATCTACGCACGTTATAATTTTCACCTCAACTTCCGCCCTTCCAGAATTTGCCCCCTAATTGTCAAACATATTCTAAAAGATACATGAAAAGAGAGCATGAAACTCTTGAGTTGGCTTCTTCCCATTTAACGCCTTTTGAATTTTTGTCTTGATACAATTGGGTTGTAGTATTAATTTGTCTTGTAATCGCTATGTATTATCCCATATTCCATTTTTTTAAAAAAAAATTAATATGTGCGGGGATCCCATTTGTTTTGTTCAGTTTTGACCTAATTATTCGTCATTTAGGCTCCAAATTGCTTTAACTAATAAACTCAGTAAGAAACAGGGAGTTTACTGTTTATAGGTCATCGAAAGAGTCATCCCAAGTTTTGGGCATTCAAGCTTATGATAGGAAAGATGAAAACGAAAGTGAAGAGCTTGGGCATTTAGTTTGAGATAATGACACTGGCTGGCTGGCTGGCTGGAGAAGCTAATTATAATTTATATCACACTCCCAGCCCATCGCAATCGCATTGGCCGCAAATGGAAGCAATTAACCAAAATGACAATTAATTAATCTATAAAAATTTAATGCATGATTTCGTTTTAGGTTAGAACGGATGGTGACGGTCTTCTGTTTACATGCTTGTAGGGGCAATACGGAAGAAGAAAGGAGGGACCAAATGAAGGAAGAAAGGAAGGAAGGAGAAAATTGAAAATGAAAGTCCATTCCATTATCCCTTTCGCAAACGAAAATGAAAGAAACTTATAATTAGCAATGGAAATGACCTAAATCTACATAATACTATAAGGCAATGTCAATAAAACTCTTTTGCCACCTCAGCTCCTCCTGAATAGCCCGCACAAAGCGGATGGGGTTTTCAGTAATTCTCATATTTCTCTTTCTCGCTGTCTTTCTTACTGGACCGTCCCAAAAATCTTTCCCCTCCTATCTTGCCTACTGTATCCCGAACCAGCCCGGAAGATATCCCCGGCGCTGCACCTTGGCCTTCCCTTTCCAATCATCGCTTTTTTCCCCTTCTTTTATTACTGCAACCACTTCGTTCTCCCTACCTATAATCTACTCCCAGTGCCGCACCCTGAATCAGATCTTCCGTCAAAGAACGTTTCGATTGAGACTCAATAAACTGATTAATTAACTTTTATGGGATCTGGGTAAAAAGGATCATTCGCCTGTTGCATGGAGATGAGAAATCAGAGTATGAATTGTACAGTCTCCGCGTTGTAGGAGAGAGAGAGATGGGGTGAGAAATTTGCGTTGAAGAAGGAAGTGACAGTTGCCAGTTGGTGGCGGATGAGAGAGATGAGAGAAAAATAATGAATAATAAAAAGACAAACTTATTAAATTAAATTGTATTAAATATTAAAAAAAATATCTTTTTTAAAAATTTCGGATGTGATAAAAAAAAATATTATGCGAGAAAGTACAAAAAATTTCTCCATTTTTTCCCGCACTTTATTTGTGAGATGTATTTAATAATTTTATTGCATAACACCCGAAATTTTTTAAATACATTTTATTTGGTATCTTATTGTTGCTTTGTACATCCTGCAATTTGTCTTTTTTTGTAATAATATTATATTACTTCAGAATATGGATGTGGCATTCAAATTTATAATTTTGTTGAATTTTATCCCATGTTCACAGTAGCTAGAGTCAAATTCATGTTGCAATATGACAATGGAGAAACTGATTTTGTCATCTTAGAGCCTGAAGATTTGCGGTTTCTCAAGTAAGGGCTAATATGTTATTCCAATCAAAATAGAGAAACAAATAACTTATTTTGCCCTCAATCCAATAAATTGGTAACGTGACACTAAAATTAAATATTAAAAGACCACAGTTCAATTTCTTGGATCCTCAAGCTGAGTACTCTATGTTTAGCAGTGATCATTATCCACTTCATGTAGGTGATGAACATTTCAACTGCACATCACTTCAGTTGGCATAAAGTGTACTAGATTAATATCATAGTTTGATTGCAACAATTGGCAAAGACTCCAAGTCCTGTGGACCTTGGAGAGACAACTTTAACGAGACTCAAAAGTAAACATGTTGTCGACTGTGAGTCTGTGACCCTGATAAAGAGAAATAGTAATGTTGAAAACTTTGTGTAGTTAAAGACCACAATGTGAAGCTTTTGTTTAACATTGTTACTCTATTTCTAGGTTGTTGCCTTTTATCTTTGGGATGTTTAGAACTATCTTTTCATTCAAGCTCATATTAAAATTGTGTTTCTAGGTTGTTTACCTTATGGATTGTCATCTTTTGTTCAATTTGAGTTGTGGACAATATGCAAGTTCTTCGCCTGCAATCTTATCTCATATGTTGGATATTGTCCCATTATGGATTCTCTTCTTTTGTTTATCAAGTTTGGTTCATAACTGCCAAATCATTCTCAAGTTTAGTCCAGTTTGATTGTAGGCACCAATAATGTTTGCTGCATTTTTCAGATAATATGATTTTTGGTGTTATGGACGAAAAGCTATTGATAAGGGTTTGCTGCATTTTTTAGATAATCTAATTGTTAGTATTTGTTTTTTTTAATGAATAGGTCGTGTTATATCACCCAAAAAGTAAACCACTGCACTTTTAGCAACACCCTTGCTAAAATAGGTAGCATAGAACTTTCACTATGTTGTAACTGAACTATTAGAAAAAAAGGGTTAATACCTTAGTTTGGCCCGAACTATACATAAACTTTCTACTTTGGCACGTGGTTTCGGAAATTGCTCTTCTGGCCTGAACTATGTATCATACTTCCTTATTTGGCCCGAAGGCAGGTTTGACCGTTAAATTGGACGGTCAACTCAATGGCCAGCTCACTTGGCCACATCAGCGAGCAGAAAATAAAATATTAATTTTTTTAATTTCTAAATTTTTATAACAAAGGAAATAAAAAAATTATGTTTATTATTAATTATAAGAAAGGAAAAAATACATAAATTCAAAAAATAAATTTTTTTATTATTTGCTCGCTGACGTGACCAAGTGAGCTGACCATTGACTAACGGTCAACTCTGTTGACCATCCAATTTAACGGTCAAACCTGCCTTCGGGCCAAATAAGGAAGTATGGTACATAGTTCAGGTCAGAAGAGCAATTTTCGAAACCACAGACCAAAGTAGAAAGTTTGTGTATAATTCAGGCCAAATTAAAGTATTAACCCTAGAAAAAAAAGGAAAATAAAGAAATCGTAGAAGCAGTGACGGCCAAGGGACGAGCAAAAATCGGCTTTTATGGATTCCAGATCATATTTGTTTTATCACTTCCTACTACAACTTCAACGTCAGGCTTAATCTGGGAAATGCTAACCTCTGTTGTTTTCTCAACTTCGGCGTGTGTAGCTTTGCTTTTGTTTATTTGCTTATCAATTTAGAGGATCGATTTTGCTATAATTTAATCATATGCATGCAACTTTCTGATCAAGTAATTCTTGATTACTATTACTTTTTCATCAGCTATCATCTTATTGGCTAAAATTTTGGTTAAGCTGAATCATTGGCTACAAATTATGCTACTTAATCGACAGCGACGATTAATAATTTTTCCAATATGAATAGAATGTCCGCCGCTCTTCAAAATACACTATTGTTCTTCAAAGTTTTATACAATACCGGCCAACGGGCCGGGACCAATGCTTGTGTCTAGTGTAGTGCCCAAATCCAATTTATCGCGCGCCGAGTGGAATCAAATTTGGGTAATTTTACTCCTAGGGCATACTCATATCTGATTTTTTAGTTTGGATCTAAATTGGACCTCGTAATATTGAAAGTCCAAAAGAAAACGACTACCCGATTATAATTAAATTTATGTTTTATTGTTATGGGAAAAAATAATTGAATTGAAGGTAGTTAATGAAATTATTGATATTATTTTTTGTGTATACAATTATCTAAACTCAATTAGACTCATTTGAGTCTAACCCAAATGAACTGAATCAAATAGGATCAATTCATATCCAACCCAAAACCCATAATCATTAAAAGTGAATATGAGTCAATTCGGGTCCGACTTAATACTCATTCCGGTCATGAAAATTGTGTCAAATTATCTAATGAGTTTACCCGTCATGTCTAATCATAATGTAGAGAAAAACGTGACATTAATACTTTGTTTCCGAAGAGAGGAAGGAAAATCAAGAGGAAGGAGAAATTTTGAGGGAAAATGAAATTATATAAGAAAATGTTGTTTTATAATAGAAAGTGATGGAAAAAAATGGGTGGAAAGCAAGGTTGTCAAACCGGTTTACGCCAGTATGCCGGTTTAGCAAGTGGAATGGTTCGACCGATGATACATATCGGTTTGTCGGTTCATACCGGTTAATATTACAAATAATTTACAAATACTCATATTTAAACACGACATTTAACGTCAATACCTAAATATTTGTACTTGAATCCAACAAATAACATCAACATTTAACTTTTTAACCCATAAAATAAATAATAAATTACTTTTTATCAATTAAATTCACTAAGGTAAGATTATTTTACTTGAAGATTCGTATATTGATCATGCCGGTCATACCGGTGGTGTCATGCCGGTTTTATGACTGGTATAGGTTGAACCAGGTTCAACCAGTGGCACGCCGGCCGGCATGACAACCATGGTGGAAAGTGAGATAGAAGAAACTAAGGGAGAGTGAGAGAAAGAAAAAGGGTGAGATGTTATTTTCTCTCCAATTTCAAAGGCTGGGTTGATAGTGGATTTTTCCTCCCACTTTCTTTCTGCTTAGACCAACTCCAGTGCAAGCCCCCAAATTTGGGGATGAAGATCCCCAAATTTGGGGTTCATCTCCATTTTCCCTTCTTTTGCTCCAATGCTACATGCTCTATATTTGGAGATCTTCATTTTTTAAGTTTTTCATTTACTTAAAAATGTACTTATCGAAGTCTTAAAATGTACTTATCGAAGTCTTAATATAATTTGTTCATGTTAATTTTTGTATAGTTCGTCATCATTTTTAAATACAAATTTTCAGGTAGAAATTTTTTTAATTTTGAGACCAAATTTTTGTTGACAAAAAATGATTGACCTAATTTGGGTTTACACACAACACTTGAAAATTATTGATCTAATTAAACCCCTAACTAATCCCCTAATTAAACCCCAATTAACCCTTAAAATCTTAAAAAGAAAAAGAAACGCCACGTGGCGGGCTTTGGGGAGTCTCTATATTTGGGGGAACCCCCATTTCCACCCTCAAATTTGGAGATCATTTTGGAGATCTCCCCCAAATATAGAGACTCCTCCATTTATAGAGGCTCCATTGGAGCCAACTTTCCCCCAAATATAGAGGCTCCCTCATATATAGAGGTCACATTGGAGTTAGCCTTAGTCCCTTCCCTCTATGGAAAACAAGGGAAAATGCATTCTCTCTCTTGTGAACATTAGGGTAAAGTAAACTGTAACTAACAATCTTAGGCCTTAAATAAAAATCTCTTATTTAAGATTTCAGGAACTAACAAACTTAATAGTTAATCCTTAACAAGCCACCAAGGAAACCAGACTCCTCACTTTTTTTTTTTATAAGGGTGAATATATTATAATCAAACTAAAAGACAAGAGTACAAGAGCAAGAAAGCACCATTCAGATCGCAAGAAGCGATCAAGACATGGGCAGAAAGAAGCAGGAAAACAATAAAACCAACTAAAAGAGAGAAGAAAGAAGGTTGCGAAAGAACGAAACAAGCGAAAACAGAAAAGCACAGCTCTCAATATCTCAGCTCTCTTCCAGCGGCTGAATCAAAGGGCATGCATGATAAATCGAGTGAAGCCAAATGAGACCATCATGGGAACTCACAGCACCATGAGTGGAACTCCACTTCAGGAGGTTATTCCCGATCTTTCGAACGACTGCTCTTCACGTCATGACTTCGTCCTTAAACGTTCTGGCGTTCCTCCCTTTCCAAATTTTCCAAACAAAAGGCATGCATAAATCTGCTGTTGAACCAGTCATTCCATGGTGAAAGCTTGATCGGCGGTCATCCTCTTATCAGACTCCTCACTTGAAAGCCTACTCAACATCGTCAAATTTGGAGTGCTCAACTTGTCGGTCCGCAATGAGAATAAGGAGGCTATTGCTTCCTCCAGTGCGATAAAGCCACTGATTCGAGCTCTCAAGACAGGACCGCAATGGTGAGGGAGAATTTGACCTTTGCTCTGATCTGGTTGTCGCAATAGGAGCATAAAAAGGTTGTAATTGGGAGGTTGGGGGTGATTCACTCTTATGAAAAATCCAGATTTTTAGGATTTTAATCGCAAATAGTGTAACATTTTAAAGTCCATAAATTTTACAGTAAAATCAAAATCGAAACAGATAAATAAGATCATAAGATTTGAAATTTAAATCACGATTTTGACTATACACAAGAAATTACGGCAATTAGCTATCGTGCTCTAGGTTTTAAAAGGTTAAACAAACGACCGGGCCAGCTTAATGGTTATTACTTTTAAGCCCATCCATTCTTGAAGTGGAAATAGCCCAATATAACAGAATCAAACGGTGAGAGAACTGAGAATCGGGGAAGCTGATAATAAATCATACATCAGAAGAACCAGTTAGACACATTGAGAGTCATCTAAGCACCAGTTGTGTGAGCAGTTGAGCCACTCTCCAACCCTTCTTCCTTGACTCCAGATGAACCGCCAAACCCAAATGAGCCATACCCAGAAGCAGTGAACAGCTGCCCCGATCCACAGCTGCTCACCGACATCTCGATATCGTCCATCCCAGCCACCAAAGGTAACCCACGATCGGGGATAGAAGGAACCAGCAAATCCGTCTCCAACATCTTCACCACCTGGTCCATCGTCGGCCTAGCATACAGCTGCGGGTGAGAACAAAGAACCGCAACCAGAACATACCTCTCCAGTACATCAGCGTCGCCTAGCTCCGGCATCCCATCTTCCACCACATCAAGCCCTCTCCCTTCCTTCACCAACGACCACGCCCAGTCCGTCAGAAGACAAGGCTGCTGCAGTTCTTCGTCTCTGTCGTCGTCGCTCTTGTTACTACTCAGCAATGCCTTCTTCCCGCTCAGAAGCTCCAGCAGCACGACTCCATAGCTATACACATCGCTTCTCTCGGTCAGCTGCCCGTAAAGAGCATACTCCGGAGCCACGTACCCCATTGTCCCTGCCACTCTGGTGCTCAGATGCGTCATCCCTTCTGGGTTGAACTTCGCGAGACCAAAGTCGGCGACTTTGGGCTCGAACTTCTCGTCCAGAAGAATGTTGCTGGCCTTGATGTCGCGGTGGATGATCCCTGGCTGTGCACCGTAGTGTAAATAAGCCAGGCCTCTCGCCGTCCCCAATGCAATCTTCTGGCGGACCGGCCAGCTGAGCTTCCCGGATGAACAATTGTTAGCAGCAGCGAATAAGTGATCGTGGAGGCTTCCGTTCTTCATCAACTCGCACACGATTATCCTCTGGTGACCTTCCATTGAAGTAGTGGCGATGCAGTAACCCCTTAGAGCTACTAGATTCACGTGTCGAACGCTGGCGATCACCTCGACTTCGTGGGCAAAGCTTGCATCCCCTGCAGCCGAGCAGTTCTTGAACCGTTTCACCGCGACCTCCGAGTCATCGAACAGCCTGCCTTTGTACACATTTCCATAGCCTCCTTTCCCTATGATGCTATCTCGGGAGAAGCTCCTCGTCGCTTTCTTGATCTCGTCGAATTTGAACTTGACCACGGTAGTGCTCTGGCTAATGTTGTCTAAACGAGTCGAGCTCGCATTCTCCATCCCTGATCTCTCACTTCTCCTTCTTTTCCTCTTCAGTTTGCCGTACCTCTTGCTGTAGCAGTACAACCCGCAGATCACAATTGACAACCCGACGAGAATTACCCCGACGCAGACAATCACAAGCACTACTTTCCTCTTCTTCTTTTTCGAATTGGAACTAGGTTTCTTGGAGGTGAAATCGAGCAAGAACAGGCACTTGGCGGTGCCCTTGTCGGCGGGACCCGGGCCATTGACGACCGCTGCGGCGTAAATCGACGGGTAGGCCTGGCAATCGGAGACATTGCCGACGGGAGGTCCGGTCAAGTGCAAGGCCTGGAGCCTGGACAAGCTGGCGGTGCAAGCGGCGCAGGGGGAATTGTTCTCCAAGGGTTGGTTGCAGTTGGAAACGACGTCGGACAAAGAGGAATTGGAAGCTAGGGTTTCGAATTCTTGCCTGGTGGTGATGTTCATGCATCCCTGCGAGATCCAGCTGGTCTGGAAGCCGCAGGAGCGGCGGATGTCGAAGTTGGGGAGGGAATCGTTGATGAGCTGCTGGTAAGATCGCCAGCAGGAGTCGGCGGAGCTGAGAGGAGGGAGGAATCGGGAGGTGCGGCGGAGGTAGTCGGACTGGACGAGGCGGAGGCCCTGGCGGATGTACTGGCAGGTCTGGGAGCTGTCGATCGCTGGGGGGTTCGAGGGGTCGTAGAGGCGGCGGAGGACGGTGAAGTCGAGCGGGCAGGGAGCTGATGTGCTGGTGTTTTGAGCGACGGCGACGGTTGTCAGTAGTCCGGCGAGGAGGAGGAGGCGGAGGAGGGCGGCGGACATGGAGACGGGAGGGGTGGCGGCGGGGTTGATGAGGGAAGGAGGAGTTCGGTCATCGGAGAAAAGGGAAAAAGAGAAATGGTTGTTGGTGGTGATGGGTTGGTTATTTTGACTTTTTGATGTAAGTTTCCCGCAGCAGCCATTTTCTTACCCCCCAGCTTTTCATTTTGTCGTTATTGGTTGTTTGAAGTTTGAACAAGTACTGTGCCAGTCTGCCGGAGCGACGTTGGTGGACCAGGGTGGCGGGTTTTGGAAGAAGATAGGTTGATTTTTGTGAGGATTTTATTTTGTACATCTCATCACTTTTTTTGGTTGAGTGAGGATTTTGAGTTACGCTGTATAATTCGATTCCATCCGTGTTTCTATTATTATCATAAGTGTTTGTATTCAAAATATATCTCTGTCGTATATAAGCATGTTTGTGAGAAAACTAAAATATTTTGTCATATTTTTCTCTCGTGATCTCTCCAATCCAATGCATTTTTTTGCTTAAAATTTAGACGTGATATAATATAGACTATGCTTCACGTATACGCCAAACAATGATCAACATTTGTCTGATCATTGATGAGGTGAGGCTCTCCAAGTGTCGTTCACGTATATGCCACATATGAAATTATTATTAAAGATAAATTAAAAAAAATCAATTAAATAGAAAGAATTTTAGAAGGAAAAATGAAATCATTATTCAAATTCTCTATGGGGGAGGGATGGAGTTGTTCGAGTGTCAAAATTCAGTCCTCGCCTAATGGTCTTTCCATTCCCATCTTCTTCGACAAGCAAGTGGGTATTCAAGTCGGGGCCTTGGCACTTTCAAGGGAACCCAGGTACTTTCGCAAATGGGAACCTGGGATTCAGTCGATTACTCCACTAGTTGAGACACTTTCTATTTGGGTAAGAATCTGGGGCAATCCGCTTTAATATCACTCTTTTTTGAAGGTCACGAATGGATTGCCAGCTCTCTAGATGGATCTGGCGCCTAGGGTAGGGGCACATTTAGATTTCGCAAAAATTTGTGTGGACCTAGCTGCTGACCGTGGATTTCCCTCCAGAGTACATTTGTATCCGGATGAGGACCCTTCCTTTGAGGTCGAGGTTGAATATTTGAATAAACCAACTCTCTGCTCTGGATGTGAGATATATGATCATGAACTGTCACCGGCTAGCAAATAAATGAATGAAAGTGGGTTTCTAAAGTGAAGGTTGCACCTTCCAGTGAGGAGTCTCTAAAAAATTCTGAGTGATACGGAGGCTGGAAAACAGGTGTATGTGAAGGTAGTAACATCAATGAGGCTAGTTCATATGGCATTAAGGACCTAGAGTTTGGAGCTGTGGAGGATTGTGAAAATAGTGCAGAGGTTAGGCCTCTCACCTTTGGTTTACATGGATCAATATGCATTTGGGAATCCTATTTCTAGACGTTTAGACATGATTTCTAAACTGATCCAATTTATCCTCTATTAACTCCCTATACAACAAAAGTATAGGGACAAGTTGTTAAAAAAGTTAGTAGTAGTCAAAGGACGAGCTAACCAATTGCGCCACAATTATGGTTTCTGAATTTACCGTCATTATTTCGTCTTTAAGTGTTATATTATATGAATTGAATTGGAGTGAATAAATATGCGATTGATTAGAGAGATTTTCTCCCAAAAAAAAAAAAATTAGAGAGAGACGTTGAATTGGTAAAGCCTTGTTTGCTCGTTTTTTCATTCGAGATTTTTTAGTTTCTCTTTCTAATGTTTTCCCCCACCTTTTTTTGTTTCTTTTAACTCCAATAATTTTGAGTTGTTCGGCTTTCAGTTTTCACGTTAGTTAATTTTCAGAAATGTGTGTATGTCTTCTGTTAGTGATTACTTGTAACCAGGTTATTAGATTGTTTAAGCAGATATTAAGGGTTTAATTGTGGCAAAATTCTGAGTAAAGAAGTTTTGAATGGATTTTGAAGATTGTAAGCTACTTCAAGATTATCGGTGGCAGTATATATAGCAATGAATTTCAGGAATAGGTCAATATATTTTGTGCATATATATCATCTCAACCGATCTGAATGTCCGAGTCTTTCTCCCAGCTTGTTTCATCTTTTTGTTATTTGTTATTAATAGTGAAAATTAAGATAAGATAAGGTACTCTTTACAGAGTAAAAACTAGGAGGAATGACTGTTCTTCCCATTCTAACATAATTCCCCTGGTTTCATTATGGTTTCCTTTTCATCATTTTATCAGCTTTTTTCCCCCTTGATCTTCCCACTTATCATCAGTCACTTTGTTTTCAGATTCTTTACAATATATACCCTTGTTAGCCAAACTCTCTTGCCATCTGATTCATAAGAGAACTTTCTTGTCATCCAGGAATTTGGACATGGAGCTGAAAATTTTGGGTTAGACAAGGAAGGAACTATTGAAAAGTTATGTCATACCCTTTGCCTCCCAGAGCTTTCTTTCCGCCGGAGCCTTCTTGTGCATCGGTTCATTCTGTATCAGATGGAATCATCAATGGGCGCATCAAGGGCACGAATGTGGATGCATTTAGAGAGAGCTTATCGAGTTCTGTCAGTTCATCAAGCGAAGGTTCTGGTCATGGTGACAATGATGCTACAGGTGATGTGTATATATGGGGAGAGGGCATCGGGGCAAATCTGGACTATTGCGTGCCAAAACTATTAGAATCTGCAGTCACATTGGATGTTCAATCCATATCCTGTGGACGACGCCATGCCGGTTTAGTAACAAGGCAAGGGCAGGTTTTCACCTGGGGTGAGGAACATGGAGGACGACTTGGACATGGTATAGATCATAATGTCTCACATCCTAAGCTTTTAGATGGAATCAAACACGTCAACATCGAACTCGTCGCCTGTGGAGAATACCATTCTTGTGCAGTATCTGTTGCAGGTGATCTGTATCATTGGGGAAACAGTGGATGCAGTACTCTAAATCACAAAAATGGGTGTGGTGCTGGAGCTGAAGCAAGTCAATGGGTGCCTAGAAAGTTGAAGGGAACAATGGAGGGGATTCATGTGTCGTCGGTCTCGTGTGGACCTTGGCACACTGCTGTTGTAACTTCATCAGGGCAACTGTTCACTTTTGGAGATGGAACTTTTGGAGTTTTGGGACATGGCGACCGCGAAACCATGTCGATGCCACGGGAAGTGGAGTCTCTGAAGGGCCTCCGCACGATGCGAGCAGCTTGTGGTGTGTGGCACACTGCTGCAGTTGTGGAGGTAATCGTTGGAACTTCCAATACAGACAGTAGTTGTTGTTCGGGAAAGCTGTTGTTCACCTGGGGAGATGGCGATAAGGGCCGTCTCGGTCATGGTGGTAACATGGAGGCGAAGCTCGTTCCCACCTGCGTTGCTGCTCTTGGCGAATCGAACTTCTGTCAGGTCGGCTGTGGTCACAGCATGACTGTTGCAGTAACGACCACCGGGCATGTTTACACGATGGGAAGCGTTGCACCTGGTCAGCTAGGGAATCCTCACGGCGGCAGCAGCAAGGGACCAACTCTTGTATTGGGGAAGCTTGCAGATAACTTTGTGGAGGAACTGGCTTGTGGCAGCTTTCATGTTGCTGTTTTGACTTCAAACGGTGAGGTTTACACATGGGGGAAAGGTGCAAATGGAAGGTTGGGTCATGGTGATACTGATGACAGAAATGCTCCCACGTTGGTTGAAGGTCTGAAAGATAAACAGGTGAGGAGTGTTGTCTGTGGCACTAGTTTCACCGCCGCGATATGTCTTCTTCGCAAGTCGTCGGTATCTGGTGGTGTTGTCGATCAATCGATGTGCTCTGGCTGTCGCCTGTCGTTCAATTTCAAGAGGAAACGGCACAACTGCTACAACTGTGGACGGGCCTTCTGTCGTTCTTGCACTAGTAGAAAGTCTCTCAAGGCTGCAATGGCACCGAATCCGAACAAATGGTATCGAGTCTGTGACCATTGTTTTGGGAAACTTAGGAATGCTATTCAAACTGAGTCAACACGGAAGCTCTTGAGATGAGAGAAAATATGGCTTTGAAACCACAGGCTTTGAAGGATATTTTCTCTAGACTTGAGTGTCAAGAAGAAAAAAACCAGAAAATTCTCTGTTTGCACTCAAGTTTCCCACCCTGCATAAAAATTTATTTAAAGAACAACCAGTTCCACATCTCAAGTCTTTTGGATCAATCCAAGAAAATTTTCTCTTCTTCACTTGCTGGATTAGGAATTATGTCTAGATCAATAGAGCTACATTACTAAAACAACCAACCCAAGTCACCGTCTTTGGGACTTGAAAACAGACTTACCAGCTGAATCAACTGACGCCATTGACAGACAATTGAAGTACCCTGCTAATCTTCGACCTAGAGACGTAGATGGGAGAAATGCAAGCATCGCCATTGCCTCCTCAAAACATTTGGAAAGCCTCATCTGTCACAGTTCATCAATTACTGAAGAAGTTAGACAAACAGCCCCATTAATTATGTCTACCTGACAGCAAAGTTGACAAAAGCATAAATAAACGTCCTAAGCTCGCCTGTTTCCCCCAAGCTTCGCAGTTAGAACCCTTTAAAACTCATCGTCATCTTCCTCGGCAATGTGCTTCGCGAGCTCCTGCTCCTGCTGCTGTCTCTCCCTCCTCTTCTCGGCGCTCTCCTTCTCCTTGTGTGAGTTGGGAGGGAAACGGAGTGCACGGACGGCCTCGTTGTGCATATTGAGGCAGAAGGCGATCCTCGAGTTGAAGGCCATCTGAGGCTCGTTCGTTGAGTAGATGTCCCCGGTTTCCTTCGACACCATCCACCCATTCTTGTGGTCAATTGCAGCGTCAATCGCGCCGTCCCGGATTGCCTTGGAGACTATGCTCTCCGCGTCAGCCACGGGGTTCTCAGAGTCCAGCCTCAGCTTCTTGGCGATGTCGGCCAACGAGATGCGAGAGTAGGAGATGCTGATGTTCCTGAGCCCGGTCCTTATGACGTTGTGCCGCAGCCTGACAATCAGATTCTGGGTCCTGTCCATGCTGAAAGTCGCTGAGAACTTTTCAGCAACAGATTTGAAGAGCTCCAAATCGCCTATTCGGACGGCCTGAAATGATGAAAATATTACAAGAATGTCCCTTGTTAATGATGCCTTGTAACTTGCTATACACGATATGCACATCACAGAATCCAGTTCACATAATGAAGGTACTTACATTTGTAAGCTCAAAGTATGGCCTGAGAGCTTTCTCCATGCCTTTCTGCATAAAGACAGTCCTTTCAGGGATTTCTCCTAGCAACAATCTGACAATAACAGCCCATTTGGTGCATTGGATTCGGAAACCAAGGGCTGCAACAGGAGCTTTTCGGGCTGCTTGATGGAGTGACTCCTTCGCATCTGTGTACTCCAGCTGAATTGTCCTAATTTTTCCCACGTAAAAGAGGTACCTGCAAAACTGCCATAAAGAAGAAGAGATTAAGTGACTATGCTTAAAGAATGAGCATCAGAAACCACATGTCTTCAGAGGGTTAGAAATCCCCATCATGCAAATCCCTGTACAGACACTACCAGTCATGTTTCAGGACACATCATTCATTGGTTTCAACAACAAAAAGCTTCCCAGTAATGGCAAAGATTGAGAAGGCGGCTGAAACCTGAGGTATATTGGATTATATACATGACACAGGCTAGTGTACGCTTGGTGTATAATATACGTTTGCGTCGCCTATTAAATGTACTTCAATGTACTTTTTTTTTTTGGTAGAATACTTCAATGTACTTGGACGAATAAGAACAGTTAATTATTCTTTTTTATAAAATTTATCTTGTGGTTTGGGTTTTGAGAATTGGGGCGTGAGATTCACCCATTAGAGGTTATAGTAAGTATCATGGCCAAACCCCGGCTAATTCATGGACTTAATAGAGAAACTCGCTAGGTGTACTGTAAAGTCAGTGTATGCCTGCCGGATATATATATATCAAGTAGGGATGTATAGGCACCACTATCATGCAAATCCTAGTCAAGACCACATTGATGTAATATTGCAGCATGATGCTGCAGAACGTGAAGCAGAATTGAAAATTAAAACAATTTGGAAACACAATCAAAAGGAAAGTTGGTCCAAACACAAGCAAACACTGATGTGAACATAAAAATCACAAACCAAGAAGTCACACTCTTCAAAAATTTAATCTAAAACCAAATCACTGACTTGCCTGCTGATTTGAGTGAGCTTCAAATCGTGGAGCCTTGGACCTCAACTTTTCTGCCTGATCATACAGATTGTAGTGGAGGTAATTGCGTAGTAACAGATTGAGCAGTGTTTCCTACATAATAATAAGAATATTGTAGCAAAACCATGAGTAAGAAATCTGAAACGGTACAAAAACATTATTCCTGTTGCTGAAAAAAAAAACTTACCTGCCCCAACTCATCATGGCGCAATGTTGCAATCTGGTGAAGTGCCAGCAGGTTACTACCAGCAGGAAAAAAGAACCAAGTCAGGTCAAACTGGAAGAAACCCCCAGGGTCTATCTTCTGTAGTCTAATTGCAAACAAGTCTTGGAAAATAAGAACCAAGAACAGAAAGAAAGAAAAAAAAAAAAAACCAGAAACTAACACCAGCAAATGACATAGCAGAGGAACATACAACTCACCCTCTTATTTCGGCAAGATCACCAGTTTGCTCATAACTGAGAGAGTAGTAGAAGTAAAGACTAGATGCTAAAACATCAACAGTCCTTCTATTAACATTCTTAAGCCTTGCAATGCTTGCTGATGAACAAGCTTTAGCCTAAACTAAAGCAGGTGATGAGTAGATTAGTGATAGCAGTCGAATGAACTGGGCTCTATTTCTCAAATCATCTATACGATGAATTACCTCTCTGTATCTCTTCTGATCAATTAGAAATATCAAGACCAGTAAGTGAGAATATATCTCCAGCTCGGGAAGGGAGTGCTTCATAGGAGCTTGCACCACAGACGTTGCCGTATCAATCTCCATTTCATGGTCATTCTCCTACCACCAAGATAAAATTGACGGGTGAGGTCCCAAATTCACCATCAAAGAAACTGCCACCTAAGGCTAAGCCCCCATCAAGTAGGATTATCATTATATCATGAGCACGAAGCCAGCCACGAACTCACAACAAGTGCCATGAAATCACCTTGGGAAGATAAGAGGACAGACGGGCGTGAGGCTCTGATCCAGGAGTAAGCACGAAGTTAAGGAAAGCCGATACCACCGAAGTCTTGAGCTTCCGCCTCAGTGCCATTGTCAGCCTGATGGCCCGAGCAATCCTCCGAACCTCGCGAGCATAAGCCCCAGACTCGATCAACGAAGCAATCTCGTTCAAATCTACAGAAAATCCGAACAAACATAAGCCCCGAAATTCCATCTCCAGTTCTCAAACCAAAGAAGAGCACATAAATGCGCACTCTGAAGAACCGACGGCGGTGAGGAGGCAGCGGCAAAATTAGAGGAAGCCGCCGCCGGAGCCGGGAGCTCCTTCATCTCGACGTCTTCAGTCCCGGCGGTAGTCATCGCTCGAGAATTTGAATCGAGAGAAGTGTGAGAAGGAAATCTAGGGTTCAATTCAATCTGAGACGGATTTGGGGAATTTCGGAGAGGGAGCCAAAGAGTTTCTCTACGGTAACTTGAGAGAGAGTTGAGACGAAAGACCATTAATGCAAAACGCGCCGTTTCGTGATGTATATTCTGTAGGTGACTTCTGTCCATGGTTGTCATGCCGGTGGCATGCCACCCGGTTGAACCTGGTTCAACCTGTGCCGGTCATGAAACCGACATGACACCACCAGTATGACCGGTATGATCGATTTAACCATTCTAAGTAAAAGGACATCATTTTAATGAATTTAATGAATAAAAAAATTAATTTATTATTCATTTTATGAATGTAATAGTTAAAAGTTGATTATTGTTGGGGGTATTACCCAGCCATTAGGAGTTTGGGCCCCCAGACAAGTGACTTGGGGGGCAAAGCCCAAAAGAGGGTCCTGGGAAATGCCAAAAGGCCCAAATAAGAGGAGGGGCACATGAAGACAAAACGCTAAAGGCCAAAGGAGTCCAGGCTGTCGGGTGGTCCATCACCTGGGGGCGCCTGTCACGCCGCAGAAGCCTGACAAGGTGGTTGGGGTGTCTGGCAAAAAGGGTACAAAGCATTAAATGGGCACAATGACGTGGAGGAGATCAACCTCGAGTTCGGTGAGTATAAATAGGGGCAGTTGGTAGCATTTACGGAGGTTGGACTCTCTCTCACTAAAATACCACTTGAGAACCTTACTCTCCCACTAAGACTAACTTGGGCGTCGGAGGATTAACGGGCCGAGGCGCCCTCCTCTTTGTGTGTGTAGGTCGACGTTCGTCAGGGGAAGACGTCCAGATAGGGAGGGGAGTTTCGTGGCTCAAACAATTGGCGCGCCAGGAAGGGGAATATAACCTGAAATCATGAGTGAGGAGATGGAGGTGAGTGACGGAAGGGAAAGGGAAGAGATCACGGAGGACCAGTCAGAACGACTAAGGGGGCTGATGCCTGAGATGGATGAAAGGGAGGAGAGCGATAGCGTGTTTCGAGGGTCGGAAGGCGCCTCGATGACAAAGAGAGAGCTGTACAAGATCATTGAGGACCAAGATGGAGCAATCGAGGCGCTCCGGAAGGAAGTCGATGCCCTAAAGAGAGATGGAGGAATGACACCCAGTCCGACGAAGAAAAGAGAGAGGGCGGCGGAAACGGAAAGTGAGTCGGGTTATCAGAGGCGCCCCAGTGTGTGGCGCCCACGCGAGTACGGAGGGTTAGAGACAGGAGGATGGAGTGGAGGAATTTTGGGGCGCCTGTCTCGCCACGGACCCGTGAGGCAACCATTGGCGCGCAACATATTAGCGGAGCCAGCAGGGACCAACATCCCCCCGCTCCCCACCTATGATGGGGTCACCGATCCGGAAGACCACCTCAACGGTTATTTCACGAAGATGCAGCTCTACAACAGCACGGGCGCCACTCTGTGCAAGGTGTTCCCGTCGACCTTCTCGGGCGTGGTGCTTGATTGGTATTACCAAATCGAAGAAGGGCGCATTGAGTGCTTTGAGCAATTCGCGGAGATGTTCCTCGCGAAGTTCGCCAGCAGGAAGCGACGCACCCTAACCATAGGCGCCCTGTTCAAGATTAAGCAAAAAGAGGGAGAGGCGCTGAGGGAGTTTTATGAGAGGTGGTTATCTGTGGCTCTGGCAGTGAAGGACGTACAGCCATCAGTGTTGGGGGTGTGTTTGAACGAGTGCACCACCAGCGAGGAGTTGTGCAGATCGCTAGCAAAGAGAGACGTGGTATGCACTGAAGACTTGGACCATCAGGTACAAAAGGTGATCATTCTCGAAGAAACGCTGGCGGCCAGGAGAGCCGACCGGCGAAAGGCGAAAGGAGAAGAGACGGAGCCGGCGAGGAGGCCACACTTTGCGAGCGGTTCGGGGTATGCGCCCACGAACCCTCCTCCTCCCAGGCGAATGGAGGCCGGGCGTCCGACATCCAGGGGGCCCTTTGCCGAATATACAGACACTCTGAAAAATATACTCCAGCATGTCAAGGAGAAGTGGTACCATATCAGATGGCCGGGCCCCATGAGGGGGCAGCCCAATGAGCGGAATCTGGATCGATATTGTGACTTCCACCGAGAGGTGGGGCACCACACGGCCGACTGCTACCAATTGAAGACCGAGTTGCAAGGCTTGGCTGACAGGGGGATGCTCAATGATTTCGTCAAAAAGCCTGAAGAAAGAGTGCACCGAGCCTGTGTGGCTGGCGCAGAAAGAACAGTAGAAAGGCTGCCTCCGCCGCCGTACGACCTCGACCAAGAAAGCGCGCCCGAACGGGTGCGCCTGACTATTGAGGCTATCTCGGGAACTGTGGACTTGAGAGAGAAGATAGAGGCGAATCGTCGCTTGAGGGCAGCGTCGGCGGAAGCCCAGGAGGCGATGGACATCAGTTTCAATAGAGCGCCCGAAGAAGCATGCATGCTCCCATCCATGGACGCCCTGGAGATACAAGGTGTGGTGGCAGGGTGTCGGGTCAGGAGAATGCTCGTTGATACAGGGAGTTCGATGGACCCTCGGAGTAGTCCGCATGCAACTATCACCAGAACTGATCAGACCCTCGGAGTCGGTGTTAGTTGGCTTTTCAGGGGCGCCCGCCAAGGTAATAGGGCGTGTGCGCCTACCAGTTACCTTGGGGGATGGGGAGCAGAGGATGACACGTGCCATCGATTTTGGAATAGTGGACTGCCCGTCGCCATACAACGCGATTCTGGGAAGGCCCCTCCTGGCCATGTTCAACGGCGTTGCCTCCACTTGCCATCAGACGTTGAAGTTCGTTGCGCCACAAGGGGTAGGCGTGGCGCGGGGAAGGGGCGCCCCGCGCTATGCGAAAGAAACAGGACGGAAGCGGAAGAGCAACGAATCAGTCAACCTGGTAGACATCTCGGCGGAAGAGGCGCCCCGAGCTGAAGCGGCCGACAAAGAATGTATGGTGGCGCTAGATTTGGAACGCCCGGAAAGACAAGTGAGGATATCAGCGGAGGTGCCTGATGAAGTGAAAGGACGAATCATCGCCCTTCTGAGGGAGTTCGCGGAGCTCTTCGCCTGGAGCGCCTTGGAAATGCCGGGCGTCGCCCCTGAGACGGCCGTACACTGACTGGCGATAGAAGAAGGAAAGCGCCCCGTGCAGCAAAAGCGGAGAAATTTGTCGGCGGAAAAGGAGGCGGCACTCAGGACCGAAGTAGATAAGCTCATGGGCGCCGGCTTGGTTGAAGAAACGTCCTATGTCACCTGGCTGTCGAACGTGGTCTTCGTGCCAAAGCCGTCGGGAGATTGGAGAATGTGTGTGGATTACACAAACCTGAACAGAGCGTGCCCGACAGATGCCTATCCGATGCCCCGTATAGACTTACTAGTAGACGCCACGGCATATCATGAGATGTTGAGTTTTGTGGACATGTTCTCAGGGTACCACCAGATTCCCATGGCAGAGGAAGACCGACCCAAAACAGCTTTCATGACGCCTTTCGGGAACTTTTGCTACCGGGTCATGGCATTCGGCCTCAAAAATGCGGGCGCCACTTATCAGAGGATGGTCAACAAGGTCTTCCGTAAGCAAATCGGCCGAAACGTAGAAGCCTACGTGGATGACTTGATAGTCAAGAGCCGGAGGCGCGAGGACCATCTGGAAGACTTGCGGGAAACATTTCAAGCTATGCGGGCGCACAATCTCCGCCTCAATCCATTAAAATGCGTGTTTGGTGCTGAGGCGGGCAAATTCCTGGGATTCATGATTACCAAACGGGGCATCGAGGCCAATCCGAAGCAGGTGGACGCCGTTCTCCAGTTGGCACCACCAAAGGCGCCCAAGGAGGTACAGGCTCTGGCGGGAAGATTGGCGGCCCTGGGGCGTTTTATCCCCCGGTCTGCAGACAAGGCAGCCCCATTCTTCCGGACGCTCAAAAAGGGAACACGCTTCCAATGGACGGCGGAATGTGACACAGCGTTTGAAGAAATGAAGCGGCTCCTGGCCGCCCCGACAGTCATGACGGCGCCCAAGATGGGAGAGACTTTGTACCTTTATATCGCTGTGTCAGACGTATCGGTAAGCGCAGTGCTTGTCTCAAGGGAAGCCAACTCCGGCGAGGAAAAGCCGGTGTACTATGTAAGTCGGACCATGGTGGCCCATGAACGACGATACGCACCCATTGAGAAGGCGGCGCTGGCGGTTGTGATGGCGGCGACCAAACTAAGGCCATACTTTCAGGCGCACACCATCATGATACTCACCAATCTACCGCTGAAATCTACGCTGGGATCAATGGACGTGGCTGGGCGCCTGGTTAAGTGGGCGGTGCAACTGAGCGAGTTTGACATCAAATATGCGCCCCGACCGGCGATAAAAGCACAAGTCTTGGCCGACTTCATCGCGGAAGGAGTAGCAGAGTCCGAAGAGAGCGCGACCGAATGTTGGCAAGTGCAGGTTGATGGAGCCGCCAGTCGTACGGGCGCAGGGGCGGGAATTGTGATGATCAGTCCAGGCGGCGCAATGCACGAAGTCGCGTTGCGATTCGCAAAGCTGAAAACGAACAATGCTGCCGAATATGAAGCAGTGATTGCTGGCATGAGCATGGTCAAAGAATTGGGCGCCCGCAAGGTACAGATCAAATCCGATTCGGCCCTGGTGATCAATCAGCTTAATGGGGCCTTTGAGGTTAAGGAGGAAGCACTAGAAGGGTACGTGCGAAGGGTGCGAGAGTTGGGGGCGTGGTTTGGAGAAATATCCTTCATACATGTCCCACGTGAAGAAAATGCCCATGCCGACGCCTTATCCAAACTGGCAACGGCAATAGACTTCGAGGAAGAGAGGAAGGTCATTGTCACCTCTGAAGCGCCTTGTGAACACCTGGTCGCCACCATTTCCGACGGGGGCGCCAATTCCGGATGGATGGCACCCATCGTCTCGTTTCTAGCCCATGGAGCGGTGCCCGACGATCAGAAGGAAGCCTGGCGCCTACGCCGCAAAGCGGCCAGATGCTCCATAATCGAAGGACAGCTGTACAAGCGATCCCACACAGGAGCTTATTTGAGGTGCCTCGACGAAGAGGAGAGTAAACAAGCAATCAAGGAGGTGCA